TTCTCCAGTGCTTGGAAGAATATGACGAGGAACAATCTGAGCCTCCATTGACAAGCTGTGTAATTCTGGATGGTTCAGTTGTTGTTCAGATGCTTAGGCCAGGTACTGCTAAGACCTTTGAAGATTATGCTCATCAGAACTTCATTCCATATATTTCCTCACAGTTTCTAAACGCTTCGCGTGTAGACCTGGTATGGGACAAATATATAGACAATTCATTAAAAGGTACCGCTAGAGCAAAGCGAGGCAAGGGTGTACGAAGACGTGTGACTGCGGAGTCAACAGTACCTAGAAATTGGCAAGATTTTCTCCGGGTAGACAGCAACAAGACGGAACTTTACAGATTCCTCTCAAGATCTCTCATTAGGACTTTTGAAGAAGGTGTCAACCAAATAGTTATCACCGATGGTGAATATGTTCTTTCAAAACCCCAAATACAAGATGTCGATTCGATTTCTCCATGTAATCACGAGGAAGCAGATAGCCGAATGTTGTTACATGCAGCACATGCATCTCGCCAAGGCCATAACAGAATACTGATCCGCACTGTTGACACTGATGTGGTGGTCCTGGCTGTGTCCGTGGTGCAAAGTTTGAACGCAGAGACGGAACTATGGATAGCCTTTGGAACTGGAAAAAATTTCCGTCACTTGGCAGCCCATGCAATTGCACATGGCCTTGGACCCAGAAAAGCTTTGGCACTTCCAATGTTTCATGCGCTGACCGGATGTGACACAGTGTCCAGCTTTGTTGGGCATGGCAAAAAAACTGCATGGAAAACTTGGAAGGCCCTACCTGAGCTCACTGACGCACTTGTTAAATTAGTTTGTGCACCAACTAACATACCAAGCGAGGTTATTCAAACCATTGAAAGATTTGTCATCCTTCTCTATGACAGGACCAGTACATGTTATGACATTAACCAAGCTCGACAAAAGATCTTCGCAAGGAAACCAGATGTTAAACTAATTCCGCCGACTAGGGCTGCCTTAGAAGAGCATGTCAAGCGAGCAACCTACCAGGGAGGACATGTTTGGGGACAGCTACTGCAACCAAATCCATTGTTGCCCTCCCCTATCGAGTGGGGCTGGATTTTGACAGATGGTCTGTATGAGCCCCAATGGACAACACTGCCGGAAGCCTCCAAAGTCTGTTATGAGCTAATAAGATGCAATTGTGACTTGAAAAAGAAAGGATGTACGTCAAAAAAGTGTAGCTGCAAACTTTCAGATCTCAAGTGCACTAGCATGTGTGGATGTGAAGGGGCTTGCTGAGAGTCAGGACAAACGACTTTTTTTCAAAGCTTTTATTGTGGTCGCCTGATATTGTCTTACTTATGAAAACATGTTGTCTTTAGTCTGTTTCATTACTTAACAGTACATGCATTTATAATTAACCATAGGGTTAAGTCTCGTTGGGTGGTGGTTTTGTTCTAAATTAAATTTGTGAATTAGGAAATTATAAAAATGCTAGTTTCAAACCTGTGTACGATTAGACAAAATAAATAGATGTTTTGAGTCGAAGAAGGCGTTGGCATAAATAAAGACCCAACACTTAGCAATATATTGTGCCGAGTATGGGTTTTTTTGCATACACACACCTCACACCACACGCCAAGCAGAACTTGATGACGTCATAGTACTAATGAAAAATTGTGGAAGGAACATATAATGCTCACGAATAAACATATTTAAATCATAGAGAATATGCACATAAAATGCAGAAAGGAAATATGCATGTGCTTTAAATGATCAATAATGAGGGAAAAGTGGGTATGTTTTTTATTTTATTTCACTCATCATTTTATTTTTCTTTTAAAAGATTCAGAGAGTGTTTTTTGTTTTTTATATACTATGATAATCACTTATTTCGATGTGATGTAGGTAAATTTCAAATATAACGAAAAATTCTGGCGGCCATTTTGTAAAATGGCTGTCATGTCCGCTATGGCGTGATTCTGCGATGGCCCAATATCCAGATTTGTTCAGACAAGAAATGTCTATATTTGTACAAAAATTGGTGCTTTTATCATAAAATGCACAATAGGTTGTCTATGCCGCCTGACTATGTTGAAATTGTATAATTTTCAAGCAATTTATGGAATAAACGCAAAAAGTGGCATGTATATTCCTACGCCAGATACATGAAGGTCTTGGTTCGAGTACTATATTATTTGGCGCATGAAGAAAGCGGTGAACAGTCAGAGATATTTCATCATAGCTATATGTGCACCGAGCTAAAGCTCGACGCCATAAAAACAATGAGGGAGAACACAGGTCATGACAATGGGCATGGGTGACGTACAGATGATAATTTCTAACTCACTCTAACATTGTTGTCCACACGATTCTCTCCATTACATTTAATACATTTTCCCTTGTATTGTGTTTCCCCTTGGAATAAACCAAATACCCCGGGTAAATACTTTGGCAATATTTGTTACACCAAATAATGACATTCCTATGGCTCATCTGTAAAGGTATTTCTTTTGTGTGTAACTTATAAACCAAAAATATACACCTTTTAATATACATATTTTTTATTTATTAATGTATCTTCAGTTCAATGAAGTACATAAATTGCATAGATTTGTCTACAATGAAACTACTACATTATTATTATGTACAATTCTATGTATATACATGAATACATGAAAATTGTAGGAAATGAGTCAGTAAAGAGATAGAAAGAATACAGATCTCTAAGTAAGTAAAACTCCTAAAATGAAATCAAGTCACACAATCCATAATGGATAGAAAATCAATCTGATACATCAGAATAAAGGGATCTGAGAATGTAGTTCCCCTGAAGTCCCATAAAACTAATCAAACATTTAACACATACATATAGCAATCTAAACGTAAAGCATATATACATAGCACTACAGTAGGTATATATATGTACATGTACACTACAGTAAATGTACATAATTATATTTTCTCTGTTTTTTAAAAGACCAGAATTTTTATACTTGCTACACTGTACATAATCAGCACAAAAAATATTACCCCTTTATCAGGTAATTTTGGTGTGCTGCAACAGTTGGTTTTATTGGCAGATTATACTTAATCTCCAGAAAATAAAATGTCAAAAATTTCAAAAAGTTTTAGAGGGTTATTACACAGACAATAGTTCAAGATGTAAAAATCGCCATGTGTAATGAAATTTAATATATTTTTCAGAAATATGTCTGATACTTAAAATCTATAAAAGCACTGATTTACTTAAATTCTATTTTATCATAATTTACAGAAATATAAATAATTTACATGAACTTCATGTACAGTGTACTTTTAAGTAGCAAACTGCCTTGGTACCCTATGCAATGCTTAAAAAACCTGAGCATTTTGTTAAACCTACTAACTTTACAAGATGATGCTGATTTTGGCAGTGTTATAAAAATGGATGTATTTCTTTAAAAATACAGCATTACCGGTAGTCTTTTCTACAGAAGTAGCTAGTAAAAATCTAACATTACATTTCTTAATGACATTTGCACCAAAAAACAATAAATGTACATGCAAAAGTTACAAAATGTCTAATGTTATTAAATTAATGATAAAAAGGTCATAGCTATCAATAATACCAGTATATACAAGTTAAAATGTAAACAATCTCTCACACTTGTTTTTTTTTTGGAAAATAAACAGTTTTTTCTATAAATTGCTGAACTTCTTATTTTGTGAACTAGAATCTTTTTACATACAAAAGTACTTGCTGCCATTCAAAATCGTTTAAATAAAATTGTACCATTTCTTCAGCTCTAAAGCATACACTCAGTACACACAACAAACAGAGTACATATAAAACAAATGACCACATTATCACAGCTCTGTTGCTTGGATTCATACAAAAGTATATTCCTACTCGCACACAATAAAAAGAAGTTAAATCTTCTAACATCATTAAAGTGTTGTTTGTTTTCTTTGTTACATTCATAAACTTAAAAAAAAAAATTCCCAACACAAAAGTATTCATAAATTAGAAAAATCAGATTTAATGAAAAAATTTTGTTACTTAATTGATATCACTGCATCAAAATAATCTCATTCTTACCTTCCTGATGGGATATTTTAGTTAGCCCCCAGTATTAATGATCATGTCTTCACACTCATACGTGAACAATTTCCACAGTTATACAGTTACATTTCCAATCATTACATCAATATATAAGACATGTATACCAAGAAATGAGGAAGAATAAAAATGAATGATGTCATATGATTTAAAACTGGAAAGAGCTAAAATTAATTGCATGTATAATGAAATTTGGAAATGTATATATCCTAAAATGAAACTCTTATATGAAACCCTATGGTATATATACGTGTAAAACTCTCATTCTATTGCACAGGCTGCCCTTAAGTATTAAAATTATACACTGTCAGGTAAAATGAAATTTTATCATTCATACACAAAAGCAAAAATTGCAAGAAAATCTAAACTTAAAAATTGGAATCCTAACAACAGCAAAAATCTTACCAAAATCAGTTTTAAAGACAAAGGAAAATTGCAATAAATTATCAGTTAAAACAAAAATATTATTGAAGAAGGTCCAAACTATGAAAATTTCGTGGTTGAATCAAAAGTTCCATTAACGGTACATAAGGTCCAAACTATGAAAAAGGCTCAACTCTTTTTTTCAACTTAAGACTGCAGAATGTTAACTGGCAAGATTGGAAATATGCAGCTTATGACATTTTCATCTGTAGTGGTCAAAATATTTTAGACATTGAAATGGGTGGGTACAGTTCGAAACAGACATTTGAGAAAACATACAAACCCATTTCATTCTCTATCAGTTAACTTTTTCACTATGAAGATGAAAATGGTGAAAACAGCATATTTTGAATCTTGACAATTAATGTTCTGCAGTCTTAATGAAAGCACTTACAAAGAAAGAATATCAGACAATAAAAAAATAAATGAGAGAACATTGAGAAAAAAAACACCATAATGAGAAAAACAGTCAGCACTAAAATCTCGAATTCCTCACTTTTTTATGCAAAGAACACATTGACTGTACCCTGAATTTGCTGCCTACACATGGGGCATTTTCTCTCTGGTAGACTGTCCACACAAGCCTGACACGAGATGAGGTGGTTACACGGTGTGAACGACACCTGTACCTCCTCCACGCGGCAGATCTTACACTTCGCACGTTCAGACTGGGCTGACAGTCGACGAATCTCATCTTCCATCTCCCTCAGTCTCCTCTGCCACACTCCCTCAGGCAGACACTGAGTTCTCTCCTCCAACACTCTCACCCGTTCTCTCTCTTGATCAAGGAGGCGGTCCTTCTGTTGAAGGGCCTGCTGACTTTGCTGCCTCTCCTGCTGTAAGGCCTGATCTCTCTGCTGTAAGGCCTGCTGATGTTGTTGGAGGGCCTGCTGATTCTGCTGTAGGGCCTGATCTCTCTGCCTCAGTCTCTGTCTGAGTGACTCGTTCTTCTGCTGGGATTCCCTCACTTCCTGTGTGGTCTCCTCCACCACCCGCATTGTCCTCTCTAGTGCCTCAGTTGTCTCCTCCATCTCTCTATCCTTCTCCTCCATCTCTCTATCCTTCTCCTCCATCTCTCTATCCTTCTCCTCCATCTCCCTCTCTAATTGTACTACAATGACATCTCTCATATTCATAAGAGTTGATGAATTGTTAACAGTTCTTAAATCATAATTTTCATAACATATAAGTCTATAAATGATTTAATACTTTTTGTAAAATTAGAAAATAAATTATAAAATTCTTTATTTTAAGATAAAATTACAAGAATGAAATAAAAGTTGATATCATACATGTACTTCTTGCAGATTTTTTTAGATTGTCATGAGAATTCTGAAACTGTTATTTACCTATACCTTTCATGTCATGGTGGATTTCAGCAAACTCCTCTGGAGAGGGGAGGTAACCTTCAAAACAGAAAATTTAACTATGTATACTCTAATATGAATACTCTGTTAAAGTATAGTTTTACCTGCCTTTAGTTGTAACCTAAACCATTCAACTAATTTAAGGACGTTTGATCCTGCACTTTTGAGTCGATATTGGTCTGGACTTTTATTTCTAAAATTCTGTATCGTTTTTAAGATTTAACATTGAATTTAGATTCTATAGTGCAAATTGTACTATATCAATTGCAAAAACCGCAATCAAATTCCATTCAAGAAGGGTTAAGCCAGCGACTATATTTTGTGGCGGAAGGTTTTTTAGAAGAAAATTATCAATTTATCCCTTTTGAACTTTACAGAGTACTGCTAATTTTAGATTCCTATTTTTACATGCTGGTTGCACACAAAGCTGTTTTTTTGCAGTGAAATTGTTATGTGTGTTCTGAAATATCTATTAAATCATTTCTGATGAATTCTTTTGACGAATAATGACAAATATAGTAAATATATTCTGAAAGTCCAGGAAAAAATCGAGCCAATTTTAACAGAAAATTGACATATTTTTCGTAATATCTAAAAATTTACATCATATACCCCCACTTTTGATGTTCTTTTCTGAATATTTAAGATAACTTTGACCTCTCTGCTTAAATTCAGCAAAAGTTTAAGACTTTAAAATAATATTCTTGCTTATTAAATTTTTAATGCCAGAAAAATCACATTTTGTGAGTGCAGAAAGGTCAAATAATTAATTATGCGTAGCAATTTGAAACTTTTTCTTAGTCATAATTTTAAAGTGTCTTTTTTAAAATAGACTTATAGTTTATTTTGTTCCATGCTTTATTTGGATAAAAATATTAGAGGGAAAACGTTGAAGATGTAATTTTTTATTAAGACAGATTTCAGTGCAAAAGGGTCATACTTAATTTACTGTAGTGCCAAAAGAAGCATATTGACCCCTATATTTTGATTTGATTTTTAATTAAGCTATGTGTGTAGAAAGTAAAAATATACTTGACAAAAAAAGTTTAAGACTTTAAATATCAGGATAGAACGTTGTTAAGGGAAACAACTCCATATCAGAATTAAAACTGAGGCTTTGTTTCTTCTCATGAAAACAAAATTGTAGAAAGTAAATTATCAAGCTACAAGTGACATTTATCAAACCTACTGTTGTTTTCCAGCCACTTTTCCACCACTCTCTCAAAATCCTCCAGTAGATAGCCCTTCTCCTCTACTATGATGTCACAGAGTTCCTCATAAGAGAAATCCAGGGGGAGGCCGGAGTCATCCAGGCGTGACATCTGTCCCATCCTCTGGATATGGTCCACTGCATCAATCAGTTTGTCACAGCTTCTGTTGGCTTCTATACCTAGGTAACACATAGAAATAATTCGGACATAAGCTTTTTTGATATACACAAGTCAATAAACATTCAATACAAATTACATACCTATTTTCTTTTTCAAAATATCAAAATGGCTTACTAAAATTTACAAATTACGCATAGTGATAATAAATATTAATAATAAATAAGCATATAATGGTAAACTAGTTTGTTTAATATCTGTGTCTAAAGAGACAAAGCACAATACTGGTAGGTACCAAATAAGTACATGAAAAGTAACACTAGACTTACCCCCCTTGAGTGTGTTGAGGTAGTTTATGGCTGTGATCAGCTCCTCCTGAGTAACCTCCTCCTCATCCACCTGTTTCCTGAACTCCTCCACATACCTCATCCTCAGCTCCTCCTCAACGTTCACCTCAGACTGAGGTCCTGCGGCTGGGGGCAGGGGTGGAATAAACCGAGGCGCCCTGGCCCTGCAGCAGGTGGAGGCGGTGCTCTCCTGGTCCCTGAGGGTAACGGAGGACCTGCCCACTGATTTGTCAGAGACAGAGACTTTGGAGGTTCCTACACATTTATCTGAGACATCTCCTACAGTTGTTTCACTCTGAAGCCAAAACGACAGCAGGACTACAATAGCAGCCCCAGCAATTCTACAGTTCTCTGTGTTGATGGCGAAGTTCTTCATGGAGTTGCTGTACATTAACGCCAGCGCTGATCCAAACAGACAGATGTAGACGTCTTGTCTGATGTTCCTCTTCCTCCACTGAGGGAGGTAACTCTGGATCAGCCTCAGGAGGGAGGTCTCCAGGAAGCTGTGGTTCCAGTCGACGAGGATCACCAGCAGGGAGGAAGACATAAAGAGGGACTCCAGGAGGACCGGGAAAACCGAACTGAGGTGGCTGACATCAGGGCTCATCTGAAGGTAAGAGGTTATAAACATGAGGGTAAGATCAGTAATCAAACACAAATTACAACAATAATATGAAACAACATAATCATTACCCCTCAGCAAATATTTCTTCAAAACAATGTGTAATCAATCTCAAAAATATGAACATGAGAATTAAATGCCCAAGTAATAGTTTGAGCCATGGATATAGGCCTGTGTTGCTTAGTTGGTAAAGCATTTGACAAGAGATTCTTCGGGTTCGATTGCTGGTCCAGCCATACATTTTCTCCTTTCCTGTTATAAAATTTGATGTTATGACCACCCCCTGTATTTAAAGTTTAACATCTTGCCATGGCAAATTAGTACATGTACCTGAGTTTTGTCTTTGAGAGCAATGACAATTTAAGGAGGGAGGATTGTAACAGCTTAGTTGGTAGGATGCCTGACAAGTGATGAAAAGGACTAAAATTCATTTCCCATTCCAGCTATAATAATAAACAAAAGTAGCCATTTGGCACCAAATGTCACACGTAATAAAAACTGGGGTTCGAACCCTGTTCTTCAGGTGTACAGTGCTAGCACTCTAACCACTGAGCTATTGAGACAGGGTGTATTGACTGACTTCTATACACCTGTAATCTAGCGCATGTCATCTACGCATACTGCAACTGGGTATGATAAAATTTACTGCATACTTCTAATTCCTTATAGTTATCATTAGTGCATTCATTGTCATGATTGTGCTAGCTGTTTATCAGTTAATCATGTTAATTAATAAAACTGTTTTTGGAAAGAAAAGTAATATTTTGTGTTATGCAGAGGATAAAAACAAAAAAATATATGAACCATTGATTTGACGCTTATACATGCATTCGAAATGAAACTGACAATTTAATCAAAAATAATGTTGCTACCCGAATTTCCTCTGTGTGTAACATGTATACCTATTAGTACATAGAAAAATGAGTTTTCCTCTAATATCTCCAATCATACCATCACAATCGGTTTTTTACTTGATATTTTGGTGTAAAAAGTGCCTGATTTTAAGTTTAATCATTCAAAACAGATCTTTGGATACATTTTACCGAGAGAAGGGAGTACTCAATGCAAGGGATAATTAAGGTGCTTAGAATTTGCTTCTGCGGGAAATAGCAAATCAGTTACACAGCTGAGATATCAATATATGTGACTTACCTTTGCTTGACTATAAATCCAGTTGTAAAATACTAAAAATTAAAAACTTAATAGAGTAAAAATTTCCCTCGAGATAAATATAAACAAACAAAATGGCGTTCGCCTTTCGGAACCTTTTTTCATTGAAAACGTCCGAGAAAAAATCCGCGAAATATGAAAACTGTCAAAACAAACAACACGTGTTTCTAGCATTCGCAACAATGAATATCAGCTTTGGGGAGCAGCACAGGCGTATAACATCAACCTTACAGAGAATATTGAAACATTGTGGTCCCTATTATACAGTGTTCTGGGTGAGTTTTGGTTTATTTGTTTGTGTGTGATTTGAATTTGACTGAAAAGCCGACTTAATCGACCAATGGTTGAAATAAACTGAACTGATGAGGTAAATAACGACAGAGACATAAATCAGTGGAGGTGATGTGGAGCGCACCTAACGATTCAAGCAAACCAAGTTTATTTAAAATTCATAATTTGTAATTTTGAGCATATAATATCCTACATTTTGTCTTTTTATCTTTTAAGAAATATTTTGATGCTAATAAATTGATCCTTTTCTTTGAATTTCATTTACAATCAGTTTCATTACTTTATTTTGATTAATATACTTAACAAATTAAACTAAAATCATAGGTGCTAAGGGACGGGAAAACTAACCCCCCCCCCCCCCCCGATGGTCCATACGTGCTTGGGGATGGGACAACTGACACCCCCACCCCACTCCCGATGTTCCATACGTATCCCTAATAAATGATACTCTCTGATACTTAAACAATACTTGCAGTTTATTATCACAGAGTATGAATTTTTAGAAAAGACTAGTGTTTTAGCTTAAATTTTGGATTTTTCAGTTTTAATACTTTGTGAATATGGCAAATTTAATGCAAAATTCATAATTTTAAATAATTTAGATATGTCAACTTTTTTCCTGTCTCTCCACTTACATCGTCTCAAGAATCCACACATGGAGAATCTACATTTAATTTTCGGCAGTGATTTGCGACAATGCTCCTCTTAAGGTAGATCGCGGGTTTGCTGACGTCACAATAGGATCTGACGTAAAAAGATTACCGCGTTCAGATTAGCAAGCAAAAAATATCTTCAGCAGTACTGTATGCAGTAAAAAGTGAAATATATATTAAAGGTTGTTTGGTGTTTTTAAATATTTTGTTATGTAATTGAAAATAATTGATGTTCTGATCAAGGTTGTCTTTAACATTATAAGTAGTTTTTAACGCTGAAATCTGTTGTGTACATACGTACCTTTCTAAAATACTATTGACAGTATATGGTAAATCAATATGCTTATCATTTGTACATGAGTTTCTCTTATTGATGATTTTTTTTTTGGGGGGGGGGGGGGGGTTAAATTAGATAATTATCAACAGGAGAGACGTTAATGATTTAGGTATAAAATATGTATGTCCTATAAATTTTCATCTATAATTAACTCAGGCCCTTTTTATTGAAAATCAATAGCGATTCGGCGTACAACTGCGATTTGTGTTTTGTGTGGAAGTTGGGGTATCAAGGCAAGAGTTTCAGGCCCATAGGAATCAGTTTCAATTATGGGCACAGCTACTTGTATATATTTTCAGTTATCAACAACCAAAAATTCCTCGACAAGCATAAAAAAAGGAGGGGGGGGGGGGTTATCAGGCATTTTAATGGAGAGGACACGAGCATGTGGTAGCATTGTTTTCTAAACTATTATTACCTGTTTTCTATAGTACACTGTATGCTTTCTATAGTATTCTAATTATCGGCAAAGTAATGATAAGAAATTGCCTTTACGACATTTTGAAGGGAAAACTGAAGTCTTTAAATTCAGGGATAGACAAAAGTAATTCATTCTATGAAGTATAAATGTATACAACGTAGTTTATAAAGCTTTTTTCATACAACTGCAATATTTCCGATTTAAAATTGGGTCTATTTTATTAATAGATAAAAATGATGCAAAAATGTATATGTTTGAAAATGTTCTCAAATCCGGTAAGATGTTTCTTTTTTTTCTTACATCCATGTACATTTGTTATAATTTTTCTGCACCCCTAGCCTTACGTTTATTACGAGTGCCACGCTGTTGGTTAACTATGACTATGATTTAATATATCGGGAAATTGAATTCACGGATTGCATATTTTATTTTGAGTGAATTGTTAATTAATTCATTTTTTTTTTCGAGTCATGCAGGCATACGAAAATAATGACGTCGCACCAACGTAATATATCGTCGTGATGAAAATATAACACTTTTGCTGAAAAATTATAAAACTTTAAAGTTTTTTTGCAAGAAATTGAGCGAGAACACATATTAACTTTTTTTTAATAAATCGATTCTAAATTTACTTCACATTCATTGTATCGAGTGATATAAAATTCGTCTGCTTCGTTTTAATGTTATGATTATGGTTTTAAAATGCGTATACCGGTAGAAAAGGGACATTTTACTATATATTTCATTGAAAAAGCATCATATGTTCTCATCAGCATTAGCGCATTTGAATTACGATTACAATCTTACCACGCAGACGAATCTCATAAAAATTTCAGAAAGAAAAATTTAAAACGAGAGGAGCTAGCTGACAAATTTTTAGCCGATGTTTTCAGGCAGATAGTAAACCCGCGATCTACCTTAAAGTTAGTTCCATATAATATTACATAAAAATAGAACTCAGTTTATTACGGTCCACGAATTATTATGAAGTACCAAAATAAATTACAGTTGCTAAGGTTATACGCAAACTAAATTACGTATCAAAATAAATAATTCAGTTTACGTATAACCTTAGCAGCTGTAAAAAAAAGTTTTAAATGAGAAAGTTCGAATTCTGCACATAAATAATTTATGTGAAGAGTTAAAGACGAAAGGAACAGAAGGATACCATTGTGGGACTCCACTTTTCTGTGGAATATAATATTTATCTAAAGATATTACTGAATTTATATTAATACAATTAAATAACTTAATTTTATTCTAAATGCTGTCGGACATAAATAAAGTTTGGTTGACATATCTTTAAATTAGTCGATTAAAATATTAATGAAAGAAAATTTGTAAGACATTTAACAGAAAGAAAAAGTTTTTTGTACTAATTATAATCGAAGTCTGCGATACATGTAGGTAAATTGCTCATTTTTCCGAGCTATACCTTTATGACAAATTTTAAGTGTGTATTCTTACTTTGGTTGAATATCATATTCATTTAAGAATGAAAAGACAGTTCTTTTTTACTGGTATTTGATAACACGACAATTTTCCTTTTTGTACCTCAAAAAAGCCTATGAACTTCAATCCCTGTGTTCAATGTAGGAAATAAGAAGAAATTCATGTTTAAAAACTTTATATTTCAATCATTTGGACACATCAAGCTAATAAACAAGTAACGAAACAAACTCAATAAATAGTACTATTCACATAACAACACAAACCAAAAGATAAGGTTTGAATCGTTCATTGGCACTAAGTCATTTTGAAGCACTAGTGTAACTGGTTACCATGGACGCCAGGGCCCGGCGGAACTTCCGCTATCGGAGGAAGAGGAAGTGGTCACACAGTCACTGAGGTTGATGTCCTCCAGAGCGGGGAAGCTGGGAATCACGCTGAGTCTCTTCTTGGCTACAGGGGTGGAGGTGTGGAGAGGAACACCGATGTCTGAGTGGAAGGGAGAGCGCGGTGGCTGGAACTCTGTCGGCACACGATCGGGGATGGCGGAATACACTTCCGTTGGACGGACATCGAGGGGGGCGTTGTAGAAGTCCATGTACATGTTCTGATCCTGGAAGTAGACCTCGGCGTACTTAGGTTGGACGAATGGCGGCACTTCCTGGACACCCTCGTGACACAGAACGTTGCTAGGATACAACTGCTGGCCGGAAGTGGAGGAACTGTCGCTGTGGCTGCTGAGTTCGAACCCCTGGTTGACGTAACCCGTGCTGTGATTGGTGGCGGAGAGATGGCGGAGGGATACGGTGAAGTGGTTGATGAGGTTGGTCTTGGTGACGTTGTCGATCTTCTGCTCAGATCGGAGACAGTGGAGGACCTCGCTGATACAGCGGCTGTACCCCTCTCTATACCTGTCGTCTGGCTCTCTCGTCTCTGGAACAACAAATCAAGACATTAGAACTTTAGAATCTATCACTTAAATAAAATAATATATTCTGAAATGTTCTAAATATTACTTTTTATTTTGACGATTAATCAGATTAAAATCAAACCATCTTTTTAAACATAAGAAATATTGCGTGGATCAAATTCGAACTTTTTCTAAGTTTTCTTTTACCAATATTCAAAGATTGTGAACTCAATGTTTTTCTTTTTGTTTTTTTTTCTGACATACATATAATTTTATATTTTCCTGTAATGTAGATAGATACTTTACCTTGTTTTCCGTCCTTGCTGTTCATGGCGTACAGGTGATTGACCGCCATCTCCAGGATGTCTGCCTTCTCCAGCCGGGGAAACTTCTTCTCCTGGATAAAACAAAATATAAATCAATGTTCAGTTTACATACTTAAGAACTTTGTCATTCATATGTATTCAGAAATTGTTCTTTATATTTTATTCTTTAATAATGTGCCTTTTCTTAGAATTGTCTGTATAATTTAATTATTGGTCGAATATAAAATTTTTACACTTTTTTAAAAATGAGAAAATAGAATTTAAGGTTATTTTCTCTTTATTTCACTATAGTTTGAACACCTAAAAAGTACAATATATAATTTTTTTTAAGTTGACTTACATCTTTGCCTGTGGCTTTCATGACGAGGGATTTAAGTTGTCCCAGACATTTGTTGATTCTCTCCCTTCTCTTCCTCTCTGTCTGAGGTTTGTTAGCCTGAAATTACATTAAAAAAAGATTATTACAAATTCGATAAAAATATCACAATCATATTTTCAACTAATATGTTCTGTTTTGATATAGCAAGTCCTCTTAGTTACTTTAATTAAGACGAAACATCTCGCTAAATAATAATTAAAGAGATTTTTTAAATCAGTAATTTAAGAAATAACCATAGATTAGATTAGATGTTCAATGATTTATTTCCTTTTTTTAATTTTCACGATTTCATTTGCTTCCTCTAAGATTAATACAATTTAATTTGCTTTTTATTTATTTTTTTTTTCAAATGCAAATTTCTTTTTCAGTCTGTTTTCCATTTTTATTTACAAATTGAAATCAATATACCTTTCTGAGGGGAGTTTGGATTTCGGAAGCTTTCTTCATTTTTTCTGCCAAACTAGGTCTCTTTGCACGTACACTCATTGCCTTCTACTAATTTATAAAGTAGTTATGTCTGCGAAAGTTAATTTGTAAATGACCCTGTTCAGTTACTGTCACCTATTGTAATGTATGCAAATCACCACTATTGTCCAATCAGAACGCGCGCTTGGTTCACGTGTCAGCCGTCAAGTGACCCGTGTCGGTAATTAACTGGGGGCACACGGACCTCATCAGCGTGATAGGGTTTTAATCCTGCTAATCACTGTAAAAACAAACCTCGTGTCATTAGTCAGTTTTCGCCACTAACGATGACTTGAGCGCGTGTTTGACGAATTCGTGGACGCCAACATGAAATTTTTAAAACAACATTGGGGTAGCACTGTTTGTCTGTCTTATCTTACGTTTACTCTGTTATAGCTTCTGGCTTCCAGTCCATGAGTAAACTTTATATCAACAAGTGATTTTGTCGCATTAAAAATATATTTTATACAAAGAGAGATTTATTGAGTATATAAACTAAAAGGAAACCATGGTTTTTCTCTGTAGTTTTATGAATTACAGAAATTTTGAGATTTTTTTTTTTAATTATACCATTTCAGTAATATAGGCCCCATAAAGAAATCATTTGTAATTTTCATTTTATTCTACTTTTAATTCTTTTTTTTTCTCTCTTTTTTAAAATAATTTGTTTTAATTTATTCTTCTCTTTTTAATTCTGAATTTATTCAATAAATTATTTTAAAGTTTTTGTTATGATGCAAAACATTATAAACGTTGTTAACTGTGCTCTAATTTATTAGTACATTTTAAGTAAATTAATTTTTTTGAGTAAAGAGTTTTCAAAATGACTTCAAGGTACAAATGTCAACTTGTAAATAGACTAAAACTGAACAAAATTTACTGTGTCATTAGAAATTGACACGTGGTTGACGAGGATGGAATGCTCAACGAACCGGTAATATCACTCGACAAACCGTTAATGTTAAATAGAGCGGAACGGTACACAGGGTCATCTGATAACCCATGACATCTGACCCTCACGGAAAATTAAATTACAATTACATTTTTTTCTTTTGCTAAGGCAATTTTTATAAAAATAAAATTGTAGATAATTTTAAGCAGTCGTAAATAATATGAAACGAGCTTAATGATATAAATCATAACCAAAGTATAATATATTACTCGGTTTGTAATACAAATGTATATTATAAATCTTTAATAATTAGGTTGGGGAAAATCAATAAGAAATCTTCGAATAAAAAATGAAGTAACAACTGAGTCATAAGAATTTATAATATTTAAAATGGCTTTGATTTAATGTTTATGCAAGTATCAGAAACTAAATGACTAATAATACAAGTAAATTTCAGTGTATGAATTGAAACTTAACGTATGTATGCAATAAGTACAATGTAATATATAATAATTAAAGCAATTTCAAGAGGGGGGGGGGGGGCATAAAAGGTTTTCAGTGGACGAAGGTGACCAAAGCAAATGAAAAAAAGGGGGGTCTTCTTCAAGCGTTATCATTGAGGAATCATAAACACATTGAAAGTAGCAGTGTTTTTAATACATGTAGTATGGCAAAACTTGTTTGGGGGCCCCTATCCCTGGTTTTTATGGCCCTAAAGAATATTATAAAATTATTCATTAATAAAATTAACAAAAATAAACAAATGTATTTTCATATCATCCACTTTGCTGGTTATAAGTTTTTCAGTTCAACACAGTCAGAAATGGATGAACAACACATATTTTGCTCTAACAGACGGACTGGCTACAAAAAAAGACAGATGAACAATGTAATTCTTGAACAATGCTAAAGGAATCTTGCATATTCGGTTGGGGGACCTTATTGAACATTTTTCAAATGATTTAAAGTTAGTCTATCCAATAAGTTTAGAGTGGGGAGTGAAATCAAAGAAGTCCATTCTATTTAGTAGAAATCCTTGGAAAAATTAAGAACATACCGTTCATGTCTTTATGTTAATAAATTAAAATATATTAATTAAAAAAAAGAAATTCTTTTCAACCTTTTACTCAGTTTCAATAATTAAATGAGAAAAAAATTCAAACAAAAACATAAATTCATAAAGTGAAAGAATTTTATTTCTAGGAAATAAAATACATGTACTAGTAAGTATATGCATGCAAATAATAACACCTTTAAAAAATTTTGTTACAAACTGAAGTATGCAATCTTTGTTCCAAACATCAGATTTAATGATTACCAACAATCAAATTCCCATGAAGACAGATAAAGGGTATTTTCATTTAATAATTTTATAAAATGAAATCTTTCAAAATCGAAAAGCATTAATGATTTTTTAACATACTTTTCTTAAAGTGCAAACATGGGCATATATTTATGTACATGTACTACACAATATAATTTTTAAAATATTTCAGAATGCAGCCTAAAAGAAAAATGTAAACAAAAAAAAAAACATTGTCACAATAAATTTAATCATTTCTATCAGATTGTTGTGACGTGTACAAAAGATTCTTTTTAGAGTCACATGAGGCAAATGCTTTGGTCCCACTTTGTTTTATGTCTAGTATGAATAAAACATGTAATTTTTTGTCACTTAACCATCAGAGAATGTTAACACCTAGGTGACTTGATCCATATGACTTCACATTTGGCCTTTACCGGCAGCTAGTTCACCGCAGTTAGGACATTTTTTGAGTCGCTTTGGTATGCATTCATCACAGACTCGGCAGCCACAGGGTTTTATTTTTAGTGTGGCATCCTCTTCCTCACAGGCTTGACATTGTGGTGGTTTTTTGGGGCGTACTGATGGACTCCTGTTGAAATTAAACAAATTGTACTCTAATAATGTTGTTCTGTAGTTTGTCATCCTTTTTACTGATTTGAATGTCAATCAGATATTCTAAAATCCTGAAATTTGCCATTTTGAAAATAGACCTCTTTGATTACTTTTACAAATTACTTTGTGATTTGTATAGAACAAAGTGTATTCCAGGTGTTTATTTTGAAGAAGTTAAAGAATTTACAAAAGGGCATGGTTTGTTGTTTATGATTGTAGGAAGTTATATAAAACTGTTTCCATAGTGATAAATTTTACTAAATTGCAGAATTCCCTATAATCCCCCCCCCCCCCCCCCCCCCCCCCCCCCCCCCCCCCCCCCCCCCCCGCATACATTTCTACACAGTTTATGTATTGAAATTTCCCCTAACAGCCGAGTAATTCTTTGTGGTTATACAATTGTGTTTATGTAGAGGGAGGCGTCATTAACTCACAGTTTTTCCTGTATGAGGTTCTCCACCTTCTCCCTCAGGGATGGAGACACGGCGACCTCCAGCGGCGTCTTCCCCTCGTTGTTCCTCAACTCTGTCTGTACGTTATGTTGGATCAGCAGCGCCGCGATCTCCAACTTCTCCTTCTCCAGAGAGCTGTCTGTCTGGCCCGAGTCCGCCTTCTGCATCTGTAAATATAGCATATCATTGTAACAGATGAGGAGAAACATGCAGCAGAGCAGACCGGGATTCTAACCTGGGCCCCCTGAATCTCCAGTCAGGTGCTCTACTGACTGATCTATCCGGCCTATGGCGATGGAACCTGGTTGACTGCCACATCATTATACAGAATGGCACATCTGCTGCTATGTCTTAACTACAGTATGACCAGCATAACCAGGTACCTCAGTCCTTATTAGACCTCAGTAACTCAATCTCACAATGATTACCTTTGCAAACTCCATAACAGCAGGTCTCCCCATCAGACAAAGGTGAAGGGCATTGTTTCCATTCTCGTCTGGGGCATTAACATTGGCCTTCCCTATCAAAAACAATTTATTTATTCATAAGATGTAAAATCATAGTTGCAATTAATATCACAAAGAGACTAGTTACTGAGATTAAATGGAAGGAAATTTTTATAAACTTAGAATCCCTACCTTCTTCAATGAGACATCTCGCTGTTTTGTAGCTGCCATAGATAGCCGCGATGTGAAGTGGTGTCTGACCCTCAGCTTCTGTCTGTTTCGTTGTCCTTGCACGCTGTTCATAATTAATACAGTAAAATAAGGTTATACTGGATGAGATTATACGGTTATGTGATAATCAGGAATTCACTATAATGAAGTTCACTTTAAACAGGCTCTACTGTATCTTTTTACAAATGATGCTTAATAAACTGTAAAATAATATCCTGATTATATTTTGCAATAGGATTTTGAGATGAAAGCTCAAGTGAGCTAAAATCAATCAAATTCTATAAAACTATATACACATATATCATAATTACATTTTGCAGCAGGATTTTGGCGATGTCATCATGATCCATACAGGCGGCGAGGTGGAGCGCTGTGTACCCATCATCCTTCTGTGTATTGATGGCTTTAGGACATTTCTGTAGGATCTGCCGCATAGCACTGAAAAAAGGAGTCTCATTTTACAGATTTTTAAATTCAATCTTAATTTCTAACTCTGCAGTTAGAATCTAAATAATTGAAATTTCTTAGAAGAATTAGGGTTTTTTTTCATGTTAGCAAATTATTCTTTTTTTTTTTAACCCAAGATTTTTATAAAATATCTTTAAAATGAAGTTATGAATCTCACTGTAGCTTAAAAAAAAAGAACTGTCCCATTAAAAAACGATCACTATAAATTAATACCCTCCCACTTTTCAAGCGGGGAATGAAGTCTGATAAAAATGTTATGCCATTCAAAATGCAAGAGGGGGGGGGGGGGGAAAAACTGCTCATGGAATATATTATATCTAAATTTAATAAACTCACTGTGTATCTCCTTTTCTGGCAGCCAGATGGATGGGTGAGAAACCCAGCTTATTTTTAAACTCCAAGTTAATTCTTGGCCAGTTGAAGACAATGTCTATGATTTCAGGGTCCCCTATAGTAATGGCGTCAGACACAGGACTGTCTCCAAGCTTATCCTAGAGCGGCATTACCAAATTTGTCATTATTAAAACTAAATTAACTTTTTTTATCAAAGCTTGTAAAATCCTAGTTACATATTCTATAAAAGACTAGGATAAATTATGTACATGTTCATGCAGTATTAATTAAGGGTCAAATGTTATTTGAATGTTGAGAATAATTTACCAACATCTCTCATTAAAAAGCGAAATTCCTGTAGAATTCCCAGTACTTACAGTGATGTTGAAGTCAGACTTTTTCTGGAGGATCCTGAGGATGTCCTTCTTTTCCCGCTGTACCGCTATGTGGACCGCGGTCTGACCGTTATTGTTAGTGATGTCAGGGTTAGCTCCCCTGTCCAGCAGAAGTTGTACTACTTCTTTATGACCTCTACAAATAAAAGATTTCCAAAATACTGAATTACAATATTAATTATTAAAATGAAGGTTAGATACAACATATAATCTTATTTCTCATTTGTTTTAAAAAAGCTTTAAACTGCTTCTGAAATAACTTGCACAACTTTCATTTTATAGTACAAGAATGGAAGCATGGCTCTTTACGTATAAAAGAAGTGGGTACAATGAAGGAGAGATATTTGCTTTAGATAGAATACGATTGCTGACAGGAAAAAAAATATGGTGATCTTACCTCCTGACTGATATCAACAGAGGAGGTGCTGCCTGGTGGTCCATTTTGGCCCCAAACTTCAACAAAGCCTCCACAATGGCGGGATCGCAGTTCTCCTGATCACAGGCCAAGGTCAGGGCAGAGTAGCCGTTCTCAAACAAACAATGCTGCGGAAAAAAACAGTTAAATGAAATATAAATCTCCAAGCACTAAATCTGTTCTGATGAGCACTTATCATCTTGTTAAGCATTTGTTAAATGAATCTACTCACTGCGAGTGCTGGGGTCTTCTGTAACATTTCTAACACCTCTTTGGTTTTCCCTTTCTTTAAAGCCACCTTAAACTTGTCTTTCACACCTGAGTCTGCAGATTAGATTTAGATTCAATGTTTTGAACAATTCACCAATACATTTCAAATTTACCTTCATATTGCTTGATTTATTTCTCTGTCTACAATTCAGCCATGTCATTAGAGAGAGGGAGGAGAAAATGAACTGTAACAGAAGCTGAATTTATCAAAGAATTAAGTTGGTTTACCTGGTTCTTCATATGACCGTTCATCTGAAGAGCTCCGTGATCTCTGTTCATCAGGGGAGGGAGAGCGTGACCTTGGCGGGGTACGCTGAGGCGTGTGATCTGGGGTGCGCTGAGGGGTGCGCTGTGGTGTACGCTCTGGTGTACGTTCTGGTGTGCGTAGCTGGGTGGTGGTAGAACTTTCTCCCAGATACTGTCTTCCTGTCTCAGAACTTGAGAGGTCCTGGACCACACGTTCCTCCTGAGGTGGTGGAACGTCCTCAGCTGTCTTTACTGTGTCCTCTGCTTTCTGTGGTGTCTCCTCCTCCTTAAATTCATCAGGGCTCCCACTAGATGGCGTCAGACACTCCGGGTTAAACTTAATCTCCTGGATCCCAAAACTGACTATAACATCTCCATCTGAATCCACACTCACAACTCGACCCTTCTTCCCCAGGAACTAAAATAAGACTTTTTATATAATTTCTGGCAATAATCTGTTAAATCAAATCAAATATATCATCTAAAACAATCTTTTAACAAACGCTGTGACCTGATGCATAGATGTACCTTTTTCATGCTTTCCTCCCAGGGTCCGTGGCCATTCTGTAGATGGTGTACACTTGTGGCATCACTTTCCAACTTCACCACTTGGTCCTTCACATACTGCTCTATCTGAAATTAACACAGAAGTGATTAAGACCTGCTGCACTGTTGCAACCCTGACATTCTACAGTTTCCTGTAGCACCAGATTTTTACCTTGGCCAAAGCCATTTCATTAAGAGTCCACTTTTTGCCATCAAAATCCACCGTGACCTGTTGTCCATTGACAAGCAGCACTGATCCATTCACTCCAATACACTGAAGAAAAAAAGATGTAAGGAAATATTTACTATAGGATTAATTAGATATTTTATTAACATCAATCTGATATTAAGTTATTAAATTTCCAATAGATAAGCACTGTATTCTCCGTGTACCTCTATGATTCTCTCGTTCCAGTTCTTGGACTCTTTGAGGATCATCTGGAGGGTATCTAGATCCACCCCTATCTTGACCTTGTCCCCCTTCTTCAGTCTCACCTCCTCCTCCGGAGGAACAACCGCTGAGGCTCCCCCCTCCCTGGCCGCCTGGTTTGGTCCTGGGCGAGGCTGATCTGGTAGCTCTGTTCCCAGAATGCATCAGTCAATGAAAAACTTTAAATCAGTGAACTATTGGTCACATGCCAAAATACTGTAGATCACTAAATTTTCACGACACCTCACATGCCAAAATATTTTCAAACCTCTATATAATCTCTTTTGTGTTGCATGTGCTAAAAAGTGATTTACAGTATTTAAACCAACTCTTTTGTGTTGCATGTGCTCTTCTTTTGACATAATCTATGTATAACTTAAATTTTATTATAAGCTGGCTTTTTATTAAATTAAAGAAACAGTACAAGACTGAACAAATAGGTATTTTACATATCAATCATTTTAAATTGCTGAAAACTAATTGTTTTCTGTACATGATTAGTAGACATCAAGACTCACTAAAGATAGGAAGATGATCCTTGTAATAGAACCCTCCACTGGAAGCTTCCTCGGCCTTGACATCGACGCAGCCTTTGTAACCAAGGCGATAGACATTAGTGTGACCCGAGTCCCAGGCCACCTCGACCCCGTCATGATCCGTGTCCAGCGTAAAGTTCACAATAGCGAGCACCGTACCCTTATTTCCATCTCCACCTTTTAAATTCAATGAATCACAGTTATCATTGTGGTCATCTTGATCAAATATTAACTCAGCATTTCAAATCATAAATGTTTGCCTGACATTTGAAAAAGGATGGACAGAAAAAGATAAAGAAGGATACATCTTCTATCTTCCAAAATAAACTCCACACTTTTGTCTCTTAATCTTGTAAATCCAGTGTATAGAGATTTTGAGAAAACCTACCATCTTGGTTTTCCCATCTCCAGTCAATTCCGCGAGTCACCTTAGCGTCCTCAAAAATCCCAAACACCTTCTGTCTGCTGCTCAGCTGTCTCTTAGGAACGGAGCATCTACAAAAATACGGGAATTCTGAGAACATCTGCTATCAATGAGAAGATTTACCTCCCTTTAGAAAATCAAGTTTGTACTGAAAAATGACTTTGTACTAGAACTTCTCTGAGCCAGTTTTTATTTTCAGAGCTACTTAGTTTCTGTGACATTTTAAAAGCAAATATATTTTGCGTAAGAAAATATTGTTGAATTATTATATTAATTAATTAAAGAGAGTAGCTGCAAAAGAACTTGAAATTGATTAATTATTTTCTTTATATTTCATAACAGATCTAGTAAATCTTCTCACCCCTTGTGACTGGGATAGTCAAACCGTGTGAACTTGTGGATAATGTCATGCTTGTCGCTATGGTAACAGTGACTACACAGGACGACATTGGAGCACTGGTCACACTGCCACAACATCCCGAATATTTCCGGTTCCTCACAGCCCGGGTTTGTACATTGTCTGTCATGCTTAATTCCTGAATCAGAATTATAACTTGGATCAGGTACTAGTATTTATAAGTGGATTTGCAAAACACTGCTTTGTGCTCACACAGCTTTCCATGTAATGGATGCAAAATTCACAAGCAACTCTAGTCATAGATATTTATGGTTATGGAAACAAAGGAACACAGGAAACAGGAAATTTGATTACTTACATTATTTGTGTGTTATTTGTTGTAAATAGGTTTTTCATTGGATGAGTTGCAAAAATTAGTTATGTTTTTCACAAAATAAAATGTCATGTATTTTGGTGTCTTAAGCATGGGCACTGGTAGTTAATGTAAATATTGGGTATGTGCATGTATAAAAACTTAATATTTACATAAACTTCCTGTACCCCTTGTGTCTAGAGTTAATTATACTAACCTAGGGCTGACGTATCGTAGATCCTGAGGTCGTACTGATCTTCATACCCCACCCTGTACATGTTCCTGTACCCCTTGTCCCACTGGACCTGAGCACACATCGGGGGCACCTTGCCAGAACTCTCCTCGTGTCCGATTTCTACCACGGTCCCTAGGTGCCCCTCCCCTCCATCCTGGTCCCCCCATGACCAGTTCTGTCCCCTCACCACACGGATTCCAATGTCAAATACCATACCTACAGGAAAATGTAATATACACAAGTCTTACTGAATACTTTTTTAAGTGATAACTTTTCAAGAGGGTTAAAAATGATGAGTTCTACTGAGTTATATAGATATAAAGAGGGTTCATAATAAAAAAAAGTTACTGGTATTGATAACAATAATATTTATTAGTTTTAACAGATCAGAATACAGTGAAACTTGTCTAATCTAAATGTTGTTTATTCTGAAATCTTGTCTAACCTGAAGCTCCTTTTAGTTAATTCAATGTTCAAGATGTTGTCTTATCCAGCCAATTCTTTTATAAGGCCATGCAAAGTTAATTCCTTGGTTCTCAGGCCCTTTTACAAGAAATATGATAAGGGAGGGATTTTTTTTCTTTTTTTATTGTCCCCAAAACATGATGAGGCAGCTTTTTACATAGTACAAAACCTCAAAAAATGATGAGGGAGGTGATCTGTTGTTTTTATTTTATTGATTTAGCAATAAAAAGGGTCAATGAGGCACCCTTGGAAGAGATGAGGGAGGGCCTGAGAACCAAGAAATTAAATTTTTTTTGCGTAACCATTGGTGTTTAGATTAGACAAATTTTACTGTATATCTTGTTATACCAAGATGGAAATACTGGCCTTGATAATAAAAGCTGTACTTTGAACAAAATTAAACTGAAAAGAATTTATACCTCCATGATAAGGAGGTAATTAAATAAAAATTAATATGAGGTACATATTTTCTAGGCTGCATTATCCCCCTTTTTTCTGCAATATATTTTTTTTTTTTAAATCAAAGCATATACTTTACATTGATTATTTTAAGGAAAAACTGTATTTTTCTTAATCTTTTAAATATGTATTTAAAAAATCCAAGCATATAATATACCACTGAATAAAAAACAACTCTATATAAAAATATAAATCAAATCATACAACTATCAAAATGAAAGTTATGCGTTAATTTACTTTTATATACATGTAAAATGATTAAATTTTATATGGGCCGGGATTGCATTAAAGGCTAGATCATTGTTTGTTTTTTTCCATTAAGTCATGATTGTCTGTCTTTAAAACGGTTAAAAAGAGACTTCTAAATGATTTTTCCCCTAATGAAATACATGCATCTTTTAAAGTTTCCTTAAAATAATTCTGAACAGCTGTATGACTATTTATAATAGCTATTACATTAATTACTACAGTACTAAATAAGTTTTTAAAACACTAAGATTTCAAATAAAACCAAGTGTATTAATTAAAAAAGTTTTAAAGTAGACCTACCCAACAGAAAAAGACCTTTGATTAATCAAACTGAAAGTGGAAATTCACACTGAAGGAACAGGAAATTTTTGTTCTAAAAATAAATCCTGTGGATTGAAATTCCAGATATAGGCTACATTGTCTAGGGAGTAGTAATTATTTACAAAATGGTTTGAAAAGCAGATGCTGTTAAAAAAAATCTAGAGAGGTACTCACAAAAGCTTAAAATAAAATTATTATAATAGCTCTTCCTTTGGTCTTATATAAATTAAACTTTATTGGACAATCAATACCAGGTATTCTTACTTTGGTTGATAAGTTCCAAATAACTAACAAACTAGGCTCTTAAAGCACATTGCATAATTTAACACCAAAATCTCTGAAGTTTTCTTCCTCTTTCCTCTTTCAGAGTTTTTGCCTTTTTATTTTAGATTTGCAAGCTTGATTATGGAGAGGATCATGCAAATGCAAACTCAAGTAAAGTATGTAATCATAATTTCTATGTTGACTGATTGAATTTTATGAGCAAAAAATATCATACTGTACAGAAAACAATTATATATATGCATGATATATAAATCCTAAAATTATTCTTATGAATAAATATAGATGTTATTTTACCACATTTGTTTTGTGAGGCTGCTGCAGTACTCCCTTCTGATTCTAGACTTCCACTCGCTCCAGCACCTGAAGGAAAAAAACAAAGTTGAAGTAATTATCCCAAATTCTCTGTCTATTTATCATCAATCATCATCATCATTACATTAGCAGCAGTAGCATCATTTACATCATCATTATCATCACATTATTATCATCATCATCACCATTATCACAATCATCATCATAACCAACATCATTTACAAAATCATCATCATCATCACATATTAATCATCATCATCACATTATTATCATCTACCTTCCTCTTCCTCAAACAGAAGATCGGGAGGGTTGTACTGCTTCACACAGCAGGAGGGGCTCAGAAGGTACTCTCCCAGTTTGGGGAATCTCACGTACAGTGTCCCATCTCTGTCCACATCAAACACCTTGCCTAGTTTCCCGGGAAGCTGAAAAAAAAATTACATAAAAATTCATTTAAATTTTCATCAATACAATGTATCCAAAATTTATTTTTTTTAAACTATTTAAATCAAGTCCTCTTTCTACCTTCAATGTATCAGGCTGACAGGTGTTTTTGAGCTTTACAGTCACACCTGCTGCTAGAAGCACACCTGATTAATTAACTACAGTCAACTCTGATATCTTGTCATATTTTGTTGGTCCTTCTGATGTTGAGATAACAAAGATGACCTGTTAATCTTTCTACTCCCTTACCGCCTTCATATCCTCCAGCCATCCCCCGTGGTTCCCCTGTAGTCTCAGTATCTGGTTCACTTACCACCTTCATATCCTCCAGCCATCCCCCGTGGTTCCCCTGAAATCTCTGTATCTGGTTAACTTACCGCCTTCATATCCTCCAGCCATCCCCCATGGTTCACTTACCACCTTCATATCCTCCAGCCATCCCCCGTGGTTCCCCTGTAGTCTCAGTATCTGGTTCACTTACCACCTTCATATCCTCCAGCCATCCCCCGTGGTTCCCCTGAAATCTCTGTATCTGGTTAACTTACCGCCTTCATATCCTCCAGCCATCCCCCATGGTTCACTTACCACCTTCATATCCTCCAGCCATCCCCCATGGTTCCCCTGTAGTCTCTGTATCTGGTTCACTTACCGCCTTCATATCCTCCAGTCATCCCCCGTGGTTCCCCTGTAGTCTCTGTATCTGGTTCACTTACCACCTTCATATCCTCACTTAACGCCTTCATATCCTCCAGCCATCCCCCATGGTTCACTTACCACCTTCATATCCTCCAGCCATCCCCCATGGTTCACTTACCGCCTTCATATCCTCCAGCCATCCCCTGTGGTTCACTTACCGCCTTCATATTCTCCAGCCATCCCCCGTGGTTCCCCTGTAGTCTCTGTATCTGGTTCACTTACCACCTTCATATCCTCCAGCCATCCCCTGTGGTTCACTTACCGCCTTCATATCCTCCAGTCATCCCCCGTGGTTCACTTACCGCCTTCATATTCTCCAGCCATCCCCCATAGCTCACTTACCGCCTTCATATCCTCCAGCCATCCCCCGTGGTTCCCCTGTAGTCTCTGTATCTGGTTCACTTACCGCCTTCATATCCTCCAGCCATCCCCCGTGGTTCCCCTGTAGTCTCTGTATCTGGTTCACTTACCACCTTCATATCCTCCATCCATCCACTGTGGTTCCCCTGTAGTCTCTGTATCTGATTCACTTACCATTTTCATATTCTCCAGCCATCCCCCATGGTTCACTTACCACCTTCATATCCTCCAGCCATCCCCCGTGGTTCCCCTGTAGTCTCTGTATCTGGTTAACTTACCACCTTCATATCCTCCAGCCATCCCACATGCTTCACTTACCGCCTTCATATCCTCCAGCCATCCCCCATGGTTCACTTACTGCCTTCATATCCTCCAGCCATCCCCCGTGGTTCACTTACCACCTTCATATCCTCCAGCCATCCCCCATGGTTCCCCTGAAATCTCTGTATCCACCTTCATATCCTCCAGCCATCCCCCCATGGTTCACTTACCACCTTCATATCCTCCAGTCATCCCCCGTGGTTCACTTACTGCCTTCATATCCTCCAGCCATTCCCCATGGTTCACTTACTGCCTTCATATCCTCCAGCCATCCCCCGTGGTTCCCCTGTAGTCTCAGTATCTGGTTCACTTACCACCTTCATATCCTCCAGCCATCCCCCGTGGTTCCCCTGGAATCTCTGTATCTGGTTCACTTACCACCTTCATATCCTCCAGTCATCCCCCGTGGTTCACTTACCGCCTTCATATCCTCCAGTCATCCCCCGTGGTTCCCCTGAAATCTCTGTATCTGGTTCACTTACCACCTTCATATCCTCCAGTCATCCCCCGTGGTTCACTTACTGCCTTCATATCCTCCAGCCATTCCCCATGGTTCACTTACTGCCTTCATATCCTCCAGCCATCCCCCGTGGTTCCCCTGTAGTCTCAGTATCTGGTTCACTTACCACCTTCATATCCTCCAGCCATCCCCCGTGGTTCCCCTGGAATCTCTGTATCTGATTCACATCCTCAATCACTCGGATTACGTCCCCCTTCAGGACGACCGACACCTACAGATAAATGAAGGCTCACATTACTAACATAAATACTGTACAAGTAATATATCACACCCAGGACTCTGTAATGTTATTAACCTTTGTACAAACTTATAAATGTTATAGTGATATTTTCTTTTAATTTTCAGTGGTTAGACACCTTTGTTAAAACTTGTTAAGACAGTATTTCCCTTTGCAATTATTCCATACCTTTGTACAAGCTTGTCTGTAGATCAACCAGGGTCGTCCAGAGACTTCAAAGTGGACCAGGAGTCTGCTGTTGTCTTGTAGCTTTTTGACGACTCCTATCTCACCTACAATCTAGAAAGTTACAAAGTACATATTAAACATCTGTTCATCTGAGTATTACCATGGTAATATTATTAGCTCACCTGAGCCGAAGGCTCAAGTGAGCTTTTCTGATCAAAATTTGTCCGTTGTCTGTTGTTGTCGTCGTTGGCGTCGTTGTCGTCGTCGTTGTAAACTTTTCACATTTTCATCTTCTTCTCAAGAACCATTGGGCCAATTTCAACCAAACTTGAAACAAAGTATCCTTGGGTAAAGGGGATTCAAGTTTGTTCAAATAAAGGGCCACACCCTTTTCCAAGGGGAGATAATTATGAATTAGAGAAAAATTAATGGCATTTTTAAAAAATCTCCTTCTCAAGAACCACTGGGCCAGGGAAGATGAAACTCATGTGTAATCATCCTCAGTTCGTCTAGATTCAAATTTGTACAAATCATGACCCCCGGGGGTAGGGCAGGGACAAAATGGTCGATCAAAGTTTTACATAGGAATATATAGGAAAAATCTTTAAAAATCTTCTCCTCAAGAACCACTGGGTCAGGAAAGATGAAACTCATGTGGAATTATCCTCAGGTAATGTAGATTCAAGTTTGTTCAAATTATGTCAGACTCCCGGGGGTAGGGTGGGGCCAAAATGGCTGATCAAAGTTTTACATAGGAATATAGAGGAAAATTTTTTAAAAATCTTCTCCTCAAGAACCACTGGGTCAGGAAAGATGAAACTCATGTGGAATTATCCTCAGGTAGTGTAGATTCAAGTTTGTTCAAATTATGTCAGACTCCCGGGGGTAGGGTGGGGCCAAAATGGCTGATCAAAGTTTTACATAGGAATATAGAGGAAAATTTTTTAAAAATTTTCTTCTCAAAAACCATTGAGACAGGAAAGATGAAACTCATGTGAAATTATCCTCAGATAGACGTGTAGATTCAATTTTGATCAAATCATGACCCGCGGGTATGGCATGCCAAATTCACAAAAATGAGATAAACATAGTTTCACAGTCGATAAACTAGGTTTATCGGTTGTAAACTGTAGTTTACGGACTGTAAACTATAGTTAACAACGTTAATCTATATTTTACATCCGTAAACCATAGTTAACGCGATAATCTATGTTTCACAACCGTAAACTATACTTAACACTGAAAACAATCATTTGCGATTGTGAATCATAGATTATCTGATAAATACAGTTTCACGATTTGTAAACTATAGTTTACAAACCGTTAACTATAGTTAACGATCTGATAAATATAGTTTCACGATTTGTGAAACTATGATTAACAACTCTTAACTATAGTTTACGATTGTAAACTATAGTTTACAAACGTGAATCTATGTTTATTAACAAAATCTATTGTTAACGCTTATTACAGACAGATAAACTTAGATTATCATTCGTAAACTATAGTTAACAACCGTTAAATATAGTTTTACAGATGAAAACTATACTTAACGAATCGTTAACTATAGTTTACGGTTTGTAAACTATAGTTTACAATCGATAAACCCAGTTTATCAAATGTGAAACTAGGTTTATCTCATTTTTGTGAATTTGGCGTGCCATACGCGGGGGTAGGGTGGGGCCAAAATGGCTGATGAAATTTTTACATAGGAATATATAGGGAAACCTTTTAAAATCCTCTTTTCAAGTACTTCAAATCCATGCTTATTGATATTTATATGGAATCGTCCTCAGGTAGTGTAGATTCTAGTTTGTTCAAATCATGACCCCCTGGGGGTTAAAATTCAAGCCCCCCCCCCCAACTCAGTAAACTTTCAATTCTGATCTCATATGTGCTTTTTTCTAGCCAATTGCTCAAGTGAGCGATGTGGCCCCTGGGCCTCTTGTAAAAATATTGCAAGTAGTTGAGTGTAACATTGAAAATGTTCACCCCTCGAAAACCATTGTCAACCGCGGTGCAGCCAAGGTTTACAATGGTTTTCTTGGGGTGAAAATATTCAATGTTACACTCAACTACATGCAATATTTATTATATTATACTGAATGTTTTATACAAATACATATTACAGTGAACCTTGCGCGCATAAATTCCGCGCAGTCGCTATTTTTTGGAATACCACCCGTCGTCAAGCAATGTTGACTGTTGCTACGCAGGAGGGCATGGCTTCATTATTCAGCGGGTAGTAGTGTTTTTAATCAAATGTATCTCAACGAATCAAATTCAAGTAATTTACATGAAAGTATAATATAACAGTATAATAGGCTATCACTTTCTGTGTCTCTGGTCAATATCAATTGCAATGGGTCTTTATAACCACATATTGACTGTTCACTGAAGTCCATAATTGTATAATATTACAGAGCGTTGATACTGACCTGTTCCATTTCGTTGTTCCATCCCCCGAACTCTTTGTTGAGCTGTTTAAACGTGTCTGTGTTGATGTTCACCTGTACCCGATCTCCAACATTGATGTAGGAAGGTTTCACACAAGACAAGTCTGAAAACAATGAACGAACTTTAATTTATCAGACTCAGTGCTTCAGAGAGTACCAGTACTCTTACTGACTTAAGGTCATACGCAACGTAGTTTGAACTTTATTGGGTTCTTTTCTGGAGTTGAAGAGTACCACTAAATGAAAGACCTGTGTGCAATACTAAATTTTAATGTCTCTATATGGATTTGTACACCTCTTCTAAAAAAAAATTTGATGAAAAAAAATCAAGAATTTATGATTTGTAATTTTTGTACATTTTTCTTTAAAAAATGCAAAAATTTTCATAATTTGATATCTTTTCAAAACCCCTGGTAACGCATGCTGATATTTTGTCTAGAAACATGTAATGGTATTATAAGTTTAAATTTAGAATATCTTGAAAAATTATCAGTAGGTAACGTACCTTGCGTATTTTCTTAAACAATTCTTATACTTTTTCAGCAGCAAAAATTCTTGTATTCTTGTAAACTTTTTTGTTACACATTAAATGTACAAGCTTTCCCTATTCAAAACCAGTTATATGCTTCTATCCTTGGATAGCCCAAAGAGTCCAAATATCTAAACAGAGTAAAAATATCTAGACAAAGAGTCAACAATATCTAGACAAAGAGTCTAAATATCTAGACAATTGAGTCAAGATATCTAGACAAAGAGACAAATATATCTAGACAAAGAGTCAAAAATATCTAGACAAAGGGTAAACTAGAAATATGTCCATAGGACATGAATGCCCCGCCAAGGATATATTAGTAAAGCAACATGAAAATTTGTATGTGTATAAAATTTGATCAGTTTGGTTCAGGTAGGACTTATAGGGAATAAAAATGTAGGTCAGATCCAGCATCCGAAGCAAGTCTGGTAGTGTCCATCCCTAGATGCATGATCCATGCAAGTTTGGTTCAGGCAGGGCTTATAGTTACTTGGGAATGAAAATATAGGTCAGATCCAGCATCCGAAGCAAGTCTGGTAGTGTCCATCCCTAGATGCATCATCCATGCAAGTTTGGTTCAGGCAGGGCTTATAGTTACTTGGGAATGAAAATGTACGTCAGATTCAGCATCCAAAGCAAGTCTGGTATGTCCATTCCTAGATGCATCATCCATGCAAGTTTGGTTCAGGCAGGGCTTATAGTTACTTGGGAATGAAAATGTAGGTCAGATCCAGCATCCGAAGAAAGTCTGGTAATGTTCATCCTGAGATGCATCATCCGTGCAAGTTTGTATCAACATGTGAAGTTTGACAACACCATCTTGAATGATATGTTTAAAACCGAGCTAAACACTACTTAAAGAAAAGTGAGGTCAAGGTCAAAGGAAAGGTCAAGGTAAAAAAATCTTGATGCAGTTGCATAGCTCTCATCAATATCTATCAGCATATGAAGTTTGATGAAAATAACTTGGATAGTTTCTTTGAAACTTATCTTTGAACAGAGCTAAACGCAAAATGTGACGGAAGACGGAAGGACGGAAGACAGACATGACAAACACTATATGCCCCGGCCATATTCATGGCGGGGCATAAAAATATCTAGACAAAGAGTCCAAATATCTAGACAAAGATTCAAAATATCCAGATAATTTCTCTCACACACAAATACCTCCTAGTGGTAGATGATCAGCATACACAGCCCCCACTGGGAAAGGTTCCACCATTATGAGTTCTACTTTTCCATCAGCTCCTAGTTTGTGTTTTGATACGGTCCCTGACCAATCTACCATTACTCCACCATTATTTGACCTCCCAAAATTTGTATATTCCACCACTTTACCCTCTGAAAATTTAGTCAATTTGTATATTCCACCACTTTACCCTCTGAAAATTTAGTCAATTTGTATATTCCACCACTTTAACCTCTGAAAATTTAGTCAATTTGTATATTCCACCACTTTACCCTCTGAAAATTTAGTCAATTTGTATATTCCACCACTTTACCCTCTGAAAATTTAGTCAATTTGTATATTCCACCACTTTACCCTCTGAAAATTTTGTCAATTTGTATATTCCACCACTTTACCCCCTGAAAATTTTGTCAATTTGTATATTCCACCACTTTACCCTCTGAAAATTTAGGCAATTTTCAACTGTTTTTTGTAGAGTGCATTTACAATTATAAAAGATGCTCATAAAAAATTACAAAGTTTCCTTCTTAATAAATGTATATTTGTAATATCCATTACATTTACAATATATTTTTAAAAAATGAGGAATGAATATCACTTCACTTTATGTGTTACTTTATTTTCAGCATGTTTTACTGTATATGGCAACAAAACCTTTTGCCCATTTGTGCTGAGACTTTTACAGCATTTATAAAATATATATTACATATACTGCAAATTGTCTTTTTACTACCTCTTTTTAAAATTAAGTCAAATAATATAGAATAATTTTGCTGAAAGATAAATACAGAAAAGATTTTTCATACCTTTCAAGGAAAAGAACTAATACTCTAAATACTAAATTCACAAATTATGACTTTCATACATTTGAAGCTATGGGCCTACTGCATGCCTTGTTTGCCCATCTTCTTTAAACAACCACATTAAAATCCTACACTTCCCCTTGTTCTGCAGTTTGGCTATAACCCTTGCTTCTATTATATACTGCTCTACCAGTACCTTTCTGTTCCCCCTGTGGCTCGGGTGGGAACCTTTTTACAACAGCATTGGGTCCTATTCCAAATATCTTGGTTTTCCTGCTTCTGTTCCGAGCTGGACAAGGGAAGCTAAACACAGCAAAAAAGAAAATACTGTAAAAGTAGTTTTTTCCGCGTGGTATTAATTTACGCTATGTACGCGGCCTCAAATTTTCCGCGGAAATTTGTCCAAGCATACTTAATATAAATGTAAGGCATATAGTGACAGTCTAAGAAATCCGCGTAATTTTCTACCCGCGGATTAAACGGAAATTGAGATTCCGCGGAATTATGACCCCGCGGATAAAAGTACTTCTACAGTACTCATATTAAATATATATCTTATTCTTTGCATTGTAGAAAGAGAAACTTCATAGATGAAATAACACAAACAATGGTGGGGTTACTTTACCATGCTGTCATACTGCTGTCATATCTAACAAACACGTGACCTTTATCGTGTTTGTCATCCATGTAGCATGCAGTACAGAGGTCAAAGTCATTACACTCCACACATTTCCACCGGAACCCTGTCAAGCCCTGCTGTCCACACTCGTCACATGTGATGGTGCGGAAGAAAATGCCTAAAATATTATGAATATCCATCATCCCTGTTCAAACCACATATTTACCCGTATTAACCTGAACTTGACGCTTGATTGATTTACCTGTCTGCTGATGTCAATAAAGTACCTGGTCCTTACCACATACTAGTATTTAACTTACCTGTATTTACCTTTACTTGTTATGCTTGACTGACTTACCTCATATTTACCTGTACTTGTTACTTGTTACACCTGACAGACATACCTGTCTGTTGGATGTCAATTATTCTAGTCCTTATCATATATGTAATATGTAATTTACCTGTATTTACCTGTACATGTCATGCTTGACTGACTTACCTGTTTGTTGGGTGTCTATTATCCATGTTCTTACCACATATTTACCTGTACATGTTACGCCTGACTGACTTACCTGTCTGTTGGATGTCGATTATCCTGGTTCTTACCTGTATTTACCTGATTGTTACGCCTGACTGACTTACCTGTCTGTTGGGTGTCTATTATCCATGTTCTTACCACATATTTACCTGTACATGTTACACCTGACTGATTACCTGTCTGTTGAATGTCTATTATCCTGGTTCTTACCTGTATTTACCTGTACTTGTTATGCCTGACTGATTACCTGTCTGTTGGATGTCTATTATCCTGGTCCTTACCACATATTTACCTGTATTTACCTGATTGTTACACCTGACTGATTACCTGTCTGTTGGATGTCTATTATCCTGTATATTTACCTGATTGTTACACCTGACTGACTTACCTGTTTGTTGGATGTCTATTATCCTGTATATTTACCTGTATTTACCTGATTGTTATGCCTGACTGACTTACCTGTTTGTTGGATGTCTATTATCCTGTATATTTACCTGTATTTACCTGATTGTTACACCTGACTGACTTACCTGTTTGTTGGATGTCTATTATCCTGAGCTCGTTCTTTCCCTCCTCCCCCTCTGCCAGACATTTGGTCACGTTGCCATGGTAATCCCACTGGACCATGGCAGCTCTCTCCTCCCGTGAGATCCTGATCACCGTCCCTACAAACCCCTGCCCCCCGTCCTCGTTACCATGGTCCCAGTCAGGTCCACGTATCACCCGCACTCCCACCTCCATCCTTCTCAGTCTTAGTTAGCAGCGGCTTTGCCTTGTTTTGACTGAATACAAATAATGAAGTCCTTTATACTTGCTTAATTAAAAGACAATATTTAAGGTCAAGATCTAGTAAATGAAAGGTGCCTACAGATTTATCAAATTTGAGAAATGAATTCCTTTATTGATGCTTTACAACTTTAGCTTGGTCAAATAAGGTGTTTCGGGCATAATTTGTAGATAAACAAGATGAAAAACTGTATTTTAAACTGTCATTTTTTAATGAAAATTAAGAAAACCAGTCATGAATATGGGAGTTTTTTTCGTATTAGGCAAAGGAAATATATCCAGCTTGCCTACAGTCTCTCAGAAAACGGTAATTAGTATGTTCATGGCCTCTTCACTAAATCAATATCAAATTTAATATAGGTATCCGGTTTACTTTTCATATGATTTTGAATTGAATGACATGAAAATACCCTATTTTCTACAAAATTCTACTAAAGCCGTAAAGTACGGGAAAAAGAAAGTTGAAATGGATTATGACGTCATAATGGATCTAGCACCAAAAAAATAGTCTCAAGTTATTTACTAGATCTTGACCTTAACATCAGATTATTAAAAATTTATAATTGAAAAAAAAAGATAGGGACAGCTGTCTGAAATGTTCAGCAAGGTATAAATAAACATGAAAACATCATATATTGCTCATTCAAAAATGTAGTCACTTTTTAAATCAAGATTACAATTACTTAAATAACTTTTCTTTATAAATAGATCCCTAATGCATTAAATCTGCAATCGTCCTTACTGCTATACCGAATTGTGTGCGATATATACAAGAGTTATCGCCCTTAAAATGCGTTGGTCGACCAAACGGACCTTGACTAAAATGTGCAGCAGGTCAAAGAGCACGAGACGATTTCTTTCTTATTGATAAGTTTTAATATATTTTTAAAATTTCTACTCGGCCTATTAACTCAATTAAAACACAAACCAAAAGTGTAAAGATTATTTTCTTTCTTTATTAATGTATTTTTCCGAATTTACACCAAAACATTTCATCAATCTTTTTTTTGAAATGTAAAGATTTTTTATTTAAAAATGTGTATAAACAAGCTTACTTTACCTTATTTAGCAAACTGTCAATGTACTCGACAAGAAAACAAACCGAAAGTAGGGTTTACCTGTACGTACGCGGGGGATCGTTCATTGTATTCCTCCTTTTTTCTTGACAAAGTAATCATATTGAAAACAAGATTTCTGAAAACCTTATTAATTCCTTCACTGCCTTTTACATTAATAACTATACGGGTTCTTTCTTTTCTGAGTAAAAACATTCATGCATTTAAGGGGGGGGGGATACTTTCCACACTCGAAAATTCACAGGTGCTTGAGGACAGGAACCCCCCCCCCCTTATATAGACCCTGAGCCTGTTAGACTTTTTTTCACATAAATTATATATGGATTACACATTTGTGATATAATCTATTCTATCAATTCAGAAAATTTGCTTAAACTTGCATTTTATATAAAATATCTACCATCTCTATATATAAATTAACAAGGTTGACTTTTATATAGAGAATGTAGGGTAGATCTAATAGAACGTTTGTTTTAGGTAATTTTTCGATTTGCTGGTATAGATCTTATCACAAATATGACAATGAAAGATTTTTTATGAGAAATAAATCAAAAAAGCCCAGGGGTCTATATCGAAGGGGGGGGGGGGGTTCCTGTCCTCAAGCACCTGTGCGAAAATTAAGAGAGAGGATACACTCCCATTACTGCAGTTGCCCACGTCTCAGTATGTGTGTGTGCGGGGGTTAGTTTGTCATTGTGTGCGTAACGGAAGTAACGTAAATTGCATCAGGATCGAATATTATGCTTTTATTGCGAGAGGATGTATCCTTGTTCATTTATAGAAATTTTATAACACGGGAGAATGCCATGCATGATCAGAAAAACGTGAAAATGCATGATTGATCGTATGTATTTGCTGACAAGGTCAGTTTATCGACCATATAACTTGCAAAATCATACGATTTTAAAAGAAACTGTTAATATTCTTTCAACAAATTGTTTGTCAATAGTTTGCCTCGTTTTAAAAATTGTTCGTACGTTGAGCATTCTCTTGCGTATAGATCTAATCAACTGTGACGTCACAGTGAGGTACAGAAACGTTGATAAACACATAATAAAACATGACGATAGAAGTTCAAATATTCAGTTATTTTTGCAGCTTTTAAACATGTAAAATGAAAATATGAGGATTTTTTTTAAAGTTTAGTGTGAAGTAGCGTGCTTTATGAAATATGCAAATACAAATACAAATATTTATTGGCAATACAATAATTGGCAAAGGCACATCATCAATTTTTCATTATATTTAAACAATAATCTGGTAAAGAATGTGAGGCTATACATAATCACAGCTAAATTGTACATCAATTGTAAAATAATTATGATATGCAGTCATTTCTAGATGTAATACATTTTTTTTAATAAATGAGTTTGTTATTTTCAGTACTTCTGGACAATGGATATTAAAGCAAAGTTTACCTTTTTGAGTATTAGACATATTTAATATTTTTTCATGAAAAAAATTCATCAAATTCCTTTCAAAAGTTAACCTATAATTCTTGTATTTATGGCAGATGAAGAGAAAATGAAATTCATCTTCAACCTCCCCTGTGTTACATATTTTACAAATTCTTTTATCTGTGGGTATAGAAGAATGTCTTCCTTTTTCTATTGCAAGGTTATGCATACGTGACAAGTATGTATTGTTTACACACCAAAAACTCAAAGAAAACTTTAAAATATTTAGAGAATGTATTCGTGAGTCAGTAAACACGAAAATGACATTAAAAAAATCTAATTTATAGTTGGATATAAAGAAACACGGCAAATGAAAATACATAAATATATAGCAGTTGACGATAGAAAAATTGGTCATCCATTAACACCATTACGTCACAAAGGCTATTGTGACGTCATCCATCCATTACGTCATAAAGACTATTATGACGTCACTCATGGTAACATGAGAGAGGCGAATGGCGGACATCAACTTAGCCTCTTCCAGGGCGATATGTAGAACATGTGGCATCTCCGATGACTTGGCTCAGGAAATTGTGCGGACGCGGCGGCGACAGGGTGCCTTTCGCTCTTTAGCGGATCTTTGGAAGGTTGAGGGCATGACAAACACCGCAGCGGGGGTCCTATCGTCAGTATATCCCATTAGTATCGGCACGCGGCGCTCCCCAGCAAAAAAAGATTACCCCAGAGTCTCGCGGAAAGATTCCCCAAGTCCTAAAATAAGAGACCAGTCACAATCAAGGGACAGGAGGCAACGATCGCGTTCGACCAGTCGGAAAGGCAGAAGAGGAGAGGGGAGGCTAGAATCAGACAACAAAAAAGAAATGGTTTCTGTTGCTGTTATTGATGTTAATGGCCAAGAACACTGCACTCTGGCAAAGTCGGTCCACATGGAGAAATCCCCTTCTGGAAACAAACTCTACATCAAATGTGAGGGTATCCAGGGTTATCGGGTGACGGAGGCGGATCAAGGGGGTGAAACCACGACACCGTCAGCCACGACGGCTTCCAGCAGTACAGGACCAGGAGATAGAAACGATGTTTACACGGAGAGGAAAAGTAATGTAAGAGGTTCTAATGCTAATAAAAGCTTATCTAAATCAAAGAGTCCCCCAAGGGACCGAAAATTCGAGCAGATTCGTGATGATTTCTCCAAAACAGAATACAAGTTTTGGGACCACATAGAGAAAAGTCGACAGGAAATGGAGTCTAGTTTACGACATCTGAACTCGATAAAAGGAAATCAAACTGCTAACTGGGTCCGCTCTTTACCGGATAACTCGGAAGTCAACGTACAGAACTCATGGTTTGACCCACAACCCGCCGAAAATCATCCAGGGACGAGCAAGCAACCACCCCCGAAAGTTAAACGACTGAAAACTCGTCACCATCATCATCAGCATCATCGGAAAGACAAGCATCACCATAAAGCCAAGAAAAGGAGAGAGAATCGCGTCCAGGATATAGATAACGCCGATATCGCTGTTTGCACAATATTGTAACTTAAAACAACTTTTCTTATTAATGAAAATAAAATACTGCTCTTAAACCATACCTCATTTAACAAATTAAAGTTTCCATTTTATGATTTTTTTTGTTTTCCTTCATATTTTTTCCATGACGTAAAGAGGAAATGGTGATAATTATCCTCCGATGATGGAAATGGGTTGTTTTTTTTCGAATTGAATGAAAAGTGTTTCTTCCGCGAATGTAATGTTGATATTTAGCGCAATTTTTTATAAAGTGGTATAAAATAAAATTGCATTTTCTGAAAAGGCTTCGAATTCAATCGTGGTCATACAATCACAGATCAAATAACAGTTTTACGCACATTGGCGTCGGAACCGGGAGGGGGGGGGGGGGCTTAGCCCCTCACATTTTGGACCAAACTTTAGATATAGTATACACATGGTATAGACTTTAACATTGCGGCGTAGGTTTAGCCCCCCCCCCCCCACCTTCCACAGACACGTTGCAGTATAGGTTAATACCGGTAATTATAGGGAAGGTGGTGGTGTTTGGGGAAAAATGGTACTGAAAGAAGTTCGAAACTCAGGTATCTAACTCCATCCTTAACGCCAAATAATACGTCTTCTACATAGTTTTTTTTTAAATTTAAACGCATAATATATAAAAGATTTTGGGGGATATACGCATAAATAAATAAAATAAAATAAAGGACAAGAGGATGCTCCCTCCCATTTAGCAAATCACGTTATAGTATCAATGTGACATGCTCTTTTAATGGGAGCTTAAAAGGTTGTTTTTCATATTTGCAAAAAAAAATAAATATTAAATAAATGTTGGGAAATGAAAGAAGCCTCTCACACGAATTTTGCTATTTTAATGCCCCAGGATCGAAAAATACCGTGGGTATATTGTTAGTCCTGTCTGTCTGTTGTCAACTTTAACCTAGTTCATAACTATTGCGCTGTCAAAGGTAAGACTTTAATATTTGAAATAAGTGTCCATTATGACAAGACCTTTCTTTTTGGTACAGAAATTTTTGATCATGTGATCTCAACTGTGACCTTTGACCTACATTTGAAAAACCCTAGAATTGTGTTACCATCTGGGACATGGTGTTTCACAAACACATCTTGTTTTCTTATTTTTTCTGTTATTTTTTCGACTTATTATAAGAAAAAAATTACAAAACAAGGTGGACAAGTCACCAGAGGATGCTCACTCCTACATGACACTTGATCCCCTATATCAACACATGATAGATCTGTATAAATTCATAATTATGTGTGATCAGGAGCTTTGGGAACAACACAACCAAGTTAGGAGAAAATAAACATTTAATTAGATTGAATTATACAATAATTTAACAAATAACAACAATAAATGTTTCTATAGGATTTGCAAACCAGCAAAAAATGGAGGGCAAATCTTGCAACATATCACGACTTAGCAATAGGCACAATATAGTATAGGATGTATATATATAAATAGAAATGATGTATACAATATGCTACAAGTTAAACAAGTGCAATATAATGGCAAATGTATAAGTGACCCCAATGCATATCCCCAAACACAAAATTTATGGCATCATATAACAAAATCTTATCTAGGTTAACTTCTGGAGCACACATTACAATTAGAAATCAAGCACCAGCATTAATTTCCTAGACACATTAAATGATGTATTAACAAATGAGACAATATCACAAAAGAGTCAATATGGGTTATAAAGTAAGCATGTACAGTTCTACAATGGCAGTATAACTATAGGTCTACTGACTGAACACAGGCAGGATATAGAAATGTTGTGGACACAGTCCTCATCAGCTGGCCACATTTCATCATGGATTCTTGTTCACTAAAGTACAGAAAGGATGTGGGAAAAATACAGCAACAAAAATTGACATTTATGAAAAATGAGTCCTCCTGCAGATTCCTGTAGCAGACGGTACTGGGACACACAGGTGTAGATGTTATATAATGGATTCTTTTGAAGATGGTTGAGGTATGTCAGATATCTGGATATCAGAAGTTTAGATATCTGGATATCAGAAGTATAGATAACTTTGGCAGGTGCTTGGATTTCACTGAGCCACCATCTAAAATAAAACATACTCTGAGAATCATACACATCAAAACAAGACTTACATTTGCAAATTGGTAACTGATTTGAAAATGATGGTATAGTTAAGTTTATTTAAACTGGAAGTCTCTACTTTTTATATATCACCACTGCATTTATAAAATAAATATTAAATGTTTTATTTGAGTATCCTCTATTTATGTTAACTTACCACACAGAGATTGCCGTTCTTGGCTTTTTTGACGGCTGACGTCTGACCTCGTGTGAACTCGATACACCCCTTCTTCCCACCAGATATACCATGGGTAATGCTGAAATTAAAATGTGTTCTAGTTGAAATTTAAAACGCTTATGCTAATTTGTATATATTTGATGAAACACCATAAAGATTGGAAACAAAATCATACTTTATCTCCAGTTTGTATTGATATCAATCATTTCGTTTTTAATACGATTTGAAAATTCTCCAAATGCAACTTCAAATTTAAAGATGCCCAAAGTAAAGCATGGTTATTTTTCTCATTTCACATATGAACCACGCTCCAGAGCCATAAAACTTTCATGAGCTTTTTTGTGACCTCATGCAGTCTCGCTTTTAAAAAAAATATATAAATGGTGAAAAAATGAGAGATCAAAAGTATGCTTGTTAAGATTACAGCCCCCTGACCTAGATTTACCTTGCATCACTAATGACCCTGAAGGCCTCTGACTTCTTTCCATGGATGACCGTTTTAGTAACAAGTTCTATAACTCTGTCAGAGTGTAATATCAAGTCTCCCTGAAACAATAAAACCAAACTGTTAAGGCCATCCAAAAGTTGTAGAACTATTTATTTATTTTAAGAACTTCAATATCCTCTAAATGTCGGTGATGTGCTACTAAAATTAAAATCCACTTTTCTGTTACAGTGTACTCTGCAGATACGAACATAACTTACTATGTGTATAATTTATGATATTTAAGATGTAAAACAAGAGAATCTATCTGAACACTTGTAGAGAGGAAAAATATGATTAAAAATCTGGTTTACCTAGGAAAATGTACTAGTTAGCATATAGAGAAAGGAGAATACTGATTTTTATTTTGTTTTTTAATACAGAAAAGCCAATTGAAAAGGAACAAATTGGTATAAAAGCTACGAACAGCCAAAAGAAATTTTTAACTGACAATTTCCAAAAGCTTTCTAAAATAAAATTAATCAAGAATTACACTGAAACATGCTTTATATAACAGGTACATGTACTGATAAAATATTTAATACTTTCCATGCTTCCCTGAATGTTAAAGAAGGTCACTTAATTTTGACTTTTTACTTTTACCCACCAGTTGTCTAAAAGGTAGTCCATACATGTACAACAATAGAGAGAAAGATGTATATGTTTAGAACTCCTAGGTATTAATTGATAAGCATTTAACTGATGCTGAACAAATTCAAGGAGAACTTATTTTCCAAACAAGATTAAAAACATAATATACATATATAATGAAAAAAAGATTTTTTAAATCATGAAAATGGCAGCTTATAAAAGAGGAGACAATATAATATACAAGTAAATAATAATTAACAATAACATCAGTTTTTATACATGATACCTTAGAATCCAAAGGTCCATCTATATTTTCCTGTTAATTAAAATAAACTTCAAAATTTATTTTTTAATTAATTACACATAATACCAATGGTGCCTTTAAGCAGAATTAATTAGAGTTTTATAAGCGTACACAAGAACGTGTATTTTCAAAATAACGAGCCTTCCTTCCTGTCCACATAAAGCACCTGCTTGACTGAATGTTGCTCACTTTAGTTTGAGTGTACGTCAGGTTCACAATTAACAATTTCCTGTACTACAGTCCATAGACAGGTAAGTCTTTTGACAGAGAACACCTGCTTATGATTATGATTTTTTAAGATCTACTTGTTAAATGTACACAAATTTTCTTTTTTAGCACAGGCTTAATTTGCCCTTGTTTAATATTGAAATATTTGATGACATTACATTTTTTCCCAATATTTAGGCCTATGTTGCAATGATTATACAACAAGAATTTATTGGTAAACAAAACATTTTCACAATATGTATTCAACATCTCTTCACTACATATTTTGTTACTGAGTGTAAATACATATAGTTTGTAAATGAATAGTTTAAAGTAGGTCTAGGTAAAAAGAAATGTCACATGTCACCCGATCAGCCACTTTTGATATTAACCCCCTACTGATTTTTTTAATAAAGTTGAGTGGAAGGGGGTGGTGGGTCTTTTAACTTGGCTTTTTTTCCAAATCTAAATACTGTTGAAATTAGTGTAATATTTAGGGAAACATATATTTAATTTTTTTTTTTATTTGGGAAGGAGAGGGGGGAGGTGAGAATTGTTCAAAATAAAAACTTTGTAACCCTGAATCCTTGAAGCATATGTTACAGGAATCAAACAGATATTTTTGATTTGCCTGACAGTAAGTGACAGACAGACAGACAAAGTGTTCTCACCTTGCTGCCGTTGTCGTCCATGTTGATTGTGATAACAAACAGACCGTCACTGAGACTGCTGGTGAGGAGGCCTGAAAAAAACAGTCACACACTGTCAATAAACAATAAATGTCAAGAGTTACTCATTTATATCAATTCTATACTAAATTTCCTAATGTCAGAACTGAATTTTAATGGAGAGTAAAATTATGTACAAACAGGGAAGTCCCTTTTTTTCTACTACGTGTATATAAAATCTATAAATTACAAAAATGAAGTTCAGGAACTAATATAAACACAAAGATCTCTCAATCAATTCCATTTCACACCCCTCTACACATCTACCTCAGTAAATTAAAATTAATAAGTGAATCGAGTTAGAATTTGTTTAGCTATATACATGTAAAATTACATTTATTTCCTCAACTCATATAGCCTTCAGGATCTAATTCAAGAAACAGTCCCTGAAATCTTCTACTTTCCCATTTGAACAGTGAACAAACGCAGAGCGAATGGTGAGTGAACGATGTGGGAACGCTGAAAGCAACTTGGTGAACGATGTGTGAACTCTGAGTGAACGCAGAACACAAACGTAGCGCAAACGGTGAACGGTGAGCAAACAGAAAAATGGGAAAGTAGAATGTTTCAGGGACTGTATGACACAAAATTAATTTTGCTTTATTTGTTTTGCTACCCTGTAAAAAAGTCAGTCCCTATAGCCCTGAGAGTACAAAAAAGGTAACAGTCATACCTGTCATCTGTAGGAAAGGTAACAAGGTCAAGGTCATACCTGTCATCTGTAGGAAAGGTAACAAGGTTATAGACATACCTGTCATCTGTAGGAAAGGTAACAAGGTTATAGACATACCTGTCATCTGTAGGAAAGGTAACAAGGTCAGGATCATACCTATTATTTGTTTAAAAGGTAACAAGGTCATGGTTATACCTGTAATCTGTTGGAAAGGTAACACAAAGTCAAGGTCATATCTATCACCTGCAGGATAGACAACAAGGTCAAGGTCATACCTGTGATCTGTTGGAAAGGTAATTTGTCCTTCACCAGATCTGATTTCTCGTCCAGTAAGTACAGATGTTTGTCTGTTAACACTAGTAGCCTCTTCCTGGACTTGTAACCATGGCGATCAAACTTGGTAACAGGTGCTGAATACTAGGAGAGTAGAGTAAAACACTTTATCAAAGCCTTTGTTATACTTAGTCATTTATACTCTGATCCTCACCAGTGATCATATTTTACTAATTAGTTAATTGTTTGAGGGCTTACCTGGACTTTTTCACCTGGTTCTTTAATCTTAGAGTCAAATGTGCTACAGAGCATGTCTTGTTGTGTGCTGTCTGAAAAAAATATATGAAAGATCAAATTTTGCAGTTCATTTGTCAAATGAATTGCTATTCAAACATTAATGCCCATGGTCATGTTGCAAGAAAAGTTTTGTATATAGTCATGTAATTGAGAGACAATCGACTTAGTACTAAGTAAATGCTTATAGTTGTTAAGTAAACTGCAAGGTAAAAACTGGGAGTTAACACCCCTCCTAGCAATGCAGCTAGAGTGTCAGGAACTGACTTACCTAGACGGGTCTCGGCAAACATTTCTGCCACACTTTTGGAGTAGCTCTCTTTCTTTCCTCTGAACAAGGACTCAGCTACGACCTTCTCTTCCATCTAGATAACAGAATCAAATAATATTTTACAATGGTTATTTATATTTACTTGGAGAGGATTGTAATCTTATTCTATTTGATGAAGCAAGACAAAATTCTATTTCAAAAATACACAACTAGTTTGTTAATATCATTGTATAAATAGATATTTTTCATACTGGAATTTCTGTAAAGTCTGATTAAAAAAAGTGTAACTACATATCAATAGCAAAGAGAACCTATTTAAACGACGGATCTATAACAATGATAATAAATTAGTTCAGCTGTTCAAGTTCTATCAAAGTTCAATAGTTTGAAAAATAATTCTACTATCCAGTCTGAACTCTTGATGTTTTCAATCGTCAATTTTTTTTGTTTGAAGGAAGAGTGTGCCCCTCGGTGTTAGCTATGGAGTCATGCCTAGATCACCCCTCCCTGCCTTACGTCATGTGTTGTCAACAGTGCCATCTTCCTGTTTGTACCAGCTGCATCGCAGACCAACACAAAGGTCATTTTTTTCAAAATATACCTAGTTTTTATAGCTCTAAAATAGAACAATGTACAGAACAACTCATATTTCTGAAAGAGGAAATCCTGGCAAAATGCAAAGAAACCAAGTCTTTGGTAGAATCTCTAATACGAGATTGCACGAATCATTTCGCACACATCCGGTCATCTATGGTGTCCAGGGCTAATGAAATAAAGGAAGCCATTGATGAAGTTCTATCAGAGATGCTAACAACCGTAGATAAAGCTGAGTCAGATGCTTACAACCAATTAACAGCTGGAGGAAGTAAAATCAACAACCACATCTGTCACCTACAGAACACATTTCATCTCCACCAGAAACGCATGCAGGAGACAGACAAACCAGCATCATTCCTGTTGTTCTGTAGGAAAAATCAACTGACAGACTTAGAAAATATTCCAAAGGTGCCCAAAGTAGATCTGCCAAAATATTCCGAGAACCCTATATCCTTAGAGGAATTGTCCAAACAATTTGGAGTGCTTCAGGTACAGAAGTCAGAGAAAATGTATGAGGAAATGTCTCTGGAAAAAGAAAATGAAGCTGGTAAGTCAGGGGAGGAAAGTAAGAATGCGGCCTTGCTGGGATATCTGCTGACACCAGGACTTGAGAGCTGTCATCATATTTCTCATGTGAGATTGGGCAAAGTTTGGATCAGTGATCACATGGGAAACCTGACACTGACGGACAGCTCGCGGAAAAAATTGAAGAGTATCTACTGCAGCGGGGGCTATGGATTCCACTGCGGAACAAAGAAAGGAACGTTACTTATAGCAGATCACAGAAGGAAGCAGATCACCGAGATACACGCTGACTACTCATCTCAGGTTCTCTTCTCCACGGGAGAGTGGACACCACTGTGTATCCATTGCTCTAAACGTAACGGTGACCTCCTGATAGGGATGAAGAACAAATCTAAAGGGTGTGTGGCTCGATACGACAGGAGGGGCCAGGAACTGCAGAGAATATCCTCCACGGTCGAGGGGAAAACCCTCTACAGTGAACCGTTCTACATCACTGAAAATAAGAACGGGGACATCTGTACGTCGGACTGGTACCAGGAGGCCTTAGTTGTCGTCAATAAATCGGGATGTCACCGATTCTCCTACCGCGGCACCAAGGGAAGCAAACTGTGTCCTGGTGGTGTCTGCACTGACAGAAGAGGCCACATACTGCTGTACGAAGCCTCGCGTCCCAGCGTTCACCTGATCAGTCAGGACGGAGAATTACTGGATATAATTATCTATCTATCTACGGGATTCTCCTATACTCCACAAGGACTGGATATAGACCAAAGTCACAACTTGTGGGTCGGAACTTATGTGGATCAAAGTTGTGTTAAAGTATTCAAATATGCAAACCTCAAAAATAATACTTAGATGAAGATTTTAACCATAAAATCAAAAGCATTTAAGTGAAAACATGACATTTTAATACACTGTGAAATCAAAAATTTTTGTTGTATTCGAGATGTGAAGAGACCCACAAATTTATGTCCACCACGAAATGTAAAATGTGACATTTATACTTCTCAACAATTCTATATCCACGAAATCAAATACCCACGAACCAAGAGTTTTTTCTCAAACCATTAAAATTTGACCAATGAAAATATATCATTGTACAGTACTACTTTTGAATACAACTCACCAGTGCCTTCCGAGCAGGTGTAATGGATTTCACATAACTGAGAGTAAGGTTTCTCATACATAGGTCTCGTAACAATTCAGAGGTCTGGAAAAATAAAATCAGTTTATAGCTCAGTAAAATCTTGCTTCAGGATATTTCTCTCTAATAAATCAGAGTCTCTTAAAAAATCAAATTCATCATAAGCTCTTCTATAATCTCAAGTATCAATTATACAGATTAATTAAATTCCTCAAAATAATCTAATCATCACAAGTGATTTTTAATATTTGACAAATTATGGTTATCCTTTCAGCATATTTTTCCTATGATTATTAATGAACAGAGTACTAATTACGTGAGTAATGAAGTAAACAAGTATCATTTACATATGCAAGCTCTTCAATACGTTTTATTAATCATAAGGAAATTATATGCAGAAACATAACAAACATTAAAAAAAACTAAAGTATAATTTCTCTAAAAAGTTTTAAACATGATTTTTTACAAATCTTAATCTCAAATTAAATTGACTTCTATATGGTAGATATATGTATGTGTGTTGTCTTGCAGATAATTTATGAAACTCATGTTTGTTACTGAAGATGTCATACAAATATCTAGAAATGTTTTTTTTTATATAGGTTTGAATTAAATGTATAACTAGACTTGATGTTTTTGTTTCTGTCACACTTCATTTTACACTTCAAAATGCTGATCTGAATAAAACACAAAACAAACTACTACTCATAAATTGTGATAAATAAAACAATATAACTAAGAAGTTATCTCCCTTAAGCTGCACCAATAGAATTTTCAATGTTTCACTCAACTATATGCAATACATATATATATTAGAATCTCTCTATAGAGCTTACCTCCTTTAATAACTGTGGGGCGGGGGGCCAGTGTTTGTCCAGGACGTTTTTGGGGAGTTGATTTTTCAGTTTCGTCAGATAGTTATATTTGGTGTACTGGATAAAGTGCTTGTTTTCGTCACACTCGGGCTCCAGGCGATGAATGAATCCTTTGATGAATCTACAGATTAAACAATTTCTGGCTAAAAAAACCTGCTAAAAGATATATAAACCTAGAGGGGAGAGACTTGTTTCTTGTAAAAGCATGAAATATTAACCTTGCGCCAATACATATACACTGTTTCATGTAGGGACTTTCAAAAATCTTTTCCACTTGATCATTTACTGTTAACTCACTTCTTATATTTTATTTTCTTTTTAAAGCATCATTTTACTGTTAAGAGTACTTGTGATTTACAGTTATTAGTTTCCTTGAGAAAATCAGAGTACATGTGATTTCCTGTCATTAGCCTACCCTCTGAGTAAATCAGAGCACATGTGATTTCCTGTCATTAGCCTACCCTCTGAGTAAATCAGAGTACATGTGATTTCCTGTCATTAGCCTACCCTCGGACTCTCTCCGCTGCCTGTTTCCGTCTCCTCAGTAGTCTCTGAGCGGCGACGCGTCTCCAGTGACTCTGTAGTCGGATCGCAGACAACTTCCACGTCTGGAACTTCTTCTTCTGAGCAAACCCTCGGTAGCGAGCCTGCACCATAGTGGCTGAAAGAAAGACATTACAGAATCAGAAAGTTTATAGTTATACATCACCACCTGTGAAAATTATAAGACTTAAATACTTCCTAAGGCACAGAAAATCTCTTTTAATAGCTAACACTTATGGTACAATGAATTTATCCTAACAGCAAAATGATTTTCATTCCCTGTAACTTTGTTTGTTTGATTGATTGTATGTTGTTTAACGTCCCTCTCAAGAATTTTTTACTCATATGGAGACGCCACCACTTGCCGGGGGAGAGCTGCAAATTTTGTCCTATACTCGGCACTCAGGGCCATTGAGCAGTGAGGGATCTTTTTTATGCCAGCACCTTCTGCGACATGGGACCTCAATTTATATGGTCTCATCTGAAGTTACCTGTCTCCATGTCCCACTGTGGGATTCAAAACATGAGTATCAGCTCCTAACTTTTCCACTCTAGAGCAGACGCTCTTACTGCCCCATGCGGGCGACCCCTGACTTTAAACTAGAACTGTCCAAACGGGACAAAATACCCCCCGCTGGGTTTTTCAGAGGTACGTTTTTCCATAATAAAGATATGTTTCAAACAAAAATTATGAAATTTTTCACAGTGACCTTGAACTTCCCCAAATGACCTTGGGTCAAGGTCATGACACACCCTTGGGTCATGGGCAATCTTTGTGTGAAATGAGAACCTACCAAGTTTTTCAATAAGAAAGATATTGACCGGACAGGAATTATGAATTTTTTCTTCCAGTGACCTTGAACTTCCCCAAATGACCTTGGGTCACGGTCATGACACACCCCTGGGTCATGGGCAATCTTTGTGTGAAATGAGAACCTACCAAGTTTATCCATAAGAAAGATATGGACCGGATAGGAATTATGAAATTTTTCTTCCAGTGACCTTGAACTTCCCCAAATGACCTTGGGTCAAGGTCATGACACACCCTTGGGTCATGGGCAATCTTTGTGTGAAATGAGAACCTACCAAGTTTATCCATAAGAAAGATATGGACCGGACAGGAATTATGAAATTTTTCTTCCAGTGACCTTGAACTTCCCCAAATGACCTTGGGTCAAGGTCATGACACACCCTTGGGTCATAGGCAATCTTTGTGTTAAATGAGAACCTACCAAGTTTATCCATAAGAAAGATATGGACCGGACAGGAATTATGAAATTTTTCTTCCAGTGTTCTTGAACTTCCCCAAATGACCTTGGGTCAAGGCAATGACACACCCTTGCATCATGGGTAATCTTGGTGTGAAATGAGAACCTACCAAGTTTATCCATAAGAAAGATATGGACCGGATAGGAATTATGAAATTTTTCTTCCAGTGACCTTGAACTTCCCCAAATGACCTTGGGTCAAGGTCATGACACACCCTTGGGTCATGGGCAATCTTTGTGTGAAATGAGAACCTACCAAGTTTATCCATAAGAAATATATGGACCGGACAGGAATTATGAAATTTTTCTTCCAGTGACCTTGAACTTCCCCAAATGACCTTGGGTCATAGGCAATCTTTGTGTTAAATGAGAACCTACCAAGTTTATCCATAAGAAAGATATGGACCGGACAGGAATTATGAAATTTTTCTTCCAGTGACCTTGAACTTCCCCAAATGACCTTGGATCAAGGTCACGAGACACCCTTGCATCATGGGTAATCTTGGTGTGAAATGATAACCTACCAAGTTTATCCATAAAAAATATGTACCAAACATGAATTTTGAAATTTTTCTTCCAGTGACCTTGAACTTCCCCAAATGACCTTGGGTTTAGGTCATGACACACCCTTGGGTCATGGGCAATCTTTGTGTGAAATGAGAACCTACCAAGTTTATCGATAAGAAAAATATGGACCGGACACGAATTATGAAATTTTTCTTCCAGTGACCTTGAACTTCCCCAAATGACCTTGGGTCAAGGTCATGACACACCCTTGGGTCATGGGCAATCTTAGTGTGGAGTAGTAGATTCTAATGTCCCTCTGTAAGAAAGATATGGACCGGACACGATTGCACAGACAAACGGACAGACGGACAGACAGACAGATGGACAGACAGACAGACGGACAGACGGACAGACAGACAGACGGACAAGGTGATTCCTATATACCCCCCCAAACTTCGTTTGCGGGGGGTATAATTACATTGTGAATCTAAGAAGTACAGTATACTTGATTATTTGGATCCTATTCTACATAAACATAAGAACTATATTTACCTAAATCATGCTTGCGTAATTGGAAGGCGTCTTCTGTGGCAAATAGAACCCGAGGAAACCTGATAAACAACTTTGTTCTGCAAAAATAAGATTAAATCTTTTCATATTTTGAGCGACTCCATATGTTAATCAGAGCTCATTTAAATCACTACATCAGTGAGAGATGCCTACTTTCCCAGTCTGTAGTCATCATTGCTGTACTGTAGGTGGTTAACTAAGACCTCCACCCCTTCCTTGGCCGTCCCATCAAAGTGAGGCCAGGTGGACGGACAGAGGCTCTTGTACCTGGAGAATAAATCAATTAAACTCAGATATGTATGAGTAAAAAGAAAATGGTAAAACAGTGTACTGTAAACCAACTATTATTTGCGTTATCTTTTATTCACGATTGGTCAGATTAAAGGAGGTCGCGGAACTCGCGGATATTTCTTATACGCGAATAAAAGTTGGTTTACAGTAATGTATCTCGTTCTCTGTTCCCTAGTATCCAAACAACCTTGAAGTTAGGGTTTGAGGAAAATATCATTGAACATTTGAGCAAATCTTGAGACTTAGCAGAGATCTAAATATACTGTAAATCACTTTTTATTCGCGAGAATTTTATTTTCGCATAATTACGCGAGACGGTATGCTCGCGAAATTTTTATTCTCGCGTATAATAGAATTCCTTAAGATTATGTAAGGCAGTGACCACAATTCGTGAAAATTTTGTCTCGCTAATAAAGAGTCAATGACTATCTCGCGAAAATAAGGTGTCGCGAAAATAAAGTGATCTACAGTATCTATTACCTGTTGAGAAATATTTCGTACGGCCTTCTGTAGGCAAAGACTTAAGCATATTTAATACCTGTTGAGAAATATTTCGTACGGCCTTCTATAAGCAAATCCAGCTCTCCTGACTCTAAGGTTCTCCATCAGACCAAGGTACTTCACCTGATGGTGGACAATCTGGTCATCAAATTGATCTGTAACATCAAAATATCAGGCTCAGTTATAGGCTACAGAGATTGCCAGGCATTCAAATGAAAATCTCAGTTATGTAAACTCAACTATAGGCTAGATACAGTATGTGTACTTTAAAAGCAGGCTTCATATTATAGCGGCTTTGGCGCAGCAAACGATATGCTAATTCGAGAATACCACTCAGAAATCATTTATTAACAAAATAACAGGCGCGTTAGTGTGTAACATTAATTCATGTCTATGCCAACAACTCAATACCCATTGATTTTGCTAAAATTTGAATATGCCAATTTATGTACACGTACAGTCCATAAGTTTACTAATGTATACCTGATCTTTTGTAATCATTGGGCTTGATACACCTGACATATGAGGGCTCTTTAGACATCAGGATCTCCATAAGTTGAGCCAGGCTGGTCTTGAACTGTGTGGCGGCCTGTATAAATTGTATCAGTAGTGCATGTTTATTTGTAGCTGGCCATGTAATCAAAACAAAGGAAAGTGTATCTCTTCTAAATAGGACATTATAAGGGGGAGACAACCCCTGGGTGTACTTACCGTGTTTGGTCTCTTTTTATTCTGTAATTCTGCCTGAGGGAAACACTGACTGGTGATCTTGTTAGAGGTCTGGCTCATCGCCTACAAAGGTCAAATCAAAAGTGAAACCAGTGGTAGTAACAGTCAAGTATAAAGGTCAACTGATTACTAAAATTCCAAATAGGGTGAGAGTCTGATATCACAACTGACACAGCTACTTCAGTGGTCATCGTATGATTTTCAATATTTACCTCTTTCAGATCTCTAAATAATGTGTCATTGTTTTTGTCGAGGAATCCTTGTATGCTGTAGGTGACCTGACCCGCAAAATGTAGAAGACGGAATTCCTGAAAGTCAAGTTTTAAAATAAGACAAATCTTATCCATAACCCTGAAACAATGATTATGGAAAACATGACAAATAAAATATTTATTTAAGTAAACTGTAAAACACTTTATTTTTTGTTTTTATACATAAGAATCTTACGTCTCGGCCGATGGACTTGCGAGCGGTTACGTCTGTCGCGGAGGAATGGCTGACATAGTGAGGGTGCTGACCCAGATTCAGGTTCAGTTTCTCTAAAAACGTCCCGTCGGTTGGCTCACCTGGCCGCAAACATTCCTCATCCTATAGGTACAAAGCAACAAACTTTAAAATTTATTTACGATTAATCAGTTTGAAAAGTACTTAAACATTATCAAATAGAAGAAAATTTAGATGGACTCAATATCTGTTACTTTCAGATTCCGGGAGAAGCTGTAACAGCTTACCATGATAGCAATGATTCCTACAGGTTTCCCCTCTACAAGGTCACAGATGATTTTGTTGTTGAAATAATCCACTTTCTCCCACTGAAGGAAAAAAAACATAATCATTAACTATATACTTTTTTTTTATCCATCACAACTTAAAAATAATCAACTCCTCCCAAAAATAATTGTGTTGAAAGAAAGACAACTCTTTTCTCTTAAATCCAACAAATAAAGTTTCCAAAATCATTTTAAATATCCGTATAAAAAAAAATATTGATTCAGTATGTTAATGAATGAAATCTATGTGCTTAGTTCTTGCTAATAAAATTACACTTACAGCGATTCCCTCCCTTTGATACTCCTCCTGTTCAGATTTGAGCGTCAGTTCGATAAAGAGTTGTTGTAGTTTCTCGTTACAGTAATTAATACAGAACTGTTCAAAGCTGTTCACTCCGAATATCTCAAAGCCATAGATGTCTAAAATACCCATCAGACTGCATTTCATTCGCTTCTGGAAAAAAATATTAAAATACCTTATCCAAAAAAATTTTTCTCTAAATGGGAAATCTCTAAAATACAAAATGCTTTAAATCTATGAGACAACTTCCAAAAATTCTCTGCACACTTGAGTATTCTCATTATGTGCTTTACCATACTCCATAAATTGCACAGCTCTTCTCAATGTTTTTGTGAAGTTAGTAATGGCTCACCCTGCTGTTTAATGAGTCGTTGACTTTCTTAACAATCCAAGTAAATAGTCTGTCATAAACTCCCTTGGCAAGGGCATCTCGGGCGTACAGGGCTTGGTCCTTGTTTAGTGGGGATTTCATCTACAAGTTTACAAACAATAGTCTATCATTCAGCTAACCAACTTATTTTTTACTAAATTCTTAAAATCAGTGACTAAATTTTAAAAGTGAATTGCCGTATATCTTTCATATCTGTTCTTTCAAAGTTGAGAATTCTACATTAAATAAAATATTTTACAAAATTCTTCACTAATCATCCAGGAAGCCAAAATATCAGATTAAGTGGAGTTTTCTATTATCTTTGACATTAATTGAAAACCATATCCACATCATTGAATATAGTAGCTAGGATATTTGACCTTTTCTCCTTTAGCCTCGATGGTCCTATTCTGTAGAGCTGATTGTAACACACCCTCTGGACATCCCAGCAGCTATAACACAGGAAAACGTTCAGAGTATGTTTTATTAATACAATTAACACAGTAGCCCTGAAGATTATTTTTATGAAACCTTTTTAAATGATCTGTCTGAGAAGTTGTGACTTAATACTTTTTTGAGAATAGTAATATTGAAGCAGATTACAGAATACATGTATATACCTGTGATATATTTTCCACTGGAGAGAAATCTGTAATATTAGCCAGTCCGTCATCATTTTCCTCAAACCGAATGTTTCCCAGATGTAGAACTGAGGCCACAATGGAAAACAAGGCCTAAAACAAATTTCATATTTAAGAAATTTCAGTACCATCCAAAAGGAGGTATACACTGGACAAATAAATAAAAACATTGTACCAAAGTAGATACAGCATACTATAAATGTAACTCTCCTGTGACATACAGTAAACTCTTTTTACTAGTGTTGGCAACGAGTACCCGGTTAACCGGTTAACCATCGAACAATGCGAGTATCGGTTAGTAAAACTGCTATTCGGTTACTCGGATAAAAATGTATTTTTCATAGTAAATACGTATGAAATAATTTTTTTGCTATTTGTAAATGTATATTGACACATTTCCCTAATTTAATTACTGTTAGACTTGCTCTAGTGGTTCACAAATAGGATCGATTTGTTTTGATTAGTGTAATTAATGACTTTAATTGTCACGGGGTACAAGTTTTGAAGACCTGAGTTATAATTGCCCCATTAAGACCTGTGTAAGTCAGAGGAACATACTTTAACAAGATGCCGCCGCAAACATCTAAAGCGTGGAAATATTGTTAAAGAATTTCTGTGAATCTGAGTTGTCGTATACGGGTGGAACTACAAATATGCTAAATCAAATAAGATTGAAAAATAATTCGATAACCAGTGACTTAAATGAAACTCAACAAATATAATCAGTAACTGCAAAGTGTTACAGAGTAGGTTAGTTTTCCTCGATCGTGACATATATCTCCTTCAGGTGTCGATAAAATTATTTCTTAAACAATACAAATTCCCCGTTTCAAGTGACTTTTAAAATCAAAATTCTTCGAAGGTATTATGTTTTTGGAGTTTGTATTTGTAAATGAAGTTCATATATGTAACATTTATTATTTACTTCTATCAATATATAAAAGGATGAGATTCATAATAAATACGGAAACTATAACAAAAAATCATCCGAGTAACCGGGTACTCGATCGGAAGAGTATGCGAGTAACCGGTTACTAAAAATCGTCCGATTTGCCAACACTACTTTTTACTGAACCACTAAAATCTGTACACTGATTAAGTTTCAATTAACATATCCTATTAAGATGTACAGTAATACTTATTTTTTTAATCAATGAATATAATGCCACTTTCTATCTATTCATTGGGTAAGATTTGTAACTTTAAAAGTATACAGAATCAGTCACACTACCTCTTGTTCCTGAGCTGTGAAGTCACAGACATCCAGTGCATGTTTAACATGGTTAAAGTCTTTGTGGTCATTTAATGCATCCACTCGAACACTCTTGCCCTAATTTTAAAAGTTTTCAAAACAATGTAAAATAAATTAACAATAATATACTTCTAAATAAATATTTCATTTTTAAACATGGTGGGACAATAAGATCAAATTCTTGAAAATGTTCCACGTAACTTTTTCAATTTTTCATATATCAAAATGGAGAACATAAAGATGTATCGGTATATCCATAATATAATATATTCATGCATCCTTTTGATTATGTTTAACTGTTAACTGACCTGTGTCAGATAATGGTACTTTTCAGCGTCCTTGGTCAGCCTGAGTTTACTCAGCAGTAAGGGGGTTCCCCCTGCGATCAGCTGATAGAAGATGTGAAAGTTACGTTCCCCATCAGAGTGGTGGCAAACTCGGGATTTCTCCAGTAAATAGTTCAGAATGTGACCTCCCACAGGAACTCCCTGACAAAACAGAGGATTATGGGTAATATAATCATAGTCACATAAAGTCTTTGATAGAAATTTCAAATATTTGCTGACCAATAATAAATAAATGTACTAAGTACCTTGAAGTCAAACTGAATGTCCATATATTTTCCAAATCTACTAGAATTGTCATTCCTGTTGGTTTTTGCATTCCCAAACGCCTGAAAATAAACATGATATTGAATAAACGAGTTAGGTTCACTTTTTTCATAAAATGGCTTTGAAGGTATATCGATTTATGGACCAAAATTTTTTGTCCTAGCTTAATAAACATTAATATAGAGTAGAAACATGATACTTTTATTTCCTATTTCTCTGAGATTTCAGGCACAGAAAAGCAAGCTTTGTGAAATTGCAACTTCTGGAACTTTGTAGAAAACATTCATTTGAGCAATATAAGCACAATCCAAAATAAAAAAATGTACATAGGTAACGGTAATTTCTGCAACTTTAAAGAATTCTTTGTGCAATTTTGTTCTAAGGTTCTTGTGAAAATTTTGATATTTTCAATAATATTCTTGAAGACATGATGAGAATTAGAAATTTGATTCTTTCTCAATTCTGGCAAATTTTTCTGTACTTTATTGAACTGTGAAATACCAAAATTAACTGAAAAACCATAAAAATGGCTTTTTACAGAATAACAATAAAAGCAGAATTAACCTCTTTATATACCAGTCTTATTGATTTGAAATGTTTTATAACTATTTTAGTTGCCATGAAAAAAAGATAATGTCAGGCTCTTTAAAAGCATAGATTTTGAAAGGATGGAGTATTATCAGGGAAAACTGACAGCTGAAAAAAAAAATTTTGTTTAGTAAAAGTGTAGGAGGGGGGTCCCTGCATCCCTTCCTACCACCCTCCTCTGAAAATATATATTCACTTATGTTTTGTTCACATGAGAAAAGGTCGATAGCCGGTGAAAAAGCTTTCCAAAACAAATCGTATCAATTCAAATTTTCCTAAGCTACTTTTAGATCAATGTAGAGAAAATAAATCCTTATATATTGTATTCACCTGGAACGTCACAAGCAGGTAAATATAAGGTAGTATTTTTTCCACAAAGTTGGATCTCAGCCAATCAGAAAGATAGGAATAAAATTATTTAATCATATAATAAAAGTAGATTTTGACCTCCAGTATGGGATTTGACTGCAGCAGTCGATCTTTGACTTGCTCCACATCTCTCATGTGTTTGGAGCTGGCCGCGATGTATTGCAGGATTTTTTTGGATGCCTCAGTTTTCCCGGCCCCGGATTCACCAGAAATCAAGACACAGTGATTTCGGTTTTCCCCGCGCATTGACCTGTATGCTGCATCGGCAATGGCAAATCTACAATTATTAACCTATATATCAGTTCCATACAAATCATAGTGAATTTCTTGTAAATAAATTGAAAACATCCTTTGTTAAGTTCAGGAAGGAAATATTTAAGATGCTGTTTTTAGCAATACTTTATTTTAGATATAAAATGAAGTCTGTCTGTGTACATGTACTTTACAACTGAAATAAAACTTGAAATGGCACTGAAGTCACATGGCCTTCTTGAACTTACAAATAAGCATTTAAATCAAGAAGAGTCATGAGCCTGCCATAAATCATGCACTATCAGCTAACAGTACAATATGGGAAAAATGGTTATGGGATTGACATCACAAAGCGAAAAATATAAAACACCAGTGATAAATTGTAACAATATGGTTTTTTCAGTTTCAGAGAAATTTTAATTTTGAAAAGATGTTGGCCTTGCCCTTGGTATAATTTTTCTGACTTCATTGTCGTAAAATACCAGAAAAAGATAAAAATTCAGATAATTGGATTTCCCTGGATACAATATTCTCTACTAATTAGAAAAGTTTACATCTCTTTTATGAGAAATATACCTGGTATTACAAAACATCCATTTTACATTGGACTTTTAAAAAAATTTCATTAATGATTCTACATCAGGTAATAATGCCTTAGAGAGATTTCTAGTAAATCTACTCAGCACATATCTCATAATCTTTCAGAATTTTCTCAACCAAAGAGCTACAGTTCTGCAGCTAATTAACAAATGTACTCACATATTTATGAGTTTGGGGCTCATGAATGTACTCACATGTCACCTTGTAGATGAGCTTGTTAATGTACTCACATGTACTCACTCACATATGAGATGACAGTTTATATGTACCCAACTCTGGGGTATGAGCTTCTAAATGTACTTGCATTTTGAGGTGAGATTTCTAATTTAAAATGTACTCGTATGAGATGACATTTCTAATGTATTCACTTTTGAGGAGAGATTTCCGATGTACTCACTTGCGACTGAGATTTCTAAATGTACTCATATACTAGTGTACTGTAACTTTTTAGGGGAGATATCTTATGTACTTACATATGAGGTGGGAGCTCGTAAAAGTTGACATTTCTGTAGATCTGTACATATTCCTCATTATAAATGTCAAAATTCTGGTAGGGATTCACGGACACAAGCACTGGTCCAATGTAGGTCTAAAAAAACAAAAAAAAAATGGTTCTATAACTGGGGGAAAAATCTTATGCTAAGCGCAACTTTTTAACATTATACAGATTTTTATGAAAAAAACTTTTTAAAAAAGTATCTCTAGATGAATGTATTTTTTAATAGGTTTTATTAGGAGCTGTATGTTTATTAAAAGAAGAATTTTATTACATCTATATCCTTTTTTTGTAAACTAGTTTTATTGCATTAGAAATGATGCATTTAAAATTTAATTTAAACTCCACCCAGTACGGATGACAGATATTTACTTTTTCTGATTTTATCAATGTTTACACTCTACACCAAACCAACAACAAAATACCTGCAGACCAGCTGTTTTATAACAGGTATGTGTGATAAAATCACTGTTATAACAGGTATGTGTGATAAAATCACTGTTCAAACATGCAGTAAGATGAATGGGGAGAGATGTTATTGATATGCATATGTCATAAACCATCCGACATTGAGGGTCTGTAATACAGTACAAATCTCTTTAACACCACTGTACGTGGCGATTGATTATTTTTACAGTGGACATGTAATTGACTGCATGTACATCTCTCTATCATGAACGAGGAATTGATTATTTTTACACCTTTCTTCTAATATTCCATCACCTTCGATCATCATCCATTAATCACCAATCCATCTTATTTGATCAAATTGATTTTTTTTCTGTTCATTACATTAAGTCAAATTTCTGATGAATGTTGCACTTTTTTATGCCCCCATAAATGAAGATTCTGGGCTATATAGATTTTGCCCTGTCCATCCGTATACCTGTCTATTCGTCTGTTTGTCTGCAAAAACTATAACCTTGCCCAAAACTTTTGAATAAGTAGGGCTATGGCTTTCATTTTTCACGGGTGTATTCCTTGTGACAAGACCTTTCTTCAGGTATCACAATATTTGACCTCTTGACCTTGGAGTTTGACTTACTTTTACAAAAATATATAACGTATACAGGGAAATTTTCGCCCCTTTCACCCTAACCTCCTTTGGGCGAATTAAAAATGGGGCAATTCAAAGAATACAAAATAATTACTTAAATTAAACTATGAAAAGGCAAGTTTAAAATGGGACAAAATTGTCTGCAAGTGTTAAAGGGCGAAAATAACCCTGTATACAGTATTATAAACGTTAACTTTGGCCATAACTTTTGAACAATTAGTGTTAGGGCTTTCATACTTCACATGGGTATTTATTGTGACAATATATCAATGGATATAAATATTTTTTACCTTGGCTTTATAGTTTGACCCATTTTTTAAAACCTTTAACCTTGGTCATTACTTTTGAACAGTCAGTACTAGGGCTTTCATATTTCACAGGAGTATTCCTTGTGAAAAGACCTTTCTCTGGATACCAACAATTATGACCTTGACCTTGGATTTTGATTTGCATTTGAAAAATTCAATCTTTGCCAATAAGCCAATAAGCTGCAGTGTTTCACAAAAAAATCATGTCTTAATTTATTACTATTTAAAAAAATTATTCTATAACAGTACTTTAGATACATTAAAAAGTGAATGAAGAAAATCTTGACTTAACAAACAAATTCACCATTACATAAAAATGATAATTTTAGACGTACATAGCAGAATTAAAGAATATTCATGAATAATTATTCAAGTTATGGTTACAGACAAGAATTGTACAATTTGATAAAATGTTTAACAGCTGAACAACTCTTTTCCAGGATGCAACATGTTACAGTGAAAAGAATCAGTTTTGATGTTAATTCAATACCCCAATATACACAGTCATGTACATAATAGTTATTGGTACATTATAAATTTTAGGCTAAATATTTAAAATCTTCCAACACTTACATATATGAGATTAGCATTGAATCTCTTCCTCAGATTTTCCACGAAAGCCTCAGGATTGGTAAAGTCCTCCAGTAAAACAAAGTCCTGGACTCCAGTATGATCCCGCTTGTGAAGTTCATTCTCCATGGTAACCAAATTTAAATATTTCAGATATTCTCCTCCTCAAGTTTTCAGTTTTTATTGATCCATTACCTAAATCAAGGATCAGAAAAAACAATGTTTGAGATAAAAGTTACTTTTCACAGACGGAATTCCAATTAAAAGATGAAAAACTAAGCATTAATGACTAAAAATCTAAAAAAAATCTGACAGTAATTAATAAGTATACATTATCGTCCTACAACATAGGTCTATGCATTCCAGTTTGGTCAAATTTAAAGTTATTGCAAATCAAACAGGTATAAATTTTTATAATCCAGGGCAGATTCAGCATCGTTAGCCTGGTGAGTCTTCGAAATGAAACCTTCAGAATTCTCAAATTATTATAAATCATCAGGTGTACATTTTTATTACTCAGTTGAGGACTAATTCATCGTTAGTGGTGAGGGTCATTGTCATTAAAAAGGTCAGCTGACAGAGCACAACACAAATTAACACCTCAAAACACACACCAGATCATTGGATCATCCCGCAATAAAACAACCTGTCCCTATATATATACAGCATATAGAGGTTAACCAAAAACAACCCCAACCCAATATATACAGCAAATAGAGGTTAACCAAAGAAAACCCCCAACCCAATCCACTAATATCAACCAAAAAAATCAAATAAAACACTCTGACACACGCGTATATGCACTGAAATAATGTTCTATCTGTTGAAAAATGTTTGTCCTCTCACTCAAGATTAAAAAAAAAAAATGGTAGGAAAAAATAATTCCCCCCTCCCCCCGAAAAATTTTAACCATCAAATCATTCATATGTAAAATTTTATTAAACTGATGGCATTAATAAAATCAAATTTTCTGACAGGATGAAAAAAAAAATTCTGGCATGAATAAAAATTGTTTTATATCCCAGAAGTTTATAAAAAATTGGAGTCAGTGAGGACAGATTTAGTCAGTTGGTCAGTATCGAGGGCCAACAGAGAATTTTTTATAGATGGCCTAGATTATGTTTTATAAACAGTTGTAAATATGGATATGGGGGTTATAACCTGGTGAAAACTCATAAAACACATTGGCATGGAAAGACTGAACATCTCTACAAGCCAGTCTATATCAAACAATGCTAACCCTGACTACTGTTTCTAGTAAGACCTCGTAGTCTGACAGCTGTAAAATTGTCTTCTGTTTTATTTACATTTTCCTGTTTATACACAAATCTCAAAGTCACATACTTCAAATTCCACAGAGATGAGTATAAAAACACAAGTGGATTTAGATTAAGGCTAAATTTAAATAAGGAACACTGAAACTGCTACAGTATCTTGCATTATCTGCAGGCTGGTATCATTTGGTTCATCACAGTGATAGATTTAAACATCTTACAATGAACTGGAAGGAAAGCTTTGCTGCACAAAATTTAACATTCTTTATTTTTGAAGTCTTTAACTGACATATACCAGTTTATGCATAGATGTCTTTTAAGTTCAGGAACTGTTCATTTATAAACAGAATACCTATATGTTGCCTTTCAATAATAAATAATAGTATGGTCAGGTATGAAATTTATGGAGATAATTAACTAACAGTATTCAAGCTTAATATAAAAAATTCTCTATTACAATGTCTATTTCCGGAAAAAAAATAATTTCTACATAAAGATTATACTTTATCCAACAACACAGGCAAGGAAATTCAAGAAATCTTATAAATTAAGTGTCTTTAATAGAAAAATACTCTTTCTGCCATTAAAATGTTATTTTTTTATCGTAAGAATATCAAATTGATATATATGTACTTCATAACCTTTTCCTTATTCAATTTATTTAGTAAAAAACACAATTATTATAGAAAACACTGAAAGCATACAGTGTGTATCATAATTTAATGAAAGATATTCCAGTAAACAATTAATATATAAATTACCTGAGTGTTATCTATGATAAATCCTCCAACATTACACCTGGTCAAACTTCTTGTTAAATCTAAAACCACAACATTCCTTGACGACCATGAAATAGCTTACAAGACGGAAATGAATCACATATCTGCCTCCTAGAAATACAGAATAATGTAACCTCCCTTCTTACAGAAGAAGCACTTAGAGTGCAACGGCCCTTACCAAATAACAGAACTCAGTCTATATATATAAAAAGATAGGCCTGTACATGTGTTCAATACAAAATTTAATGAGGAGGAGTGTTATTATGGCCTCTGACAACTAATTTTAAATCAGAAATGTTCTCACTTTTCACATGAAATTGTTTCCATAATGTTATCCACACCTAAAGAACTCACAACTTACAAGGTTTATAATAATTATAGAACATCTATCTCATTAAGCCTATTGATCGGTTAATACAATGATGTAGTGGTGCTAGATAAAAGTGAAGACAGATACATGTATTATAACACTGTTACTTCCACATATTAAAAATATTGACCATCTCAGAGTGGATAAAGAGCGACATTTAATATGTATAACATTACATGTACCACACGCAGAGCTAATATTACTAAATGCCGGATCATTGCGCCACTGAATGCACAACATTAGAATCTCCTGAACAGGCTGTTAACAACAATAAAAAAAATTAAATGCATCTTTACATGCCTCCATTAACAAAATATTCTATCTCCTTAATTTAAGAGCAAATCATAATTAAAAAAAAAAACTTAATGAAATTAACTACATACATCTGCTAATTGTGATGCCAGTCTCTAACTGTCTAAGTTGGTGAGTCACTTTGTCATAAGTTGAGGGTCTTTATCATGAAAGATATCAAATGAATTACAAGTAGATTAAAAAACTTAAGTATATACCCGGTAAACATGCAGTTGTCCCATATTGTAAACTTCTGTAGTACATGTATCACAGATGATATTAATGTCCAGGAATTACAGAGAACCAGTACATATAACTTAACACTTACGTCTTTTTCATCCCCCTCCAAGGTGACTGAACACAGAAAAATGACGACGACAATAAATCGTAAGTGGACAAATACGTCAAAGAGAACAAGGATGTAAAATCTGTCTCCCTATCAGCTCCATTCTCGTAACAGCTTACATAACAGACTTTGGAAATTTACCCTGATTAAATTCACATAGCACGATCTTCACAAAATAGCAATTCTCATTCAACTCTATAAAAACAAAATAAAGTCAGCCAATAAAATGAGAGTTATGATTAATTTTATAAGGTGAAATATCATTTTATTATTTCAAAGACAACTCTACACTACTTTTAAATTAATAAGAGGGAGACAACTCTATACTGATATTGAAAAGTAACTCTTGTTAAAGGCAGACAACTCTATACTGAGATTAAAGAGTAACTATTGTTAATGGGAGACAACTCTGAAGAGTACCTGCTTTTAAGGGGGACAACTCTATACTGCTGTAGAAATGTTCTAAGAGGGAGATAATTCTTCACTGCTACATAAATTCATCACTACTTACTTAGAATGTAAAAAGGGAAACAACTCTGCAATAATCATGATCAACTCTAACTTATAAATATCTTTTTTTTTCTTCAAAAAATGCAAATTTCAATCCTGAGATCTATTTTTAAATTAAGTTTATGCATATTCTACCATGAACAACAGGGATCTACAAAACAGATAGTGGATGTCTGATCATTTCTAAGAGCAGATTTTTTTTAATCTTCTCACTGTGTATAGAGGAAAGCAGGAAATGCATATACAGTGTATATGTATAGAAAATCAGAATTTAAAACCTAAAAATGTTCCTAAGACTGCACATATTACACCAGATCAAGAATTTTATTCAATTTCGATGTGATCAAAAATCTTTTCTAGCTTCTTCTTAATGAATTTAAAGGGCTATTTAAAAACTTGAAAATAAAGTTAAAAATAAAAAAATCGAACTAAGAGTAAACTGTTAACAGGAAATAATAAATTCTGAACCGTAACAAGGAATTCATTTTTTTTCTCGCAAATTAAATGCAATGGATCGAAGTAAAGCATGATGTATCAAAATCTTGCCTGTATTATATAAAGCAGAATCTTATTTAGAAGGTTAAATATTTACATTTTATCCATGCAATCTTCAGCTTTGTGGATTCAGTGTCACAGATTTTAAAAGATTTATGAGGTGAACGATGGCATTCTATCTGTCTGAACCTCATGTCCAGCATTTATCACCTCAACATACCCACAAAACATGATAGACTGTACATACCTGAAACAGCTGTCAATGAAAGAAACCAAATGTTCCTATTTCATGAATGAATGTGAGTTTTCTATATACAAATGCAGTCAACTTTGTAAGCAGTGAGTCACAACCCAGGGAAAAGCCAACAGCTATTGATCCTAGAGAAATGAATGGAAGCAGAAAAAAACCCAAGTCTTACACGGAGAATAATAAAACAGTAATAAAGTAAATCAGGGTTGGTAAGATAAGAATTCCATTGTATCTATGTGGAAGAGATGTTAGGAATTTTCCCCTCCATTAGTAGGTCATGTCCAGGTATCAACTCCCCAGATAAGATGCCTCATCATGTCACAAACAACATCCCCACTTCCTGGGGCCGGTTCCTGACAGTCTACCACTAATCCTGCATCACAGAGGCCTGTATACAGGGATCAAACACTGCACAGGTAAATCACCTGGTCCACAGGTAAATCACCTGGTCCACAGGTAAATCACCTGGTCCACAGGTAAATCACCTGGTCCACAGGGAAATCACCTGGTCCCCTCTCCAGGTATGTCTGCAAAATGATGCAACCAGCAAGTGCAGCAAGCTTAGCAAAAATTCACTGAGTTCACCAGATGTATGAAATAATCCATAACTGTGAATTATCAAAGCACCCTGCCAAGTTTGGATAAAATCCAAATAAGAATACTGAAAATTCAATCTTAACATACAGAGCTATAATGAAGAAATTAAACCAGTTTTAAGTTCGTTTAGCTCACATTATATTCTCCATAAATTACTAAAATTCCAAGTTCACATTAATGTCTTTGCCACAAACTTAGACATGCACTCTTCTCACACGGGAGCATCAATAAGACACTTAAGTGTGCTGTGGGTGTATAAAAAATAAATATAGTCAGAACAACTTGTGCTAAATAATTTTTACACCTTTTTATAAGGAGACACCCATCCCTGGAATATTGCTTCAGACATCAAACATTCACTGCATGATGACCATTTAAGAATAATTTAAAAATTTAAGATTTTCAACTCACTTTTTACTCTCAAATGCAACATTTTAATTTTGAAGTAAATGATTTTATTTCTATCTCAAATCACATATCTTTGTCCTGGAGGGGAAATTCAATATTAAAAAGAATTTTTGTAATTTTTGCTAAATATTTTCAAAATTGAAATACATATTTTCCATTCAATTCTCCGAGCAATGGGCAAAGTTTTTACATGGGTAAAGTTATATACAAAGGTACCAACTTCTTGAAATAAGTCAAATAAGGGAAAGGCAATAATAAACATTTCCTTCTGGTAGAGCAATATTTATAACAGAAACCTCACAAAAATAACTTCCAATAAAATTGGGAAGTTGACATGAGGAAGATTTAGGTACCAGTGGGGTTAAATCCAGGTCAGATTTCTCTGTCATTAGATATTTCATTCTATTATGATACATAGATATTCCGGTAAGTATGCAATACTATGTTTTTTTAAAGCCGCTTAGTCCGATTCTAGTTGCGAAAAAATATATTCGTTTTTCTTCTTGAAAAATAATTGTCCATAAATTGTTTCAACTTTTGTCAAATTATATCCCCAAAGTCTTTTTCTTTTAAAAGATATCAAAATTCAAAAGTTAAAAAAATAATTTTTGTTAGGTCACACAAAAAATAATCCTATTTTGATGAAATCACCTTTGAAAAATTAAATTTATCGCTTATACATACCTCATGAAGAACAAACCCGAGCATTTTTTTCACATCAAAGTACTTATACTTGTACATGGACAATATTATAGCCTTCGTTACTAAACTTCCTTTAAAAAAATATCTGATTTTCCTTTATTCTTTAAATATGCACATTAATATAAAAATGACTATGGATTATATTCAATTAATTCCTTAATTTTTAAAAGATACATTATAATGGGAAAAAAATACTCAGGTATGAATTATCTTCATAATAAGATAAAACCGATAAATTTATTTTTTCCAAATGTGACTTCATAACAGATCTTAACTTCCTGTCAGGAATATGATTTTTGATCCATGTTTTCCTTGTAAGGATTGTTGTAATAAACTATTAAATCAATCTTATAATTTATTTTTATATATTTTCTATGTAATGACGTGTAAGGTAATATGTGCCTGTTTCGGATTAAGCGACTTTAATAGTTTAGGTGCTGATGTAAGGTATATATTTTAAAGATACTATGAAAAGTTAAAGACTTTAAAGATTCATAGAAGTCAAATATATCTAACGAAATTGTCTGATGCATACATGTATGTCCATAGGAACCTGGGGGAAGGATCCACCCCCCTCCTTAATTTTCCAGATATATAGACTATTATAGAAAACTTAGCTTCTATATGCTTGTGCCCCCTCAATAAAAACATCTGATGACTTTTTTTTTTTTGTCTAGGATTTTTTGGTAGTTGATAGTACTAAAATGTTTGGCTGTGCCATCCCTCCCCCCCCACCCCCAAACTGAAATAGCATCCTACGAGCCTGTAATTGTCCGAGAGTATTTTTTTCTTGAACAATTCTGGCTTAAAAGTGACAATTCTCACGACTTGATAAAAATAAAACAAGCTATCAGAATAATCATAGCAGTGTCTGTCAGCACCAATCACATTATTTCTGTTTCTAACAGCAGCCCCAGAGTGACACAGAAGCAAAAGAATTTTCTGAATTAAGAAAATTTTGTTCAACAGAATTCCTGTAGCTGTGAGAAATGACCTTGATTTGAGTTAAACCTTATCTATCTTCTTTTATCTATTTTACATAAAATTACTATGTCTTTTATATGTAAACAAGCATGATACACAAAATATCAAACTTTGACATTTGAAGTTTTTAACAAAATGTAACTATATGTAAATTTAAGTACCTTGTGACAAATGAATATTATTAACTTTAACAGGTAAGTGTTGATTTCATTTTAAAATTTAAAGATAAAATCTGAAAGTATATTGTAAAGGACATATATGTTTTCCTCGTTAAAAACAAAACCAGTCCACATTACCATATCATAACACTGATCAGCCATCAACCAGAAAATCCACTCAAACGAAGGACTTTACTGTTAGAACATGGAGAGGAACATTACAGGACAGTAAATTAAACATCACCAATTCTTATCACAAACCAGGAAGTGGGCACTCACAGACAAATTACCAAAGATATTTACCCTAGCTCTGGGGACAATAAATTGTTCAAAATCATTGATTCAAAGCAGGAATTTAAATGCACTGCACATTAAAATACACAAATATCTGCATGAGTTATTCCCCTTTGGCAATTTAACTAAAATGAAACATTTTACATGAATACCTAATTATGGTGTACTTACAGCCTAATTGCCTTGAAATGTATTCCACTTAAGAACACTGCAGCCATCTACAAATGACTTGATAAATATATCACAAATATTGAACATTAAAATTTAACTGTTGTAAAAATGTGGCCCCACCTTAAACACTAGTGAGATCATGATTGTAAATTTTATTTTCCAATAAACTCTCACCATGCATTTAAACTACAACAGCACCATAAACATTGGTTGGATTTCATTGAATTGACTTCACTATAGAGAGTCCTTATTAATTCTTGATAATATACCACACAATCTTAATATTTCTTTCTTGTACATGTAACTGTTTCCTATTGCTTTTTATGTTATTATTTATTACTGATAAAGAATAGATTTTGAATTTTACCAAGAAAACATTCAATAATACATGTACAAGAAACTTGACTAGCTAATTTCTTCAGAAAATTAATTGATGGAATTTTTTTTTATTGGAGGGGGGTGTTTCTAAAATTGGACATTTTTTTTTATTGGGGGGGGGTCTAAAATGTTTGTTTTCATTTGATTCTTTTTTAGGGGGCTGCACAATGAGGAGGAGGAGAAGGGGTAATATGCAAAGATAGGAATTTTCAAGTGACTAGCTAATGACTGAATTTCATTGATTGATTTTATTGATCACCTGAAGAATTAAGTTTTCCAGTTTGCATCAATTGCCAAAGTTAAAATTGTAGACCCCCATTCTTCTCCCTCAGAAAAAATGTACAAAATTGGCTTCCAATTCAAAAGAGTTGAAAAAAAACAAATACTTGCAATGACAAAAATAATGCACTCACTTAGTTCTGTACAAAAAATAACTGAAAACTTTGTATTTGACTCTTTTCAAATCTTAATTAACATGTCACTTTTTCAATGTGAGCACAATCAATGTGTACAATATAATTTATCCATAAGTTAATACAGCTTAGTTCAATATTTTTTCATGCTTCTTACAGACAAACAGACAGAAGGACATAAAGCTATAGAAGTACAGATTAAGTTAAAGATTTCTAAATCTGCAGATTTAATTTTTTTATGTGTATGGTTTATATCAGTAAACCCCACCCATCTTTATATATAAAAAAAAATCTCACAGACAAGATAAAAGAAATAAAATAATTCCATGCCCATATACCAAAAATCTGAATAAATCACTCCTACCTGTTTTTCAAAGACAATCTTCATTGTCTTAACACATTATACAGACTATCTTTCCTCTCTAAGCTAACTAACAGAGCAAATTAAAACACTGTTTACCTTAAAGCAATATCTGAGAGGAAATTTTGTTTTTAGCTTGGCAACCAAGTTCAGGCTGAGCAGATATCAGTGAAATTCACCTCTGGCAATATACAGATCCAATTTATTCAGGTGTGGATCCCACCTAGATACTCAACTCTGGTGTGGATCTCATTTAAATTCTATTCAATTGTGGTTCCACTTTTTTCAATATCACAATTATTTAAATTTCCTTTAAAATACATATTTATTTAATAAAAAAAAAATTAAGGAATATATGATACAGGAAAAAATATGGAGACTTAAATATACTGGTGTTTAGAATGCAATTATAAATTCCTGAAGTAAATATTTTGTTTCAACATTTAAATAAAAATTTTTAAAATTTGTGTTTTCACAATATATTTATTAGAAAATTTAAAGAAATTTATCTAAAATCATTATAAATATGCAAACTTTTAAAAATATCTTCAAAATATCATTGTGGAAAATTTTTTTTTTTTATTGTGATATTGGGGGGGGGGGTATCACAATACAAAATCTTTGAAGATACACATTGCTAATTAAAAATTGTTTACCAGATACATAATAATCTCTATGTCTGTTATGATATAACAAAAAAAAAATCTACCAATTACTTGCTGTTTCGTGAATTAATAAAACAGCGTTATATTGTCAATTTTCCTTTAGTCAGTGCCTATAGAACAGCTTACCTGAAACAAATTGAATGTTGCCATGGTTATTCTCATGTTTATTTCTTTTCTGTTTTTCATCTCAGATTTTCTACACAAACATCCAATTAAACCTTGGAAAATCCAAGTCACTGCAATGAAAAAAAAAACATGGGTAATCTTAGATTACAAAGCTCACTTAAACAATTAAATGCAACAAACCAATAGGCAAAGCTTCAGACCTGAGTAAGGTGAAAGGATTTAAACAATATACCAGGTACATCAGTAAATTATTCATACTGAAGTACTAAAAATGAAATATTGTAGTGAAAAGATGACCTATGAAATGCAAAAATATTTTCATCATGAACTCTAATAAATTTGAATTCATGGTTAAAAAATTGAAATGAAAATGCACTCAGTAACTATTTTAAATTTCATTGAGGTCTGTTTCTTCATACCACATATATATAAGAAATTACATCAAGTAAAAAATGTTTATTTAACAGTAAGAAGTTCACCTCAGTGAATCTTTCTTTTGTAAGACTTGGGCAACATTTCACACACATTGAATGTTCTGCTAGTGTCCATCCCTACTGTAACATCCAGGCTGCTGATGCACTGGTTTGTCCAGGCAGGGCTTGTAATTTGGAAATAAACCTGTTCCAAAAATTTAGTTGGGTCACTTGTCTGGAATTGTAGGTTGGATCCAGCATCCAAAGAAGGTCTGGTAGTAAGCATCCCTAGATCCAACATCCATCCAAATAGTATTCAAAAGTAGGTCAACTCCAAGGTTTACATTATGAAGTACATATTTCATAAAATATCTTGCTGCAAGGAAAAAACATGTGAAATATGACAGCCATAACAACAAACATTCAAATCTTATGGCCAAGATTAAAGTTTACCAAATGTAAGTTAAATTCTAACATGTCTAAGGTCAAGGTCAAAATATTTATACCCAAGGTAATTAAGGTTTTAAGGTCATAAGCAACATACCTTACCTACTTATAATTTTTCAAGATATTTGTAAATTAAGGTTCTAGTTTCATCAGATGTTCATAGACAAAAATCAGCAAGCATTACCAGGGGTTTGTGAAAGATATCAATTAGTGAAAATTCTTGGATTAAAATCCAAAGAAAATTATATAAAAATTACTATTAAAGTTATATTCTAGATGTTTCTTTTATCGAAACTTGTTTAAAAGAAGTGTACAACACCATATATAAACATTTAAAGTAACACAATGAGTCAAAATCATGTGCTTCTTTTATATTTGTAGCATACAGAGAAAGACATGAAAAATATGAGTATATAGCTAAAATATAACAATTAAACTGCCAGAAAAAACTACACAATATAAGTGCTGGAAAAACAAAGGTTGTGATCACTTGTTTTAAATTTTCATATGTCAAGGTCACATCACTTTTATTTTTACAAACTGTTCAACAAGTTCAACTGTCCATGCAAATTGAGAAATATGTTTTAACAACACTTTTAAAAGATTGTCAAAATTTTTCAACCTCAAATTTCAGGGTACTTGAGAGGTAACTTAAACTTGTTTAACAAGGAATACACATGAGAAATGTCCTTAAATTTTCTGTGCAAGTCTTGTTAAGTGAATTAATGCACCCCTTAATTTAAGAATTGGTCAAACATTTCACTTAATTGAGGCAATTATAAATGGTCCTGGTTATACCTGGGAAAATGGGTCAGTACATCATGTTTTATCCATTTTAAGGATTATTTTTAAGTCAAGATATTATCATTAGAAATCTGTATATCAGTATCGTGATATACACTATATAGGTCCCTGTATTAAATTATCACACCCCAACCCTCCCCCTAAAATACTCCCCCCCTCCATTTTACCCCCATGCATTATCCTCTAGGGAAAGGGATACTGTAACTTGTTAGTTTATATGGATTTTACGTAAATGATATTCCCAGATGTAGGACCTGTGTTTTAACAAACTTTTTTCATCTTGTAATGTCAACGGAGTAAGAGAAATGCCCTTAATGACCAATTTATCTTTTCATGTTTGCTAAAATTGCTTGTTGAGCTAGTTTGCTGGTGGTGGGCTTCTGTTGCAGGTAGCTATGCAATTTGTTGTATCTCTATTTCGCACCGACATTAACTATTGATAAAATTGTTTAAAATGTATTAATGTAAATTATTAAGTATAGAACATGTACTATAAATAATTTAATTCAAAAGTCAAATAAAAAATTCCATAATAGTTTCTACGAGGTAAACTGTCAACATTGCACGAGATGAATTTTCGTAAGATTTTGGATTCCAGAATTTATTATTCTCCTTCCGGTTTGAAAAAAATGGTGACCGTAATGGTGTCACTACACTCATAAAACATAGTAAATCGTAAGTATATTGAAGTTCTCACGAATTTGCTTTTGATCATTGTTTTTATTTATATTTACGTTTGATGCACAATTGAACATTTTATGAATTGTAATTATAAATAATGAAGATGATATCACCATGTTTGTTTTTCAAACAAACAAATCAACACAGAGACGTAAACAGTATTTTGGGTGTGATAAGACAGATAGATTTGTATATCTATATATACACAATTTTGTCTAATGTCCACGTTTTGTTTTCTTTAGACTGTAACTTTGTGTATTTTCGTTCATCAAGAACAACTTCAACCCCCCCCCTTCACATTATCTATATGTTGCATGAATAAATTAATGTATTGATGCTTCATTAACAAGCTATTTAGAATAAACTTCCTTTACAATGTTGATGGTGCGAACCTTACGTCGAGTGCAGTACATAATTTCAGTGTACTGTTAAAGAATTTATTTAGACCATCTCTTCAAACCACATGCGACGCACAAGGTATTTGGTATGTCTATACTCTGATGTTGAATGTAAGTTACATTACCAAACCAAAGCCTTAACAATGCTGATATTAATAAATGAAATGTTTAATTTACTATTAATCTACAATATACATGATATATCTATTAAATCAGAATGAGTTTATTTTTGTTGAACTTTTGTTGTTACCGCAAGAACACAGATAGCATCAAGATGCAAATTCACAAAGGATTATGTGTCCAGAGGAGAAAGTTTCAACTGTCGATCAGTGCAAAGTCCGAATTTTCTCTTGACCAGGCATTGGTTTAGAGCTTGCAGTGCAAGCAGATAGGCTGAGCAAGTTGTAAACTGTTGATCTTTTTAGCTTCTTTTTCTTGGACCCTTCAGTTATTATTGTGGTAGTGTTAGATTAACGGCATCCTACTAGCTTGGGCTAGTGGGTTAACCCTTTAGCTCAATCGGTAGAGCACTGGACTGGTAAGCCAGAGGTCCCTGGTTCGATCCTCAGCAGAGGCACAAACTTGTATCTGTTACATTTGGCGCCCAAGTTGGGACCTGGGTGTTCTCTGGCGGGTGAGAGTGATTGCCCCCAGAACTTCGCCCCACAGGCGTCGGTACTCCGAAAGAGATGAGGACATCTCATTCTCTGGAGGGGGACAATGTGGTAGTGTTAGATTAACGGCATCCTACTAGCTTTGGCTAGTGGGTTAACCCTTTAGCTCAATCGGTAGAGCACTGGACTGGTAAGCCAGAGGTCCCGGGTTCGATCCTCAGCAGAGGCACAAACTTGTCTCTGTTACATTATCAGTCAGTTTTGTTGTGGAGCATCTATCATGGATGTATTATATAGAGATTAACAAACATTATGAAAGCTCTAAATTGAATATGACCAAAAATTGTGAATTTCTTGTCCCCTTTCTCTCTGGAGGTGTTCGTTTGCTTTACTCTAGAACTTCTTAGAGATAAGTGCAGGCACAAATTTTCGTGGGGATAAAATTTCATTGATTTGTCATCAAAAGTAGTTTTGTGGGCATTTAATTTCATTGTTTTTAAAGCAAATCCATTCAATATATACTTATATAGTCATATTAAATTTCTTGTGGAATTAAATTTCGTTGATAATTGTTAACAACGAAATAAATGAAATTTAATCCCCCACAAATATTTGTGCCTTTACAGTATTTGGGTCCCGAGAAAACTGAAGAGTTTTTCCAGTTTAAGGTTCATAAAACTCTGGTGACCATCAAGTCCTATAAGCCTCTTATTACACTAGAGTTGTACAGATAAATCTTAATGGTTGATCGTATTGGACCTGATGAACATCAAGATTGTATTGTGTAGCTTCTTTGCACTAAACATGTTTTTTTTTTTTTAAATATTGATTTCTACGTAACTGGATCATATATAAGTTAAAGTGTGATCAATCAGTCAGGGTCAAAATAAACAATATTTGTTAAATAATTAATTTGATTTGATAAGCATGATAAGAAATTATCTATTATGTTGATTTTTTTCATGGTAATTTTATTTAACCAATGAATGATCAATGATAGAGGGTAGATAAAAAGGAAATTTATACATATGAATTGGTTGTAACATCAGTATTATGTGATATTTCATTATTTGGTTGAAAAAAGAAATGATTTGTATTTTAAAAAAAAAAAAGTCATTTGTTTTCATCATAATACTGTCTTAACATGACAAACAATTATAAAAATATACAAATATAACAAATATAGGTACATGTATATACTTAAGTGTGTTTTTGTGAAATATCACATGTTTATATGAATTACTCTTGGCAGAAATATTATCTATGTGTTCAATATTTTTCAGAATGTCAGAAAAGAACTAAAATTTGATGAGTTCCTCAACTAAAACAAAGAGAAGATCACACATGATAACTTGATTTGTGTATCAAATTAAACACACCAAAGTAATTATAGACTAAGTCCTCATTTGACCTAAATGTCCTCTCTTTCTCAAACCTCCTGTAACGTGCGGATACGCTAACTGGACTGTCTTCAACAAGTCAAGAACTCCATTGAAAGTTTATAAATTTATTTAACAGGAAACAAAACAATACTGTTCAACATTTCACAAAATCTCTGGTGTTTCACAAACTCATAAAAAACCTCTATAACTGGAGTCTTATCCAGTAATTAAATAATTCATGTGCAAGTCTAACTCTCTTAGACCTCTTAAAATCCTAAGTTTAATCCTAAACTGGTAATAAACCAGTAATCATGAAAATCCACACCAGTAATATACTGGTAAATAAATATTATTCAATCTCTGAATAAAGTTTTCCCCCACACCACTTAATACTATCAAATTATTTAACCCAAAAAACTAAATTAAACACACACCTTTACACTGGTGTAATCTACTGTCTGTAATCTAATCTCTGTCTACAACTCTCATTCTTACTATATATACGTCATGAAATACTACGAAATGACGTAGAATACGATAACCAATCAGAAACATCGCGCACCTGATCAACAACCAATCACAGGCGATACGCGATAACCTTATTCCCATGACTACAAAAAGTTGTACACATGTTTCACCATAAAATAGAAACAAGTAAAATATTATAACTACTTTATAAACAAAATAACTTTCGTAATAATTAAAGAATATTGACATACAATTAATTAAATAAATCGCCGCTGACAACTTTTAACATTTTAAGAAAAATGCATTCTGGGAAACTGCACTTCCGGAATAACAAACCATGCGGCGAAAGAGAAAACATACCAGGTAACAATTTACCGAATAATCGCTAAACAAACACCGTTTTAATTATGTGATCATGTATACAATATAGGAAACTATAGATAACAATTAATTTAATATCACAACAACATTAAAATCTTGAAAAGCAAAGAAAATAATGTATGCGGCAATACATATCGTCTGACAGTATTTGGGGGTCGTATCAAAACACAATGTACAAAAAAAATGTATTCAAGTAATACGGTTAAAACTTCGTGATAATAATATCGCTGTCACTACATTTGTCACACCTACTTGTTCTGCTGACCAGAAACCAGCGGAAACGAAGCATTTGTAAGCTGACTGCTGTTTGTCTGTGTGTCTGTAATGATTCACCATCTCCTATAGTCTTGTATAAAACTTTACAAAGATACATTTTCTATGTGAATTTAATTTTCATGAACGGTGATACATTGGTTACTTAAAATAGAATAGTGTGTTTATTTTTTTTTCTTCAGATGATCTAGAAGTAGACATAGAAAAAGCATTACATATATACAGTTCCTATACCATGTGAAACCTTGGCAACTTATTAATCACCATGGTGATTACACAGTTTTGTATTGGTGCATTATTGGTCCTTGGAATTCAGGTAACCTTTAAGTTGACAAATTCTGAACATTTATTGAGAAAAAACTATTTTTATGAATATTAATTTTATGGAGAAGTCAAAATTGAACTAGATTATGTTTGTCAATTTAATAGATTTAATAAGAATTTAAAAATTTTCCCATATTTTATCATTATGTGTTTTGTTGTACTGAAAATTTACTAGCATTGGTAAGAAAAAACTTTGATAGTAAATTTAATATCATCTACATGTACATCCTTAATGTCTATAGCAATATGATTTTAAATTTTCAGACTTTTGCACAGTCTTGCCCCGGTCCAGGAGAATTTTATATTCATAGAAATGCCAACATCTACTGCAAGAAAATTTACAACTGTCCACCAGGTAAAGTTCCCTGATCAAATTATTTTTCCTGTTGCTGACAAACCTCTTAGACTTATGGTTAGGGGGGTAAGTTCTGACTTGGGAGAAGTAAAGGACTCAATTTTCTTGCCTATCAGGGACTCACCAGTTTCACTTATTATTAGTTAGGTTGGGAAATGTTTCCTATGAAAGGCTCACCAGCTTAACTTTTTGTTTATAGATAGTGGAGAAAATCTTTTCATTGAGTTCAAGGAATGAATTACTAATCACAGAAGTCATAGTAACAGCTATTATTTACCATTTTCTTGTTTAAGATGATGTATATATAATGATTTTTTTCTGTTTGTAATTTCAGGGCATGAGATTATTCCATGTAATAAAACCTGCGCAGAAGAGAGGTGCGTTCCATGTTCCGAGGGGAAAGCTCAGCCATACCTAAGTCACTCCGATCAGCGCATGGCCTGCTTCACACCAGAATACCAGTGTAACAGTAGAGGTAATTTACATAAAACCAGAAACCTAGTGTAACAGTAGAGGTAATTTACATATAAAACCACAAACCCAGTGTAATATTAAAGGTAATTTACATAAAACCAGAAAACCTGTGTATTGTTAAAGGTAATTTACATAAACTAGAAACCCAGTGTTATGTTAGAGGTAATTTACATATAAAACCACAAACCCAGTGTAATATTAAAGGTAATTTATATAAAACCAGAAACCCTGTGTAATGTTAAAGGTAATTTACATAAACTAGAAACCCAGTGTAATGTTAGAGGTAATTTACATATAAAACCACAAACCCAGTGTAATATTAAAGGTAATTTATATAAAACCAGACACCCTGTGTAATGTTAGAGGTAATTTACATAAACTAGAAACCCAGTGTAATGTTAGAGGTAATTTACATAAAACCAGAAACCCAGTGTAATGTTAGAGGTAATTTACATAAAACCAGAAACCCAGTGTAATGTTTGAGATAATTTACATCAAACCGGAACCCAGTGTAATGTTAAAGGTAATTTACTTAAAACGGGAAACCCAGTGTAATGTTAGAGATCATTTACATAAACTAGAAACCCAGTGTAATTTTAGAGGTAATTTACTTAAAACCAGAAACCCAGTGTAATGTTAAAGGTAATTTACATAAACTAGAAACCCAGTGTAATGTTAGAGGTAATTTAGGTAATTTACATTATTCCGGAAACGCATTTTAATATTACAGGTAATTTACATAAACTAGAAACCCAGTGTAATGTTTAAATTTTAATGTTTCAGATACAATTCCAATAGAAAATGGAACATTTTCTCCAAGCTGTGCAATGCAAAAATACTGTGATTGCAATAACAGTAAATGTTTCTATGGCAGTCCATGTATATGTGAGAGAAATTTCTCTCCGTGTGGTGTAAACGAAGAGATGAACTCGAAAGGAAGTATGTATACCAAATAACATAAAACATTAAATAATAAAATAAATTACACAAGAGGCAAAACATCAGTACAAGAGCAGAATACATATGTTGAGAATCATTTGAATTATCTTTATTAGCAAATTATTCAATATCAAAGCTGAATACAAGAAGAAAAAATGACACATGTGACAAATTTTCTAATAATTATTTTTTTGTAGAAAATGAGATGATGAATGTTTAAGGTAAATTAAGATTGATACCTTGTGTTTACAGACTGTGTCCGGTGTAAGAAAGGTTATCAGAAGCTGTATAAAGGTTGTGACCAATGTGAGAGAATCGTTCCTGAGCTACCGTCAACACCTGCCCAACAGACAAACGGAACAACAGGTACAGCGATTCAGCTCAGTATTCAAACTTAACAAACACAAGTAGATATCAGAAAATATTACACCTTACTCATGATAGAGGTTCCTTTTCTTCTTACAAGTACATGTATTATCACATCAGACATAATCTGTTATGTTGATGCTGTATACAGGGAAGTTTTTGCCCCATTTTATTTTCGTCCCTTTCACCCTTTTATTTGGGTGAATTTAAAATGGGGCGAATTCAAAGAATACCGCATGCATGTAATTTCTTAAATGAAAAACTGTGACTTGGTGAAGTTGAAATGGGGCAGAATTGCCTGCAAGTGTCAAAAGGCAAAATAACATGAGGCAAAAATAACCCTGTATACAGTTTATAAATTACTACTTTCTTTGTTATTAGCTTCAAAACCAAATCCAGTCAAAACAGAATTGACAAGCCCCAGCACAAGGGTTCCTGTACCATACACCACGACAAAGACCACACAGAAACCAGAAATACTGGTGTCATCACCACCAGGAGGCTCCCCACAGGGGCACCACCCAGAGAAGGGCGAAGACAATAGCGGCACCATCCTCATAGTGTAGGTTAAAGGTTAAAGTCATTGAAAACATGGATATCGGGGATGGGGGGGATAATTATGGCATCATCATAAATGTCATTGAAAACATGAATCTCAGGGATTGGGGGGATAATTATGGTACAATCCTCTTAGTGTAGATTAAAGTAATTGAGAATGTATCCGCAGGAGGGGTGTAATTATGGGGCACCATCCATAAATTTTGCTCATGAAAATATACGCAAGAATGAATTTATATGAGCAGACGTCTTGCATAAACTAATAAATAAAAGTGATATACATGTGTATTGTCTTTTCCCACATTTTGAAGGCACATCTTGTGTAATGTAGTGGATATAGAAATCTTTTGTACTATTCCTATGTTATCTGCTAATGTTTGTTTTATTTATCCCTGATTTGTAATCTATTTCAGGGTTTTTGTCGTGGTTGGAATAATCCTGATTGCCCTGATTATAGTTGTGCTGTTAATGCGTAAATATGGAAGACGTCGCTTTATAGCTAAAATATGCAGAGGTCGGTGATGCAGTAAACAATAAAATATATTTAAGTCTGCAGTAAATTAATTTTTTAAAGATTTTTTGCCTCCCTGAAATCTTTTTTTAAAAAAATAGTCATCTATCCCAATTTTAAGAAAAATCTGAAGAAATTTTAAAAGCAAAGTTTACACTGTCTTTGTTATAAGTCAACAAACATTCATTTTCAGTTATTGTATCAAGACACGTAGAGGTAGTAAATTGTCATTTATTATTGATGTTAAAGGTACTTGGACACAGATTTGAAGTTAATATTTTCTCATTTTTTCTGTATAATATCACGAATTATATATTTTAATAGCATTTCACACAAAAATTAATTAAAAATCTTATTTCATTTAAAAGTTATGAAAACTTAAAATTTTTTGGCGGGTTTGATTGACACATCCTTGCACTTTCACAAATTTTAACTTTATTCTTAATCCTTAGGAAAAGTGGCAATTTTGATGTGTTTTAATGAGAAATATTAAAACTTTTATCAAGAAAAATAATTTTATTCAGAGTAGAAATGTTAGAAAGCAAAACACCTTCACAAGTATCGTCATTCTGAACTAAGAGATGCATACAGAGTTAAGCAAATCGAGCACACTCATGTTATGTACACAGTTTTTGTAAACAGGGCTCGAGTTCTGTTATTGTTTACATGTATATTTAGAATTCACCGGGTGCGATCAATCGTCACAGTCTGCTTACCACAACTGCACGGACTGACAATATATTGTGCGTTTGTTTTGCTTTCGAACGTGTGTACTCTGAATTTTCTGGATTATAGTATTAATATTTTTCATTTAAACAAAACGAGATTGCCACTTTTCCTAAGGATTAAGAATAAAATTAAATTTGTGAGAGTGCAAGGATATGTCAATCAAACCCGCCGAAAAATTTGAAATTTTAATATCTTTTAAACGAAATAAGATTTTTAATTAATTTTTGTGTGAAATGCTATTAAAATATATAAATCGTAATATTATAGAGAAAATAATAACTTCAAATCTGTGTCCAAGTACCTTTAAAACAGTCATGTAATACATCCTGGTTGTACAGATTTGTTATTAGTGTGTTGTGTGTTACAGATAGAGAAGCTGCTGATCAACCAGGGAATCACGTTAATGGTGATGCTGGTCGGGTACCTGAATTAGAACGTGTTACCGTCCCCCCAGAGTAAGATTATTTACCTACGTTAACATCACAGATATGCAAACAAATTGAAGTTGGTCACAAGACTTAGTAACTCTCATGTATACAGTCTTGAGAAGATAGTGATATTCATTTCTAAAACTTTCTCAGAGTATTTACCTGTGTATGAGAGCAAACTTCCTGCCTACCTTACTCCATTATAATTCTGTAAACAATTTAATTGACTTTACAGGACTGATATATCATGTAACATTCGTCCAGAACTGATGCGGTTGGTGTCGTCTGATCGTAGCGACAGTGGCTATGAACATCACCCTAGTCTGGAGTCGCAGATTTCCCATAATTCCCACATCTCTGTCTCTACCCCGGTCCAGGTAACGGACGGGGTTGAGGATCTTCACCCCCTTCTGAGGACGGTCAGTCATGACCCAGGTAGGTGTGCTCAAAACATGGGGTTCTAACTGTGTTGTTATTTGTGTGAATCTGCATGATAGACCTATGTGGAAATGAAACACAAAGGGGTTGCTAAATGAAGGATTCATTGAGTAGAGTCATCACTTATGAATTAGTACTCGGATTTATTTCCTTGGTGCAGTGTTGGGTTTTTTTCTGAGAATCTTAACATTAAATAAATTGCTATTCTTCAATTTTACTAAAATATTGAGAAATTTTTTGTATTTGTAAATCTTTGAGTATTTAAGATTTGTACCCAATTTACAGGCATATAATGCAACTCTTCTGACTTGATAAGCATTGCTAAGGTTTATTTGAAAAGAACCATTCACTTTTCACTTTGGAACTGCACTGTGTTTATGTGCCTTCCAAATGGTGTTTTAATTTGTACATGTATACATTGTAGATGCCTCAAATTACATTGGGACAAACAGCTCCCCCGTTTCGGCCTCGCTTGACCCTGCGTCCCTGCGGACCAGCACACTGGACACACCCAGTGTGGGATCCATGGCCGTGTCTGAACTCATCAATGAGGACATCAATCTAGGTACTGTGTCTCACTTGCTTACCAATGATAGGTCTAAATACTTAGACAAGATTCACAATGTAGGTATATGTTTACCTTCTGTACACAATCACAGTTTGTCCACAATTTGTCATTAAAAGCATCTGTAAAAGCAGAAATTTTCGTTGGGGATTAAATTTCGTTTTTCATTGTATACAATTATCAACAAAATTAAATCCAACCTGAAATTTTCTTATTACTATATATTGAATAGTATTACTTGCAAAACAATGAAATCAATGCCCAAGAAACTGTTTTAGATAACAAATCAACGAAATTTGATCCCCGTGAAAATTTGTGTTTCTACTGTATTTAAAATGTATTTCAAACAAAAAGTTTAAAGTACCCAAGATTGATTGCAATTTGCAAATAGAAATGAAAAATATGGCTACATCAGATAACATAACTTATCATGTTTCAGGCACAGGAAGTGGTAACATTTTATTCACTGTCAAAAGTTTAAAGTGTAATGCATGTATATTCAAGTATATAACTCTAAAACTCTATATAGGAATGCAAAGAAAGGAAGACAAACTCTCACGATTTTAAATTTCTTTACATATTATGCTTTTAAATATAAGTTTGAGAAAATGTAAACAGAATACTAACAATTACTAGTACCTATATTAAATTGGTACAGTATGTCATAAGAAAATATTTATGTATAAAATAAATGTCATTTACATGTTCGTTATCTTATGTAATTTAAAGAATTTTACTTTTGGTTTGAATTTCAGATGTAAAGGGAGCTAATCCGACCAGTGGTACGTGTCTTACAGAGGACATCAACAGCGGACACGAAGACAATGATGTAAGGCTCGGGTGTACCGCCGTGGAAAATGAGGAGGACACGCAGGAAAAAAGCAAAGACTCTACGCACCTGGACAGTCTACAAATACAAAAACAGCAGATCAGATAGTGCTACACACTGCTAGGATTATAAAAAGTGCTACAGACCATTCAAGTAGTGCTACAGACTATTTTAATTTTAGCAAGTGCTGTGGACCAATATAATAATAGTGATTGGCAATGCAATAAAGATAGCAAGTGCTACAGACGGTTATGATTATAGCAAGTGCTACAGATTGTTATATTTATTGCAGGCGCTACAAGACCATTATAATTATCTAACCATATCTCTATGCGTTGTATTCTTCGTCCTCCTGTGCACTTCTCAATGTGTTTCCTGACCTTTGTGCACCAACTCTACAGTTCTTCATTGACTCAAGTTTGCCAGTCATTGTATAAAATTTTTAGATGAATTTTAGAAGGTTACAGATACTGTGATATGAAGAAGTACATTCATGCCTTATTTTTAAAAGTTATTTGAAGGATTTTTTTATTATATGGAGTTGCCTAGTGACTAGTACTTGATATATGTAATTTACAGCTTTGTTACTTTGGAAATGAAGCCTTGATTACATCACAGGTCACTAAGTCAGGAACTGTTCCTATGGTTGTATAATGTTACGTGTACGGAAATTGAGCTTAATATGTCGGCATTATCTTTGAAAAGTAGTGCTGTATCACCTAAAAAAATTTATACTACAGTGTTTTTTTGATCACTACAATAGATTTAATATTTCAAGGCATTTCTTTTTAGTTTTATTGTAATTTCCTTATATGAGTACTGCTACTAGCAGTGAAATTGTATATGTTTGTTTTGTTTTGAACAACTGCATTGGGAAGCTAGCATTTTCTTAGAACTACTAACCAAGAAATAAGAATCTTCAATATAACTTTAACACCAGGTGGTTATACATGTGTACATGTGTATATCTGTCTAACTGCTAACAGAATTTTATGTATTCTCTTTCTGAAAATGCTCAAGCCAATATTTCAAAGGTTGTAATAAAATTTTTGTAGATATTGAGATAATAGAATTTTTAGATGAATATACTAACAATATATGTAACAATACATGTACAATGTATATGTGAAAGTAGAGATATCGTTCTACATGAAGAGAAATTAGAAGTCATTGTGGATTGACTAACTAGTTTGTATGAATTGCCAGTGGTGAGTTTGTATGACTTGTGACTAAGCAGTGGTCAGTGTATAAATTGTGAAGAATATTAGTGTCTATGGAATCTCCCCCTACAATCAACTTAAGTCCCTTTCCATCACTATTCATTAGGGATGTCAAATCGGTCAATTTTTAGTACTCGGTTACTCGGACGTTTTTCCGATCGAGTACCCGGGTACTCGGTAAAAGTGTAAATAAATATGAACAAGTAAATTGAGGATTGTAAAACATTGTAAACTCTTGTAGAAATAAAACCACATGCTCTGATTGGAGGTTTACCCCTAAATGTATTTCTGTTGTAAGAATGATGAGCACTTGTTACGACAAAATTTAAATAACATTTTTTGAAGTTCAATTTAAATATCAGATAAACACAAGAAATAAAATTATAAGAGGTTCACAGTGTTTTTGTAAAAAAAAAATCTACAAAAAATCAGTTGTCAGAGCTACGTATATCAACTTATCAAGTTCATTATGATTTTCATACACTTTTTCATTTGTGTGTCGATGGAAATCGGTATTTTAAAGCCTTTGCCTTCAGCCATTTGTATTGGCATGTAATCAAACACAACCAATCAACAATCGCACATGTAATATCATTTACGGCTTCTCGAAGAATTGACAAAATTATTTAATTTATTTAAATAAATTAGACCTTAAACGATGTTTAGTGAAAACAAATAATTAAAGCAAACCAAAAATAAGGGTAGAAGACAGCCGAAGGTGAGAAAAGCCAGGTAACAGGTGCTTGGTCACGATAATTACTGTATAAACACTGTCAGAGGCAATTACGGTCATTTAGAGGCGTAGCAAACCCTAATTACTGCATGTACAAGTGCAAGGAGCATTTTAAGTTATAAAACAGATTGTTTAATGCATTAATGAATAAGTTTATAAAAATATACATTAACCGAATTTAAGTATTCGATACTCGTTTTGCTTGTGTGTCATTCTGTAAAGAAAGTGGTTCATTTCTTACATTGAAGTACATCCATATTTCTTAAACCTGCAAAAAAAGTGCCATATGAATTCATTTGACTATGTGTATTTATAAAATTCAATAGGGTTTTGCTTGTGGTTTGATGATCTCGTACAATTTTACTTAAAAGTTTGGACTTAGAGGCTTGTCACTTTAAAGGAAAAACAAAATTTATAAATGGCACTTCTTGTAAGTTCCATAAATTGTAAATATTAATAAAGGTCACTGTCCAGATTATTTGTACAAAATGATCATGAAAAAAAAATTGAAAGAGATTTTTACATTTCTTAAAACATAAAATAATTTCTGTTTAAATAAAATGAATTTTAGAAGGCAGATGAAAAAGAAGGGAATTTTTCAAGATTGCTTGATTAGAAAGATATATTATTAGTTTAAAATATATTTTATTCATTGAATTGGATTAGATATATTGTTGAATATTACCAACTCAAAACCTAGTGTGAAAAAATGATTTAGTACATGTAACACCAACTTTCAGCAATATTCCTCTCTTTACTCTTAGATGTTTAAAGATGTGTAAACTTTAAAGTACTAAACCTTTGTTTGAGATATCAAAATTCAAGTGAAATGCTTGGGGATTGCTGTATTTGTCAAAATACTATAGATTGTAGGCATTGTATATTTGCTCCAATCTTTTTTTTTAAACATATATATATAACTTTGGCAGCGTTGAGTGATTTAGAGAATTCAAAATTTGAATGAAATACAGATATTTTTATAGCGATGTTATGGTCAGTGTGTTGATAATGCTGTTTTGTTGAAATCAAGTGTGTAAGAGGTAAACAAAATGTTTGGACTACTTCTGATGTTCTTGTATGTTTTACAAATTGTATCAAATGATTAATTCCAAAGGCATTTTTAATCTATGTTTTGATATCTAGATCATAAATCCAGACAATTTATTTGGGAACACAAGTAAGGCTCAATGTATTTGTAAATAAACACATATTTATTTTAAGAAATTTGTTCAGGTGGCAATAACCTAACTAAAATGGCATTGATATTTAAAATTGAAATTATACTGATAGCATCAAGATTTTAGCTTGTTTGTTTTTAAATTGAAAAATTATAATGTTTACATTGTTTTTTTTTTTGTACTACATCTCTCCAAGAGAGAAATGAATGAGAGTCAATTCTCTTGCAGATGGTTGTTTGTGTTTAGCACGATTCTCTGTAAGCCTGTGTGTGTCTGCTGAGTTTGATGCTTTGTGAGGAATTTCTTTGTTGATGTTTGTTGTTTTATAACCATGACGTTTATTAGTTTTAACAATGGATATAGCAGAAGAGTGAATGTGTTTTTAATCTTGAAGTTTAGTAGTTGTTATATGCTTTAAGTACATGTACATGTATATATACCAATATATATTTTAGATTGCAGTATATTATATAATGTGCAATCCTGCTTGTCTTCGGAATTTATCATGAGTATATTATTCATTTAATAAAGTACATTGTATTGCAATTAATTCATTTGTAAACAAACATTGTTTAAGTTAAAATGAATCTTTCTTTTTATGAAAAAACTTGATGTCAATTTGGATCAAGAAACTCTGTATATAAAAAAAAAAAAAATTGGTGACAGTCATTTGGAGCATGAATTAACCAGAGTAAAAATTCATAATTTCATGTGATATAATGTCTGCAAACCACTTTATACTAGTATATCTTGTCTCCTTTGCTTCAGTAGATCTTTTACCATGTGACATAATTAAATGACAAAAAGAGAGAGATTTTTTTTTGTTTTTTATCATGTCAGCACAATAGCTGACAAAAATATAATGTAGAAGGTTATGCTCTTGCCTTTAACTAAAATGTGTTGTGATCTTGGTTAAGGTAGGATTCTTCTCTGGTTTCTGACTAGATGAAATATTCAAAGTATATTTGTTTGTCTTATATGATTAGGTGTTAGAGATTTAAAAGATCATATTTTTCTTTCCTCATCACAATTGTACAACTTTTAAAAGAAATGGTAAACTGAGTTTGAAAACTAGCATGGAATATATTTTTATCGGAATGGTGGTATATGAAAATATCTTTTTTTCTGCCTCTCAAAATTGTTATAGAACAATGAATTTAGTTTTGATTTTTACATAATCAAAAACTTGAAAAATTTCAAATGGAAGTTGAATTAATAATAAGGGACTAAAGTTTCAAAATATATCAAATAAATAAAATTTTTCAAACAAACTAGAACTATTTTAGCTTTTAAAAGCGAAGTACAGATTTGAGCCAAAAATCTGTAAAAAGTATTTTTTCTCTTTTAGTAAACAATGAATTTTTTTTGTTTTTGTATCATTTTGTTTCTTTATGTGACAACTTTACAATATGTGAAAATAAGAAAAATTTAAATATAAGTAGCATATGAAAATAACTAATATATCCTAAAAATTTAAGAAAAATAATCGAGATTCAGATAAGCCAATATCTATTTTAGTTAAATTATTTATGTCAGTTTGGTGATCTCATGTTACAGGCCATATATGGTAATATCTTACAATGCAAAAAGAAAAACATTCAGTCTTTTGAAATTGAAGTAGGGATCCTTTGATTGACAACAGTATTTTTTATTCGTAATGTCCAAGAAAAAGGTAATGACCTTGACCTGACCTTGCCTCTAATATAAAACGGTCAAATTTAATCTCACTGATACCGTCACTTTGTGATATTGTCTTCTTACGGAAGCCCATTTGGGACCTATCAAAAAATGTTTTTGAATTCAATATAACGAATTGCAAATTTATTATAACAAATTTAATTCATTATAACAATTTCTTTGAATTCGTTATTACGATTTTAATCTGTTATAACAAATTTGTTGAATTTGTTATAACGAATTCAAAAATTTGTTGATACGAATTAAACTCGTTTAAACAAATTCTAAAACTTGTTATAACAAATTAAATTTGTTTAAATGAATTTTTAGGTCACCTGAGTAAACTCAGGTGACCTATTGCGTTAACATTTGAACATTTTCATCTTCTTCTCTGCAACCACTGAACCAATTTCAACCAAATTTGGCACAAAGCATCTATGGGTGAAGGGGAACAAAAATTGTGAATTTCATGGTCCCTGCCCCCCTGGGGCCTGGGGGGTGGGGCAAAAACCACTAAAATTAATGCAATCTTTAAAAATCTTCTTCTTTACTCCTGGACATCAAGCAGTCAAACTGTTTGCATGATTGTAATCAGCATTGAGTCCTCTACCAAAATTGTGAAATTCATGGCCCCAGGGTCAGGGGTTCTAGTGCTAGGGCGGGGCTAAATAAGTATATAGTGAAAATGCATTATTTCTTTTAAAATCTTTTTCTCTGCTACTGGGTATTAAATAAACCAACTAAGTACATAGTTATGATGAGCAAGAGTGCTTCTACCAAAATTGTGAATTTTATGGCCCCAGGGTCAGGGGTTCTGGTGTTAGGGTGGGGCTCTATTGATTATATAGTGAAAATACATGAATTCTTTGAAAATCTTCTTCTCTGCTCCTGGGTATTAAATAAACTAACTAAGTGCATAATTATGATGAGCAAGAGTGCCTCTACCAAAATTGTGAATTTTATGGCCCCAGGGTCAGGGGTTCTGGTGTTAGGGCGTGGCTCTATTGATTATATAGTGAAAATACATGAATTCTTTGAAAATCTTCTTCTCTGCTCCTGGGGAGTAAATAAACTAACTAAGTGCTTAGTTATGATGAGCAAGAGTGCTTCTACCAAAATTGTGAATTTTATGGCCCCAGGGTCAGGGGTTCTGGTGTTAGGGCGGAGCTCTATTGATTATATAGTGAAAATACATGAATTTTTTGAAAATCTTCTTCTCTGCTCCTGGGTATTAAATAAACTAACTAAGTGCATAGTTATGATGAGCAAGAGTGCCTCTACCAAAATTGTGAATTTTATGGCCCCAGGGTCAGGGGTTCTGGTGTTAGGGCAGGGCTCTATTGATTATATAGTGAAAATACATGAATTCTTTGAAAAAAATTCTTTTCTGCTCCTAGGAATGAAATAAATTAATTACATAGTTATGATGAGCAAGAATACCTTGTCCAAAATTTTGATTTTATGGCCCTAGGGTCAGGGGTTCTAGTGATAGGGCGGGGCTCTATTGATTATATTGTGAAAATACATAAAATCTTTGAAAGTATTCTTCTCTGCTCCTGGGTATTAAGCAGATGAACTACCTATATAGTTATGATGAGCAAGGGCGCTAATCTTCCAGAATTGTGAATTTCAAGGCCCCAGGGTCAGGGGTGCCATGGGGGGGGGACTGTACTTATATACTGAAACTGGATGAATTGTTTGAAATCTGCTCCTTGGTATTAATCAAATATTTTTGAAAAGCAAGGGTGCCTTTTCAAAAAATGTGCAATGTGTGTATCTAGGCTTAAGGGTCAGGGGTTCATGTGTGATAGGGGCATTACTGATTATTGCTGAATATTACTGATTACTTGAAATGCATTTTTTGTTCCCCTACCCTGCCTATGGGTATTAAGTAAACAAACTAAGCAACTGCGAAGTGTATTGTTATGATGATCAATGGTGCCTCTTTCAAAATTGTGAATAGCATAGCATCTGGCTTAAAACATGAATCAAATTCAATCACTGGAAAGTTGTTGCATAATGCTCAGGTGACCTATAAGGCCCATGGGCCTCTTGTTTGATTTGTTATAACAATTCAATTTTATGCTATGATATCTGCTCCTTGGTGAAATGTGTGGCTCCAGGGTGTGAGGTTGGCACTATTGATTATTGCTGATTACTACTGATTAGTTGAAATGCATTATTATGTTTCCCTGCTCTGTGTATGGGTATTAAGTAACCAAAGTAAGCATGCTAAGCGTTAATTCATTATAAGCATGTTTTACTGTATATAGGGAAAATGCAGTAAAATTTTCTCCTCTGCTTCTGGCTAAAAAGCCCATGAACTAAGTATATAGTTATGATGAGCAAGGGTGCTTCTTCCAGAATTGTGAATTTCATGGCCCTTGGGTCAGGGGTACCAGGGTGGGTGGGGTGGGAGCTCTTAAATTCAAACAGAGCACTTGATTGCATGTACTTTAATGAAAAGGCTTTATAAAGGATTCTTCTCATATTTTTTCTATTTAAAAATTAATAAAATTTTCACAGAATCAAGATGATACGGAAGCCAATTTAGGACCTATCAAAAAATATTTTTGAATCCGATACAACGAATTGTCGAATTTGTTATGACAAATTTAATTTGTTATAATAATTTCTTCGAATTTGTTTAATCTGTTACAACAAATTTGTTGACTTCATTACAACAAATTCAAGAATTTTTTTGATATAAATTTGTTTTCAGAATAGGATTATTACCCCCCCCCCCAACCCCACCACCACCAATGTGATGCCCTTGATCCAGGCCCAGGGGCTTTAAAATTCACAATTCTGGAAGGAAGACCTTGCTCATCATAACTATGTAGGTAGTTACGATTGCAATTGTGCCTCTTTCAAATTGTAAATGTCATGGCCCCTGGTTTAAATCACAAACCAAATTCAATTGTTGAAGAGTTGTTATTTGATGCTCTGGTGACCTATAAAGCCCATAGGCCACTTGTAAAATGACACCATTTCATTTTGCCTTCTTGACGATTTTCCCTTGGAAGGGGGTTTTGTTAATCCCCTTTACCAAAGGATGCTCTGTGTCAAGTTTGGTTGAAACTGGCTTGAAAGTTTTTAGATAAGAAGCTGAAAATGTGAAAAGTTTATGCAAGGCAGATTGAAACCCACAGCCACAGAACTTGGGTGACATTATTATAGTATAAAGACCTCTATTCCCCCTCTGAATAATAAATGTAATACAGTGAAACTTGTTTAATCTGGGTGTTCATGGTGCGATGCAAACTTTAATTGGGACCCTTTTCAGTAAATTCAATTGTTTCAAAAACGTGTATTGCCAATTTTTAATGTTGGTTTGTCTGACCAATTTCTATGGAAGCAGTGGTCTCTTGATTAGACAAGTTTGACTGTACACGCACACAGTTATGATACTTCTCTTTACCCTCAATTAAGATCAACTATTCCAAGTTTTACATCATATTTATTATGTCAGTTAAGATTTGGCTAGAATTGTCTTACAACCATTGCTTTTACAAGGAAAAACAAACATATGAAATGAAACAAACACATGCAATATGGCCTGCACATCTGTTCTGTGCAAATAAATATAATGCTTAACAAATGTTCATATATCTGAAAAGGTGTGTCCTAGCGAAATGTGTCTGTTAAAAAAATGCATTGAGGCACAATCAACAATATCATAACCCATGCTTTTACAAAGTCATCGCTCATTAAAAATCTAAGTTAATTAGAAATAAAATTACAGACTAAGACTGCGACATATTTATATACTTGTGGAGAAATCTTCTCCATCAATCAAAAATCTTGAGGGATTTCAAGTTTAAAAGATTTCAAACAGCAACAGACCAAATGGCATTTAAACAAAAATAATTATTTAAAATAAAACATGCTACAGCACAGCTACAACATTAAGACTGCAGTGTTTAAATCAATTTACAACATGCACATTTGTAAAATTCATTATTTGTGCCAAAATTTAAATTAATATCCATATTTTTTCATAACATACCCCTAAAAAACCCCATTAATTTGTATCCATGTTAGAAAGACCATGCAAAAATTTATATTCTGTTGTGGTATAAAACATGATGTAGCTTTGAATTCAGAATCTGTATATATTAACGGACATTTAAGTACTAACACCACACTTAACTGAAGAGCAATGCACAAGCCCTATATCTACTGCAATAAATAATAATCAAATGTAACAATAAACCACTGTACAATTCCTCGATCCATTCATCAGATCATTTCAATTCATGATTTAAATTATTTTGTCTATCATATAAAATCACACACATTCAAGTAACAGTAGAGTCACTAAAAATCAAGATTAAAAATTCTTGTATCATAATACAATAATGTAAGACAAGCATCTACATAAAACTGGGATCAGTCCAAAGATAAAATTTCATATATATTTTTTTCATAAAAAAAGAGAAATATCAAAGATATTAAAAATTTAGACCTTTATATACGGTAAGACAAATTTTGTGTATGTTTACACCATTGGCATGTTTTCTAAGGCTTCTTCAACAAAATTTTCAATTAATCAATACATGTATATTGAACATGTTGAATACTAAATTTTTACTGCAGCACTTCAATGTACACATAATTCACAGTCAACCTCAAAATTAAAATGTGTCATAAGATGGGCCTTATGGTGCAATTTGTGAAAAACATCCTTGAAACATTTTCTGAAAAATTCAAGTTGAAATGCTAAGATATCTTGTTGCAACTTTCCCCATTAATCAAATTGAACTTAAAATCTATTTTTTTAACCTAGAAGACACCTGACACTGCACTTTAGAAGTGGGTGTACTACTGTGTACTATTGTGCTACGTCATACAATAAATGAGAAATATACCCAGACATTCTTCACAAACAAATCACCTCTTTACACATTGACATGATATGCTCTCAAATCCCCCCCATTATAATCTAGAGAAGTAAAAAAAAGAGTTGTATTTTCAATCAACAAATCGACTGATAGCTTTTAAGATTATTGTATTATTTCTGTTTCTCATCCTTTTTGAAAAGATTTGAAATATAATTATTGCAGAATGACTTCTGCATAGGAATTTATATATCTATACCAGGATGATAGCACAAAAAATGATTATTAAATTCTACCTTCCAATCTTGTGTAAAGTTATGAATATCAAATGTTTAACATAACACCTTTTTTTTCTTTACATTAACCTCCCCATCCCCTTTATAAAGCAAAGGTGTGCTCTTTGAAAATATATTTAAATCATTGAAAAGAAATGTACATATTTTAAAAAAGATCTTCAAATTAAACACAAAGAATGTACCCTAATAAATTTTCTTCAGATACACTAAAGAGATCTTTCATAAAACTTGTGATGATTTTTGACACATATGAAATGTCATTTCCTTTTGTATAATATTAACAAAGATCCGAGGTACACAATGCTCACCCAAGTCACTGTACAATATGTACCCCTTTTATTACATTCTACGCCTCTTGACCTTTAAAATTTAAATAAATTTATTGACATACACTATTTTAGAATATTACCTATAAGTTATAAAGAAAATTTTAGAATTCCTTCAGTTTATTAATAGAAAACAAACCCCTTTTTAATGAAACCTATTCTGATCTAGGGACCACGATTAGTACATATTTATCGCTCAGAAAAGTTCATTTGTGTTCTCTTTGTTGTAATTATAATCCCTTGTTTATTTCTCAGCTCTTGTGATTGAAACATTTTCCTTCCCTACTTGCTGTAAATGCATTTGTGTTCTCTTTGCTGCTAATACACCCCCAACCCCTTCCTAACAAGGACTGTCCAATATTTCTTGGGTAGAACTTGATAATATATAATATATACCAAACAGACAAGCAGATATCAAAATGTGATCAGAAAAATCTTACTTGAGACTTTATCTCAAGGGAGGTAAAAATTATAAAAGACAGGACCTTGTACAGTTAATCACCAGCTAGTCCTGATGTGCTTTCTCAGAAAGCTTTCATAATAACATAAATAATCCTCTCAGCTCAGATTGATACCACACCTACAAATGGAAGTAAGACATCGCTATTGACTAGACTTACAACACACAGGGCAGGGAAAAAAACACAACTCTCATTCACACACGCATACAATCAGACACACAAACACACACACACACAAACACACACGTACAATTGTGAGACAAAGGCCTTTTACACAATTTATCATCCATTCCTGCACTTGCTTGTTGTTATAACACAATATTAACACACATGATAAAATAACACACACACACACATAAACCTGCAGCCAGGAGATTACTCTTCGCATAATGGCCCTTTTGAAATTTTTATGATGTGGAATATGCTCTATCTGTCCTATCTCTGACCTAAGTTCACAGAACCCGGTCAGAATCAAATGCAATTTACAATTGTCTAAAGAACTTAGATCAAAGGATAATTTTAAAAAATTTGAATTCACAACATTACGGAATTGTTTGACATTAATTCCATCAACATATAAGTCCTTCATAGATATTTGGTTCTAAATATATCTTTGTCAATATTCCTAGTGACCTGTGTATTGTTTACAAATATCAGGAGTTCCTATGAGATCAGACATTAATGACTTGTTTAGATATACATCTTCCTTTGTCTTTGAGGACTGCCTTTAAACATTTATGTCCTGTTGGCCATGGACTTGCTTTCTCTCCAAGAGGACTTAACTCTGTTTTATCACCAAGCACCAGGTCCTCACAGACAGACAGACCCACGAGAGTATAATACACACACTACACCACGATGTACTAAGACTGGTACAGTAGGTAACTTTTAAGTGGGTTTGGTAATGGTAGTCTAGGAATTTCGTGCAGTCTATTTTTACCCAGTTGATGTCTGATGATCCTCCGGCAGATGTCCATCAAGGGTAAGGGCTCCGCTGAGGATAAATAAGAACTCGTTACCATACAATGTTTAAAAAAGAAAATTAAACAAAACTTCAAATAGCAACTTAGCAGTCTTAGATATAAATAACATATCTTTAAGAATTCTCTTAATGAGAATTTCATTGTATGTGATTGTCATTAACTACAATTTTCATTAATTGTGGACAAAGTTCACATAACAGCTGTAAATTACTTACGATCCAGCCCGCCTATGTATTTCATTGTTATTTCACAATGCCCCCACACTGCACTGACTATTGGATACAGTTTTCTCCCTTTGAGTCCTCTGAAGGCCACTCCTAGGTATTGTCCGTCCACTACAAAACTGAGCGTTCCTTCGTCCATATCCAAGACAACCAAGAAACTGTCTGGGACCACAAAGTTCTCGTCCGAATTCAGACTAGGATATGTCACACCAGGATTATTTTTTACGTCATGGTAAAGTTTATTCCGCCCAAGATCCCATCCCCAGGATTCACAATTACTGCCCACGAGGGACTGATACCCCACACAATGTAGGGGGGCATCGCTGGTGGCTACCCCAACCACCGCGTGGGTGCCACGCTGCCTCGTGCTCCAAATGATCTCCCACACATGTAGTCCTCGTGTGTAACCCACTTTCCCCCGAATACAGTCTGTACTTTGAGCAACTGGATGACGATGAAATGTCAACTTATCGTCATCTTTCACAAATATATTTAGCGATCGATCGTCCGCGTTCCAGGAATGGTTGACCTGCGACTCCTTGTTGGGGGACGGCATGTCTAGGAGCATGTCCAGTCGACTTGGCTTCTGATAGTCTGGGTTGTACACCATGTCACCTTTATACAGGGCTTTGTACGATGATTCTCGAGCTGTCACGGTTTTTATGCCACCAGAAACTTTCTGCCCCATGCTCATTTCTTGACAATGATATTGGGGCAGGTTCACCAATGAAGAAATGTGCTGACTGAGATTGAATGTATTTCTATAGGGATTTTTCTGTTTTATATCATTTGGGAATTTTGTCACAATTTGTAGGCAAGGGTTTATATCAAAACATTCTAGTCCTTAAGAATTCTGTAAAGCTGTCCTTGTTCTATCTCCCTGCTTTCACTTATGTTTAACCTGAAATGAAAATTACTGGAAATTATAACTATAACTTAATCTATTAATCTAAAATGGCAGATTTTAGGAGATGTAGTCAATATTTATTACTTGTGAACTTCTGTGTATTATTATATGGGAATTACAGGATTTCTTCCATACCACCTTCCAATAAATCTTATGATGATGTTCTTTTCATTTGGTCTCTGTAATAGCACTCCTTGTACATAGGTTAATTTTTAGAAATGATTCAGATTGGAATGTTACTTCATATAAATGAGAGAGGTGAAGATAATGAACATTTATACTCAATATCATAAAACATAAACTGATTGTACTTGGAGGTGCTCTTCAGTAGTAAAACCATACACAGGCTATAGCAGAATATTGCTAAATAAAACATAAACCGATTGTACTTGGAGGTGCTCTTCAGTAGTAAAACCATACACAGGCTATAGCAGAATATTGCTAAATAAAACATAAACCGATTGTACTTGGAGGTGCTCTTCAGCAGTAAACACCATACACAGGCTATAGCAGAATACTGTAAAATCACATATTTTCATGGGGTCAATTTTCCGTGGTTTGAGGAAAATCTCTTGGTTTGTGAGGAATTGATTTCGTGGATCAAGAATTGTTGAGTAGTTATGTGTGTAACATTTTACCTTTCATGGTAGACATGAATTCGTGGGTCTCATCATGCCTTGAAAAACAACGAAAAATAACCCCCCACGAAAATTTGTGATTTCACACTATTGCTAAATAAATAGGGAAAGTTGGCGATGGAAAAGCTAGTCAACTTGTTGTCAGTTCAGTTGGTATTGGCCTTTGTCATTAATAGTCATTAAAACACCATATATGAAATAGATGTGGCCAACTCTGTGGGTTACAAGAGTATACAATATGTGCAATATAATTTAACATATGACTTTTCATTTTCTAATTTTTAAAATCAAGTTGTAAACAATAAAACACAATCTGCCACTCTGTCAAACAAATGAAATTTAAATAGTCCCTCTTCTTATTTACTTTTTATTTGCCATGTGAAATTTTTAATGGCTAATAGTCAACCTGAATCAATGAATAGATCTCACTCACTTCCTTCTGTGCTTAACCTCAATTTTCCTTTGAATTAAAATCTGAACATTATCAAATCACAATCTAACTGAAAATAAGTTGATAAATCCACCCTGAATTTCCTTGAAGTAAAAGACTAAATATTGCTTCACTATAAGATCAGACAAAAGTGCAAAAAAAGATTTTCAAAAAGTAGGTCACTGGGACTATCATAATTTAAGTAAAAATGGTACATTTTAATTCATTCACTACAGAGCTGCATTTATTTTGTATTATAAATCATATTTTAAAAAGTAATGGGAATGGACATGCTCCAATTCTGTTGCACAATTGTTACTCTGTAACTGTTACTGTTTCCATCAAGTCTGTCCCGACTCCAAATGGATATATTTGTGTGTGTGTGTATGTCCATTTCATACATGAAATTAGTACAAACACTACTCCCTCCAACAAGAAATACAGACATATTAATTATCAATTCATTTCAATGCTCAATGTTTTCAGGTTTTAACAAAAGTCTAAGACTTACCTTATCAAAGTCAAAGCGGCTTTTAAGCCAAAGAAAATTAATGTTTCTCAATATAAACAATACCAAATGTACATTTCAAACCTCCATGTGTAATATGATAGTACACAGAAAACATGATACATGTAAAACACAGATAACATATATACTAGTAGTGGCAAGATCCCAGTAGGTTTATATTAAACTCGTTTTTTTTTCCTTTTCTTTGTGTTATACAATATTCCACAAGGAATCGTCAGTGTGTCTGTTTTGTTAACTTTGTTATGTGATAATCCCCAGCCCCAGCAGACAGACAAAGTACCGTTACAAATCTCCCCTTTGTCTGACCCATCTCTTTGTCATCAGCTGATCAGGCACGAAATTTACCGCCGATCGATTAATGTTGGGTGCTCTACCCTTAAATATTACAAAAATAGTCCACTTAACTAGTCAGAAAATCTAGAACTGGTATAAAATGTCTTAATAAATCGTATTACATTCTTTGTCTATCTTAACTACATAAACGTGCTGTTGTACATAAACACCCGCACTTTCCGCTGTACACGGGTGTCTCAAAATTAGCAACAGTTTTCGGGCGATCGTAAACTTACCGTTAATTTCTTGTACTGTTTTCTGATAGATGATATACCTAGCATATTATTTATGATTGTGAGATCTTAATGGCCGAATCGGGGCTCCACACATGCTTTATTTTCATTGCCACTTTTGTGAATCACAGCAGGCAATGATCAACATGGCTGCCAAGCTAGTAATGATCACGTGACCTAATTTTTCGTGACATCACAATGTAGGTTACCTGCGGGAACATCTCATAATAGAAATGAAGAATGGTGATGCTTAGAACTAATTCAATAACCGTGGGCTGTTTTTATGGGTTAATTATTTTTTTTAAATCTCTTTAAAGAATATAGTTTCTAGTCACTTGGAAGATGAAAACTGATATTTTTAAAAACTTTTTTTTTTGCTAATAGCTAGCCTAGCTTTACACTTTTACCACTGCTATAAAAGATAAACTTGATTTTCCCCTAGGTTTTTGAAAAATAAATAATAAAAAATTATTTGAGGAAAGAATTCAACAGAAATCAATATCTACTTGCTGTGATAATGAATAACTTTTTCGGAATTACAAGGTTTTCATTCGAATACCCCAGTCGTGAATATCACGTGGTTCTGGTATTTTAAGTCTATGTGAGAGGTGAATAGTGGTAGGACGACATGTAGAGCATGATAGAAATTTTAATTTCATCATTATTTATTCAATCTAACGATACAATCTATGGTAATAAACCACATGTATATAAAACTGATTTTCATATTTTGCATGTTATATAACATCATACAATAAAGTTGCTACGTGTCATTATGTCCAAATGATGTGTTGTTGTTTATTGTACTTTCATCTGAAAGTATGAATGTAATAAGTAGAAAAATAAATTTATGGAAATTACTTAATTCATAATCTTGTTCAAATAGCCGTTGCTATAGCAATGGTATTTAATTTTTTTTCTATACGTAAATTTTGAATTTTACCAGTTTACGCAGGGACGTACATGTACATGTAGAAGGGGACACCGAGATAGTGAGAATAAAGAGAGAGAGAGAGAGAGTGGGGGGGGGGATAAAGAGATAGTGGAATAGAGATGGGGGGAGGGAGAGGGGCAGAATTCAACATACCAAAAAAATCGACAACAAAAAGGAATTAATAAATAAATAAAAATAAATTTAAAAATGAAAACTTGTCCAAGATCAAAAATCTTATTTTTTTATTTAATTGGTCGTGAGGGTGTGGATTGAGGTCTAAGATCGAACTTCAATCGGTACTGGGTTTTTTTTCCATAACTACATAATACCCTTATTTGACAATACTGCAACAAAAAGGGAGGGCTTTCAAATTTCAAATCAAAATTTTACTAATAATAAGTTATGTTTGAAACGGGGGGGGGGGGGGGGGGGGGGGGGGGGTTACGTGCCTGATAGATATCTAATATATTTATACTTTCACAATTTTTAACATACATATACATGTATAATACATATATACTGCTGTTTGAATTAATATTTTTAACGATACATATATGAAAATAAAAAGAATGTGTTTGTGAAACGCTGATGCCCTCGTATGGTAGCTCATTGCGAGGGTTGGATTTTCCCAAATGCATGTCAAACTCTAAAGGTCAAGGTCAAAATTGTTGATACCAAAACGATGGTCTTGTTCACATGGAATACACCTGTGAAATATAAAAGCCCTAGTTCTATCTGTTTAACAGTCTGATTAAAATCAGATCTTTTGATCCGCTCACCTAGATCACGACCTTATGTAGCGATCTATACGCGTGAGCGGATCAAAGGATCTGACTTTAAATAATCAGACTGAAGCAGGCGCGGATACAGAATTTTTTTCCAGGGTGGGGATGGGGGGTTCCACCTCAGTCAAAAAAAAAATCCAGCCCATAAATTTCTTGACAAGCAAAAAAAAAAAAAAAAAACATAAATTCAATTCTCAGACGTGGAAAAATCTATTTCGGGGAGGGGGGGGGGGGGATCAGTGGATGCTTCCTTCTAATGACTTTTCATACCATTATTGCATAGATCCGTGTTTTCGAGGAGGGGTCATGCCTCTGCAAATTCCAGGGGGCTGACCCCCCGGCCCCCTCTAGATCCACACATGTGAAGGGTGTAAGTTTAAAATGTGGGTCAAACTCTAAGGTCAAGGTAAAAAAATATTTATAATTACTAAAAGGTCTTATCACAATGAATACACTGCGACATGTGAAAACTGAAAGCTCTAGCATCATGGCAGCTGTTCAAAAGCTATGGTCAATGTTAAACTTGAAATTTTTTGTAAAAGTAGGTCAAACTCAAAAATCAAGGTCAAGAGGACAAAGTTGCTGGTACCCAAAGTAAGGCTTTGTCACCGTCAAGGAATACACCTGTGAAATATGAAAGCCATAGACCCAGCCACTCAATTTGAAAGTTCTGAACAAGGTTAAAGTTTTTTGCAGACAGACGGACAGACAGAGATAAAAAAAAAATGTATGCCCCCAAATCTTCAATAAAGGGGGGAAAAAATGAAATACTCAAAATAGCAAACTTTCTTTTAAAAATAATATATGGTGGTGGAGGGAAGACCCTGGGGGGGGGGGGGGGGGGGGGTGTAATCGCCCGAAATTTAATAAATTAGGAGTTACCAGTATATTTTACAAACTCATGTGAATAACAAATTTAATAAATTAGGATATAACGTTTTTGGATCCCCAGCTATTTAAATTTCATGAATTTCATACGGTTATAACTCATATAGTGAATATAACAGTTTTGCTGTAATGATAAACTACCCTTCATAACTTTTTTAAAACCAAACCAGAAATGGACTAGAATAATCATGATCAAAAACTATATTGACTTTATTTTTAAAGGGGCATGGACACAGTTTTAACTGAATTTTTTTATTACCAATTCTAATTTTTACAATTCCAAACTAAGGCAATTGTAATGATCAGCAAAAATTTGAACATTTTTTTGATTTACAAAGGAGATACTTGACTGAGAATTCTTCATAATGTAAACAAGGCTTGTGCCTTGTTTTTGTTTACATTTAGAAAATATCATGTTTATAACAATACGAGATTCAGCAAATCATTAGAACAAGAGGCCCATGGGCCACATTGCTCACCTGAGAAGCTTTGACAATTCTGTCCTTTACTAGATTTCCCCCTTGTAATACAAATTGTGACCCCACCCTACCCCACTGATCATAATTTAGACAATTTGAAATCTACACTACCCCAGGATGCTTCCATATAAGTTTCAGCTTTTCTAGCCCAGTTGTTATTAAGAAGAAGATTTTCAAAGATTTTTCCTATATATTTCTATGTAAAACTTTGATTCCCCATTGTGGCCCCGCCCAATCCCCAGGTGTCATGATTTGAACAATTTAGAATCTACACTACCCCAGGATGCTTCTGAAAAAAATCTGTTTTAACGAACACATATCAGCATGTTTAATCTATGCATTGGCGTCGGAAGCAAATTGAAAGTGGGGGGCTAAGTGTAAAAAAAAAAAATCCCAAACACGAAAATCCTATTTCGTGGGGGTGGGTGGGTGGGTGTATGTTCGAACTTCAGTACCAATATTTTAATTTACCACTACTTTCCCGATTTTTAACCTACACTGCGACGTTTCTGTGGAAAGTGGGGGGGCTAAACCTTTGTTCATTGTCTATATATATATTTGGAAAGAAAAGTGGGTGGGCTAAGCCCCCCCCCCCCCCCGGTTCCGACGCCTATGCTATGTAAATAAAAACATGGCTTCGGCCTTGCTTACATAACAAAGGTTTGGAGTTCTGTCTTGTAACTCGATAACTGAAATTCAAAAATTTGCTGATCGTTAGAAATATCTAAGTTAAGTATTTGTAAACATAACAAAAGGCCCATGGGCCACATCGCTCACCTGAGAAGCTTTGAACATTCCGTTCTTTACCAGATTTCCCCCTTGTTATACATGTTGTGACCCCACCCTACCCAACTGATGATAATTTAAACAATTTGAAATCTACACTACCATAGGATGCTTTGATTCAACATAGTAAAACTTTGATTCCCCATTGTGGCCCCACCCTACCCCTGGGGGTCATGATTTGAACAATTTAGAATCTACACTATCCCAGGATTCTTCCACATAAGTTTCTGCTTTTCTGGCCCAGTGGTTCTTGCAAAGAAGATTTTTCCTATATATTTCTATGTAAAACTTTGATTCCCCATTGTGGCCCCGTCCAACCCCCGGGGATCATGATTTTTACAATTTAGAATCTACACTACCCCAGGATGCTTCCATACAAGTTTCAGCTTTTCTGGCTCAGTGGTTCTTGAGAAAAAGATTTTTCCTATATATTGCTATGTAAAACTTTGATCCCCTATTATGGCCCTGCCCAACCCCCGGGGGTCATGACTTTAACAATTTGGAATCTACACTACCCTGGGATGCTTCCACATAAGTTTCAGCTTTTCTGGCCCAGTGGTTCTTGAGAAGAAGATTTTTAAAGATTTTTCCTATATATTTCTATACACATGATGTAAAAGTTTGATTCCCCATTGTGGCCCCGCCCTATCCCCGGGGGTCATGATTTTAACAATTTAGAATCTACACTTCCCCAAGATACTTCCACATAAGTTTCAGCTTTTCTGGCCCAGTGGTTCTTGAGAAGAAGATTTTCAAAGATTTTTCCTATATATTTCTATGTAAAAGTTTGATTCCCCATTGTGGCCCCGCCCTATCCCCGGGGGTCATGATTTTAACAATTTAGAATCTGCACTACCTAAGGATGCTTTCACATAAGTTTCAGCTTTTCTGGCCCAGTGGTTCTTGAGAAGAAGATTTTTAAAGATTTTCCCTATATATTTCTATGTAAAAGTTTGATTCCCCATTGTGGCCTTGCCCTATCCCCGGGGGTCATGATTTTAACAATTTATAATCTACACTACCCCAGGATGCTTCCACATAAGTTTCAGCTTTTCTGGCCCACTGGTTCTTAAGAAGATTTTTTAATGACCCCATCCTATTTTTGTCTTTTCTTGATTATCTCCCCTTGTGAGGGGACTTGGCCCTTCATTTTCACAATTTAAATTCCCCTTTATATAAGGATGCTTTGTACCAAGTTTGGTTAAAATTGGCCCAGTAGTTCTTGAGAAGAAGTCAAAAATGTGAAAAGTTTACAGACGGACGGACGGACGGACGACGGACAAAATGTGATCAGAAAAGCTCACTTGAGCCTTCGGCTCAGGTGAGCTAAAAATGGTATGAAAAATTTTGGCTTAAACTGTGTCCAGGCCCTTTAATTAAAGCAAATTTATGCGTGATCATGATTTGTCATTTTTTTAATTCAATGTCTCATAACTGGTCATAATTAGTGGATAACCCTACTTAGAGTACTCAAAATTTGAGGGCGAGTAGTACCAAGAGATAGAACTGAAACAATTTTTGAGAGCAAGATTTCAAATTGATAAATGGTTTTTAAAACTCTGATGAATTAATCAAGATTTATTATATACATGTATTATATCAATTTTATTCATAACATTCCCTTTGAGACTTTAATTTTTCTTGGCCAGAACATCTCCAACATAAACATTATTTTGATCAAGAACCTGCTGCTTCAAGGTTTTCAAATTGCAGATAATATCCTGGTCTGACATGCTGGAGTTGGACATCTTCTTCACACTACCCAGGAATTTTCCGATGATTTCTTCACCTTCCTCCTTTTCTATTTTCCTTTTCTTCACAACTGGCTCATCATTTCCTTTCAGAGAAGTTTCCAATTCAACTGACTGGAAGTCCTCCAGTTCTGATGCTTTCTTCTTTGAAAACTCAATCACATGCCGTGGAAAATGAGCTAATTCTGCCACATGAATTCCAAAGCTCTGGTCACAGGGCCCTTGTTTCACTTGATAGAGAAGCGTCAGTGTTTCATTGGACGTCAAAGCTGTTACATGCAAGTTGTTAACGCCAGGAATCTTGTCAGCAAGAGTAGTTAACTCATGAAAATGTGTAGCAAATAGGCAAAATCCTTTGATCTCAGCTGCTATGTGTTCTGATATTGCCCATGCCAATCCAAAACCATCATAGGTAGATGTTCCTCTTCCAAGTTCATCAATAATGATAAGAGAATCTTTTGTGGCAGACTTTAATATAGAAGCTGTTTCTAGCATTTCTGCCATGAATGTTGATATCCCTTTAACCTGATTATCTCCTGCACCAACGCGAGCTAGAATGCTATCCACAATAGTCACTGTGGCTTCACTGCACGGAACAAAGGACCCAATCTGTGCCAGAAGAACTATGACTCCAGCAGATCTGATGTATGTTGATTTTCCACCCATGTTTGGACCAGTGATTATATGAAACATTTGCTGATTTTTTTCAAATATGATGTCATTTGGTATGAAAGAGATATCTTCCTGCAATTCCAGACATGGATGGCGGGCTTCAATCAGCTGAATTTTCCCACTGCCTTTATTCAAAAGTTTCGGACAAACAAATGGTATTGGAGCACTTGCTGCTGAAACAGCAAAACTGACCAACACATCCAGCTGAGCAATCAACTCATTCAACATGAACATGGTTTCACAATATCCAGCTGCAATAGAAATGATTTCTGCTACTATACTTTTCTGCTGCTCACTGTACTCCTCTTTAGCTTTCAGGTACTCCTCGTTGAGCTCTTTCACAGCATTGTTGTGGAAGCGCACTCCACTATTTTTGGTATCTATTGTTGTATAGTTCTTGTTATTTCTCAGTGCTTTTTCCTCCTTTCTAGTTACTCTGAAAAAGTACCCCAACTGACTACTGCTCTCCAGCTTAAGTACTTTGTTTGCTTCAACTCCTAAATCTCTGGCAACTTTGTTGAGTTGACTTTTAATCCTATCTTCTAAATCATTGATTCTTTGGGAAAGTGCTTGTAGTTCTTCATCAAATCCTGGTTTGATAACAAACTCATGATTTTCTACTTGCTGAAGATCCATTGTTTCCTCCACCATTTCTTGAAATTTACAAAAATCCATCAATATTTCTTTCGTTGGATTAACAAATATTTCCATTACAAGACTACCGATTCCTGCGCTATGTTTTTCTAATGTGTCCATCAGCAGTGGTAATTTATCAATAGCCTGGTAGACTCTGTAGCAATCTTGAAGTGAAGCCTTTCTTTGTTGAAATTTTCGAGCTAATCTTTGAAAGTCAGGTATCCTTCTAAGATGGTCTTCAGCCACCAGCTGTCTTAATTCAGTGTTCTTCACAAAAAAATCAACAATTTTCTGCCGTTCTTCAATAAGGTTGACGTCTACCAGAGGCTGTTTTATCCACTGAGCCAGAAGTCGCTGTCCCTGTGTGGTCTTGCACCGGTTCAGTAAACCTAGAACACTCTGGTTCTTGTTACCATCAGAAGTGGAGGGAAACAAGTTCAAAGCTCGCACTGCAGCAGAATCCAGCTTCATATACTGTTTAAAGTCAAATGATCCCAAGCTGAATTGCCCAAAATAATCTTCACTTGATAAAAGCTCTAAGTATTTGATCAATGCAGATAATGCCTCTACAGCCACTTTATTTTCCATTTCACTCAATGTTGAGCTGTTCATCTGCTGTCCTTTCTTGCATTTCAGCAAACGATTCAAATCTTGCACCACGTCTTTGCTGCAAAAATCACCTCTTTTTCTTTCTGTTACAAGAATATTGCTTCTCTCTAGAACCTGTCTCAGCTTTCCAGTTTGTAAATCACCTGCTCCAACTACACACTCTTTGGCTCCTAACTGAATAATCAGTGCCTCTAGGTTTGAAAACTGGTCATTATCCACAAATTCTGCAACTAGTAATTTTCGCAACATGACATCAGCAAATCCAATTCCAATAATCTTTTCATTATTTTCTGTTCCAATCTTCAAAGCCAAGATTCCTACAGATTGAGGAATGTCAGAGTTTCCAAATAAAATGTCTTCAAACTGGGTTAAATTTCCAGACGAGGCCTTAAATGCTATCACCCATTCATTACTCTTAGCTCCAGGTCTGTTTTTAAAGATTTCAACTCTATATTGACGAATCAGCAATAACTCTTTGACGAGTGATTCAAAGTTCAGCTTGCTTATTGTCAAAGACTCCAGCTTGTTCTCCCCTATTCCTAAATGTTTAATGACAGCGATCGTCTTATAGACTTCTTTGGCGACAAACACTGCATCTTGTCCATGAACTGTATAATATTCAGATCTGTCAAAGAATCTAATGGTGGTATTTGGTTTCTCTGGCAAACTTTTGTATGCAGTAATAAATCCTTGGTCTTGAAAAGGATCCATGCTTGAGTACTTCCGGATATCAGAAATTCTTCCTAAAAATTGAATTGAAGAATTCAAAGATCAAATGTTCATTTTTACTTTCCTTTCTGCATTCGGAACTAAATATTAAAGGAAATTCTATTGCTTATTTTGTAGAAATTAAAATAATCACGTGCTAACCATACCCTTCAAAAGTAGAATCTATGACCTACGGGAGGTAATCCAATAGAGTCAAAAAAAACAAAACATTGATTACCATTACAGTGGCGGATTCAGGGGGGGGGGGGGGGGGGGGGGGTTCAGGAGAAAAACGCAGCTCATTGATTTTTTTTAGGTCACCTGAGTCACTCAGGTGACCTATTGCTATCCGTTTTCGTCCGTCGTCGTGTGTCGTGTGTTAACATTTGAACATTTTCAGCTTCTTCTCTGAAACCACTGAACCAATTTCAACCAAATTTGGTATACAGCATCTATGGGTGAAGGGGAACAAAAATTGTGAATTTTATGTTCCCCGCCCCCCTGGGGCCTGAGGGGTGGGGCCAAAACCACAAAAATTAATGAAATCTTTAAAAATCTTCTTCTTTACTCCTGGACATCAAGCAAGCAAACTGTTGGCATGAATGTAATGAGCATTGAGTCCTCTACCAAAATTGTGAAATTCATGGCCCCGGGGTCAAGGGTTCTAGTGCTAGGGTGGGGCTATATAGTGAAAATGCATTATTCCTTTGAAAATCTTCTTCTCTGCTCCTGGGTATTAAATAAACCAACTAAGTACATAGTTATGATGAGCAAGAGTGCCTCTTCCAAAATTGTGAATTTTATGGCCCCAGGGTCAGGGGTTCTGTTGTTAGGGCGGGGCTCTATTGATTATATAGTGAAAATGCATTATTTCTTTGAAAATCTTCTTCTCTGCTCCTGGGTATTAAATGAACTAACTAAGTACATAGATATGATGAACAAGAGTGCCTCTTTCAAAATTGTGAATTTTATGGCCCCAGGGTCAGGGGTTCTAGTGCTAGGGCGGGGCTATATTGATCATATACTGAAAATGCATAAATTCTTTGAAAATCTTCTTTTCTGCTCCTGGGTATTAAATAAACTAACTAAATACATAGTTATGATGAGCAAGAGTGCCTTTTTCAAAATTGTGAATTTTATGGCCCCAGGGTCAGGGGTTCTGTTGTTAGGGCGGGGCTCTATTGATTATATAGTGAAAATGCATTAATTCATTGAAAATCTTCTTCTCTGCTCCTGGGTATTAAATAAACTAAATAAGTACATAGTTATGATGAGCAAGAGTGCCTCTTTCAAAATTGTGAATTTTATGGCCCCAGGGTCAGGGGTTCTGTTGTTAGGGTGGGGCTCTATTGATCATATAGTGAAAATACATTAAATCTTTGAAAATCTTCTTCTCTGCTCCTGGGTATTAAATAAACTAACTTAGTATATAGTTAAAGTGAGCAAGAGTGCCTCAAAAAAATTTGTGAATTTCATGGCCCCTGTATCAGGGGTTTTGCCAATTGGTATAAGGGGGGGGGGCTCTTTTGATTATATAGTGAAAAATACATTTATTCTTGTAAAATCTTTTCCTTTGCTCCAGGGTATTATGCCAATGATCCAAGTATATATATTTATGATGTAGAAAGTTGCATCTAGCAAAATGGTCAATTTCATGCCCCCCTGGGTCAGGGGTATCGGGGTGGGGGTTGGGGTACATAGATTGAAAATAAATTAATGCTTTGAAATCTGCTTTTTAGTTATTAATCAATAATTTCATGATAAAATTTCCAAAATTTTGAAATATGTGGCCCCAGGGTCAATGGTTCCTTTGGGGTGGGGTGCACAACTGGCTTGAAGTGCAAGTCTATTTTCTCTTTGTTACTCTGTTCTACCTCTGGGTATTAAGTAAATAGAGTAAGCATCCTAAGTTTATAATTATGATAAGTAATGGTGTCCCTTTCAAAATTCTGAATTTCATGGCCTCTGGTTTAAAACACGAACCAAATTCAATTGTTGGAAAGTTGTTACATGATACTCAGGTGACCTATAAGGCCCGTGGGCCTCCTGTTTTTTACTAGTGTCATTTTTATCATTTTGTTGCATTCAGTCTTCGAAATTAAGCGGTAGCCCGATGAACGAGGCTAGTAAAATCGGGATCGGGCTACCAAAAATTATTTACACGCATGCCCAATGGGCTAGTTAGTAAATTTCCGGTGGCGAATTTTAAGTACGATTCCCTTTATAAAATATCAAGATGGGCTAACCCAGGTCAGTGATTCACAAACACGACGGCTCGTACAGAAGTAATAAAAGTTTGTTCACAAAATGAAGTACGTAGAATAAAAGTGTCAGCGAAATTGGCTGGAAATCCTACCATGGACTGAATACACCAGTACTACGAATCACCGAAATGCCCATAGGTATCACCAAAATACCCCTTATTTTCTTAAAAATAAATAAAAGAGTAATAAATATATGATATCCACTGTTCTAAAACCTAGACACATAGTTAAATTTTCATAATCTTACTGTAAGTATTTTTATTTAAAGATGTGTGCATGTCACACTGTTGACTGATACAGCAAAGTGTTTAAAACAATTACTCAAAGTGATTTTGAACGTTTAGTGATCAAATTGAATTAAATCAGAAATGCAAATGTGACTGCACTTATTAAAACGTCATTTGTTCATTTGTTATTACTCTTGAGTTGGGCTAGTGAAATTTCGTTTGGGCTACCAACTTTTGTACTTTCACTTGCCCTACGGGCTTGTAGTCAAAAAAGTTAAGCGCGAAGACTGTGTATTGATAAGACTCTAATAAACATGAATCCATTGTTCTGTGCAACTGTGAAATATACATTGACTACGTAACAGGAAATCACTTTCCGCTTGAACGCACACAATACACAGGTAATCAACAGAGAGATTAGGGTAGTCCGTGCATCGTCACAAGGTCATATACATGTACAGTACATGTAGTCGTGCGTATCATTACAGCTACATTTTCAAAATTTTCATTACCGCTACAGTCATTACTGCTACAAAAAACCTTACATTACCGCTATATAAAAAAGTATACATTACCGCTACATTGCCTCTTTCGTTAGCCAGCCACATATGAGTGTACAGTACAACCTATAAATGCATAAGACCCGTTTCCCCTGCTCACCATGGGGAGGTGAAAGTAGGACTTTGAGCTGGATGGTTTTTTTTAGCTCACCTGAGCCGAAGGCTCAAGTGAGCTTTTCTGATCACATTTTGTCCGGCGTCCGTCTGTCTGTCCGTCTGTCTGTAAACTTTTCACATTTTCGACTTCTTCTCAAGAACCGCTGGGCCAATTTCAACCAAACTTGCCACAAAGTATCCTTGGGTGAAGGGGATTCAAGTTTGTTCAAATGAAGGGCCACGCCCTCATTCAAGGGAAGATAATTGGGAATTAATGAAAATTTGGTAGCATCTTTTAAAAATCTTCTTCTCAAGAACCACAGTGCCAGGAAAGATGAAACTTATGGGGAAACATCCTCAGGTAGTGTAGATTCAAGTTTGTTCAAATCATGACCCCCGGGGTAGGGCGGGGCCAAAATGGCCGACCTAAGTTTTACATAGAAATATATAGGAAAATTCTTTAAAAATCTTCTTCTCAAGAACAACAAAGCCATAATTGATCATATTTATATGGAAGCATCCTCAGGTAGTGTAGATTCAAGTTTGTTCAAATCATGACCCCCAGGGGTAGGGTGGGGCCAAAATGGCCGACCAAAGTTTTACATAAAAATATATAGGAAATTTCTTTAAAAATCTTCTCCTCAAGAACAACAAAGCCATAATTGATCATATTTATATGGAAGCATCCTCAGGTAGTGTAGATTCAAGTTTGTTCAAATCAAGACCCCCGGGGGTAGGGCGGGGCCAAAATGCAGTCTACGCGAAAGTTTAAAATTTTTACAGGACAAAATGTCTGGTAAAAATAAAATTTTTACCAGACCGAACAATTTCTTACCAGACCGACTTTTTTCCCCTTTAAAATCCATACATCATTATGATACTAAGATTAAGAGGGTGGGTGGGATGGGGCTAATTTTCACTGTGAAATTTAACCTTAAATAAATCTTAAATAAATACAGAGTTAAATAAGAAAATTAACTATTTATAATTTTCCTTTGTAAAAGATATCTATTTATACAATTGCATGTATTATTTTCTTCATATTTGACTTATACAACATACACTGTATCAAAGATTTTCTTAAAATTTAATATGCACTTTCACTGCATATTTATTTTTCCTGAAACAGTTCATTATGGTTACTCAAGTTAATAATCATTTGAAAATAATTTCCCAACCGAATCTACGTATGAGCTATCTAAATATTTCCCCAACCAAATCTACGTATGAGCTATCTAAAGATCTGCAATCCTTGACAGAGGAAATTCGAATTAGAATAAAAACGATCATGACAGGGTTGTAATACATAAAAATTAATCAGGTATTACTGCAAATTTGGTCAAATAAAGGATATTTGTAGGGAATTTGACCATGTGTACCTCTTAATTTAGATTTATTTGGCCTTATTTTTTATCGGACATTTGGTCTTGTATACTGAAATTTTTTACCGACCCGACCTAAATTTTACCGGTAAAAACCGACGGTCCGGTGACTTTCGCATAAACTGAAAATGGCCGACCTAAGTTTTACATAGAAATATATAGGAAAATTCTTTAAAAATCTTCTTCTCAAGAACAACAAAGCCATAATTGATCATATTTAAATGGAAGCATCCTCAGGTAGTGTAGATTCAAGTTTGTTTAAATCATGACCCCCAGGGGTAGGGTGGGGCCAAAATGGCCAACCAAAGTTTTAGATAGAAATATATAGGAAATTTCTTTAAAAATTTTCTCCTCAAGAACAACAAAGCCATAATTGATCAAATTTATATGGAAGCATCCTCAGGTAGTGTAGATTCAAGTTTGTTCAAATCATGACCCCCCCCCCCCCCCCCCCCCCCCCCCCCCCGACCAAAGTTTTACATAGAAATATATAGGAAAATTCTTTAAAAATCTTCTCCTCAAGAATAGCAAAGCCATAATTGATCATATTTATATGGAAGCATCCTCAGGTAGTGTAGATTCAAGTTTGTTCAAATTATGACCCCCAGGGGTAGGGAGGGGCCAAAACGGCCGACCAAAGTTTTACATAGAAATGTATAGGAAAATTCTTTAAACTCTTCTCAAGAATAGCAAAGCCAGGATTGGTCATGGGACTACTTTTGGATTTAAGCTTTTCAAGTATAAACCAATTCTGCTTTTTCCTAGCCACAGTGCTCAGGTGAGCAATGTGGCCCATGGGCCTCTTGTTTTTATTATTAAAATCAATTTTATTTCATAAAACACAAAAAAATCAAAATCAAGCACATAGATAAATTCTATGTTTTGTCACATGTTTTTACACTATCGGTAAAGCCTTGAAAGCCATTTGCTTGACATACTGTTGTTTTCTAAATTTATAACCATCGATAAGTAAGCCGGCATTCCCTGGATTTATAACAAACTTCTCAATTGTGGTCATAATGTTCAGACAACGCTAAATAATTAAATTTTGACTGCAGAGTTATTTATTTAAATATACCATTCTGATTAGATAGCAAGTGAATTCTGTTGATTAGAACCCATATACTGAACCATACCTGGCTAAATCGATATGTAGCGGTAATGAGTTGTTTTGGGCTGATTCAATATGTAGCCTTAATGTGTTGTTTTTGGCCGGAAAAATGTAGCGGTAATGATCGGTCGAAAATCTGAAAAAATGTAGTGGTAAAGAGTTGAAATTTTTGGCAATGTAGCGGTAATGTTGACCTCCCATGTAGTCAGGTACCGCCAACAGAAAACTGCTAGTTACAGTGCTGCTCAGTAATATTCTTTGCTGATAAAATGCACGTTTATTTTAACTATTGGAATAAACTATTATTCAGTACTTTTTTACCGTTTTAAAAATTAAACAAGAGATGTTTGTAAAACACTTATGCCCCCCTCCCCCCAAATTGGAATTTTTCCAAGTCCAAAAGGGCATAGCTCTGTCAAAAATGGCAGGATTGTACATGTACCCAAAACAGAACTTGACCAAGATAGTCATCTGATAAATCTGTATACCAAATTTCATTTTAGTATGTGCAACCTCTGCAAAGAAAATGAAAGGAAACTGCAAATAATTGGAATTTTTTTGTAAGTCCAAGGGGCATAAATCTGTCAAAAATACTGCAATGGTACCCAAAACAGAATGTAATCTAGATATTCATCTGATAAATCTATATACTGAATTTCATCTCAGTACAGGTAAACTTCGTTATCTCGACATCGACGGTAAAGTCGGAAAATGTCGACATATCCGAGGTGTCGAGATATCAGAGTTGAGACTCGACGACCTTAATTTTACTGAATAATAAAAGCAGAGACCTAAACTGAACAGACGTTTAACTACAGGTACCTATATGACTTTAAATAGACTGTAGCTCGTTTGTTTCAGCTATCCCTCTATATTTATTAGAAAATCTAAGAGGATAACACAATGTTATTTATGAAATGCTTTCTTTTTTATCTGATCTCATTTTACTGAAAGCCGTTTTCCATCCAGCATTCGATCCGCGTGCCACTAGGCCTGTCAGAACAGGATACGAAATGCGCTCTATAAACTCCAAACCGGACGGTACAAAGTCGACTTCTGAGATATGGAAAAAAATTAATGTGTTTATTTTATTAATTATTTCATTTCACTTCTTTTTTATTTCATAATCATTCATTATTAATTTTCATCTCATTTTTAAACCAAAATTTAATTGGAATTGTGCATTTAACATATGCATCCATATTACGGCTGATGCAATAGTCGTGCATGTCGTTGATGTGATTGATTTCTGTTGACTGCATTTTTACCACAATTTAAAAAAAAATTAAGTTCAATTAAATTCATTGTGTATATTTGTCACTGTTATTCAGTTACTTTTTTTCATAAAATGTTTTGTTAGATTTCGACATAAATAAACGGTTGTACATTTACACAGAATCAAGAAGATTTATCAATAATTATAATAAAAATTAATAATACCCAAGCTGAGCATTAAACAATTAAGAAATTGGAGACGTCGAGAGAGCTTGGGATTCCTGTACAAACACATTTCTACAGAGCAGCATGTAGTCAAAACATGGGTGTGAAAGGTGTGAATTTCTGACGACGTCGAGATACCCTGAGTCGTCCGTGCGTGACAAGCGACCAGCTGACAAACAATTAGGTTAAGTAGAGCAGAAAATTGCCCCGATGTCGACATATACCAGGTAAATTTTGCTCTTGGAACTGTGAAATACGTCGAGATAAGCGGGGTAGTCGACATTACCGAGGTCGACATATCAGAGTTTTTGCAAATCATTTATATAGTAAATAATGCCGGGACCGCGGACGGACGTCGACATATCCCAGGTTGTCGACATATCCGATGTCGAGATACCGAAGTTTACCTGTATTTGCAACGGTTGTGAAGAAAATGAATGGAAACTTCAAATAATTGGAATTTTTCTAAGTCCAAGGGGCATAACTCTGTCAGAAATGGTGCGATTGTACCCAAAACAGAACTTAACCTAGATATTCATGTGATATATCTGTATACCAAATTTCATTTCAGTATGTGCAACGGTTGCAAAGGAAATGAATGGAAACTGCAAATAATTGAAATTTTTCTAAGTTCAAGGGGCATAACTCTGTCAAAAATGGTGCGATTGTACCCAAAACAGAACTTAACCTAGATATTCATGTGATATATCTGTATACCAAATTTCATTTCACTATGTGCAACGGTTGCAAAGAAAATGAAAGGAAACTGCAAATAATTGGAATTTTTCTAAGTCCAAGGGGCATAACTCTGTCAAAAATGGTGCGATCATAGCCATAACAGAACTTGACCTAGATATTCATGTGATATATCTGTATACCAAATTTCATTTCAGTATGTGCAACGGTTGGAAAGAAAATGAACGGAAACTGCAAATAATTGGAATTTTTCCAAGTCCAAGGGGTATAACTCTGTCAAAAATGGTGTGATCGTACCCATAACAGAACTTGACCTAGATATTCATGTGATATATCTGTATACCAAATTTCATTTCAGTATGTGCAACGGTTGCGAAGAAAATGGACGGAAACTAAGTGGACCGACAGACCGACCGACCGACGGACCGACAGACAGCAGCAAAGCAATATGCCCTCCCTTCTTCGAAGGGGGGCATAATAAATACTCTTTTTTTTTTACAAAATCAGATGGGCTTGGCAAAACCCTCTAGCTTTGATAGATTCTTCAGTTTATGTATTTTTTCTTCAGTTTGAAATATCAATTTAATAGTACATGTGTGTTTATATTCCAAATCATTGACAATATACTCAAGTAAATTGAAAAGCAATACTTAGTTAGGGATTCTGAAAAGAATTAATTTTTTAAAATTAATTTTTGAAAGTGTTTAAAAATTGCACATCAGTTGTATCTTTTTAAAAAGAGTTTTTGTACTTTCACACAAATTACACAAATACACATCAGTTGTACGTATCATAGAAGTCAGCTTGACATACGACAAAATAAATGGAAGGTGCATTTAAAGTGAAGACAACAAGTCGACTGCTTGTATTCCTAAAATTGTCAGATTTAAAAACTTTTAAAGTAAACTCTTAAGTCTTGTGTTAAAGTTAAATTAAATTGAAACATTTTATTTTTCTAAATTCTTAAAAATTTGTGATGATCGGTCTTAAAAAAGCTACAAAAAGTACCCAAAAAATGCTGGAAAATGCACCATTTAGAACCATTTAAAACAAAATTTTCTCGGGGGAGGCCCCCGAACGAATCCGGGATGTTTCGCGCCGATTCTGTTTCGCACTGAGATGGTTCGTGCCAGGATGATTCGCGCCGATTTCGGTGCGAAACATCTCTCCTCTTTTTTTTTTAATATTTCATTTATTTTGTAATAATTTAAGATCATTTATTAAATCTTAGATAAAAATATGTGTTGTAACTTGTATGCTCAAAATCATGACTTTTAATAATAAGCGGTGCCACAGTTAACGGATCGTAAATGTCAGTGTTTCTGTTCAACAGCTTAATTGTAATTAGTTGGAGATCAAAAGGTGAGAATTATTTCATTAGCAATTATAAAGTCGTACAGCAATTATCTGCGTGAACTTGAAAACATATAATTTGTGTTATTGAGAACATGTGTATAGAATAACCCACCAGGAAGTTTGATTGTCAAATTTAATGTTCATTAATATTCTACAAAATTTCGATACTTACATCAATATTTACAGATATTATAATATATATATATATATTTTTTTTTTTTTTGCAAAACGAACGAAATAAATAGCATACATTTTATGTTCTGGGAGCGAAACATCGTGGGGCGAACCATCTCAGCGCGAAACAGAATTGGCGCGAAACATCGCGGTGCGAACCATGCATCGGCGCGAAACATCCCGTTACCCCCCGAACCCCCCTCCTACACCCCCTCCCATGCCCTCCCCCTTCGGCCCTTTGGGCCTCAACCCCCCCCCCATGAACTTCTGGATCCGCCACTGCATTAGGAAGGATAACTTTATCTATAATCTACAAAGACAATATTTATAAACATCTGATTACAAAGGGGCTTAAGGGAGGTAATTTTAACAACGGAATACCACTTCAGTAGGTTAAAAAAAGATTTCAAAAAATTTACACATTAACAAGATTAATGAGACGTTTAATTTTAACATGACCTTTGTAAACATTTTCCCTAATTTTTAGTTGGCGGGAAACCTCGATCCAGCAGAAGAACATGTGAAATAAATACTTTCTTGTGTCGTACACGTTATATTATAGAATAATTTCACCAAATACATATAGAAAATTATTTTTACTGATAAAGGCAATGTCACATACCACATAAAGGTCTGTTAAGGGAAACACGACTCTGATTCTAGCGGGGTCAGTCGAAATGGCTACAGATATTCCCGGCAAAAGTGCAGAATTGGGTGGTTTCGCCCCAATACCTTGTTCGCTCTGAGTGGTTTCGCCCCATTACTTGTTCGCGCTGAGTAGATTCGCCCCCATTGGGTTTACCGATAATTAATGTGATTGCCGGATGGTCGTTTAATCAGTACACTAATGATGAGCAGCTTAATAAAAATTAAAGATGAAAGGCCGCCTTTGTGTTTTTTTTACCAAAAGTTTTATTCGGTATTACCATAACATTTTTTTTTTTACAAAGGCAACATGTAGAGCTCTGTATCCATTAATGTATCCATCGATAAACTGTAAGTTGTTTTTTTTTTTGTTACACTAAAAATATAGGGGAATATTAAGTATTTATTAATTTATATAGGCCCTATTTATTTGTCTATTTAAATAAATGAATCGAGTATACACATTGCATTATATTTCATGCCGGATGGGTTAATTTTGAATTCGTAAAGATTTTCACTCGATATCAGATATCATTTAATTATCTAATTACTGCTGCATGTGTGTAACATAAATCACTTCATAGAAGAACATATACATACCCTGTAGTTAAAAGGCGCGAAACCATTGAGCTCGATACCACTCAGCGCGAACACGTAATCGGAGCTAACCCACCCGTCACCATAGATTTAAAACAAGTTTAACATGTTGTGAGATGGCCCCTTTGCATAACCGGATGTCCATCTTTTGAATTAGAAGGTAAAAACAATCATTCAATGCTGAGATGGTAAGTTTCATAGTTCGAGTTTGTTTTTCCAAGAAAGTTTGTTTACAACAATTTATAATTCCTCTTTTTGATTTATTATAATTTTCTCATGATTTTTAATTTATGTATGATTCTTCTGATGCAACATAGTTGAAGCCTTTTACACAATGTCATGCTCTTAGCATCTAAATGTACAGTAGTTGAGTAATGTCTAAACCTGTAATTGTGTAGGTTGTCTACATTGTAGCATATAGTCCATGCTTGTTTTTTTAGGTCACCTGAGTAACTCAGGTGACCTATTGCTATCTGTTTTCGTCCGTCGTCGTCCGTCGTGTGTTAACATTTGAACATTTTCAGCTTCTTCTCTGAAACCACTGAACCAATTTCAACCAAATTTGGTATGCAGCATCTATGGGTAAAGGGGAACAAAAATTGTGAATTTCATGGTCCTTACCCCCCCCCCCCCCCCGGGGCCTGGGGGTGGGGCCAAAACCACTAAAATTATTGCAATCTTTAAAAATCTTCTCCTTTACTCCTGGACATTGAGTCCTCTACCAAAATTGTGAAATTCATGTCCCCAGGGTCAGGGGTTCTAGTGCTAGGGTGGGGCTATATAGATTATATAGTGAAAATGCATTATTTCTTTAAAAATCTTCTTCTCTGCTCCTTGGTATTAAATAAACTAAGTACATAGTTATGATGAGCAAGAGTGCCTCTCCCAAAACTGTGAATTTTATGGCCCCAGGGTCAGGGGTTCTAGCGCTAGGGAGGGGCTATATAGATTATATAGTGAAAATGCATTATTTCTTTGAAAATCTTCTTCTCTGCTCCTGGGTATGAAATAAACTAACTAAGCACATAGTCATGATGAGCAAGAGTGCTTCTTCCAAAATTGTGAATTTTATGGCCCCAGGATCAGGGTTCTAGTGCTAGGGAGAGGCTATATAGATTATATAGTGAAAATACATTAATTCTTTGAAAATCTTTTCCTTTGCTCCTGGGTTTTATGCCAATGATCCATGTATATATATTTATGATGAAGAAAGGTGCATCTAGCAAAATGGTTATTTTTTATGCCCCCCCCCCCTGGGTCGGGGTAGGGGGGTTACATAGTCTGAAAATAAATTAATGCTTTGAAATCTGCTCTTTGGTATTAATCAACCATTTTAAGATAAAATTTGCAAAATTTTGAAATATATGGCACCATGGTCCATGGTTCCTTTGGGTGAGGTACAAAACTGGTTATATAGTGGAAGTGCATTTTCTCTTTGTTACTCTGATCAACCTCTGGGTATTAATTAATAGAGTAAGCATGCTAAGTTTATAATTATGATAAGCAATGGTGCCTCTTTCAAAATTATGAATTGTAAATTTCATGGCCTCTTGTTTAAAACACAAACCAAAGTTATTTGTTTGAAAGTTGTTACACGATACTCAGGTGACCTATAAGGCCCGTGGGCCTCTTGTTTAATTTCAGTGCAAATAAGATAATGATTTATAATCATTTCTTTTTCAGACATCTCATGAGTCAGAGGATACTTGGACAAATATGTACTTTGAGTTTGACGTTTAAAAAGCTAGTACATTTTATACCACAGAAATCTCTTTATACAACTTTATTGATTCAGACTGGGAAGTTTGAGGCCTTGAGTTCCAATCTACCAGCAGCTCGCTACAGTTTTCATTCCTCTGTTTTGAGATCCATGGCAGAAAATAAGTATGAAAATTTAATTGTGGACCCCCCCCCCCCCCCCCCCAATTCAGCCAGTGTTATAAGCTGAATTTACTCATAGATCATTGCACATTTACGTTTTGAATTGGTCAAGGCGTGTGTTAATATTTTAATATTCTATAAATTTTGGTAGATATATCACGGGATATGCCAAACTCGGAACATCAAGTTGCAAGAAATGTAAGCAGAAGATTGACAAAGGAAGTCTCCGCATTGGAAAGGTGGTGTCCAATCCATTTTCTGATGAAGGCGGTGACATGAAGCAGTGGTTTCACCCACAATGCATATTTGAGACCTTTAAAAGAGCTCGGGCGACCACGAAAAAGATTGAAGAACCAGATGATTTGGAAGGATTCACAGAAATTGAGCAATCTGATAAAGATCTCATCAACAAATTAATTAAAGGTTTGAAATAAAGGAACAGTACTGTATAAAAAGCATGCTGAAAATGTATGATAGCATTATTTAATTCTCTAGTCCTTCTGTTTTACCTTGGCACAAAATTTGCCCAAAATCATAATTAATTTATACTTATATCTCTGAGAATAGAATATGTTTTGTTTCCGTATTTAAATGCAAAATTAAATGATTAGTGTACACTGACATGAAAATGTAATCAGTTCTGTGACAATATATAATTTCATAATCTACCATCCAAAGGAATATTCACATTATCTACCCATTGAGTGGAATTCAGGTGTTTATTTTGTATTATATTTTGGTGTCTGTTTTCAGAATTTGTTGCCAACTCCAACAGCAAGTCTCCAGGGTCAGCTAAGAAAAAACCAGTTGCCACTGTACAAGCAACTCTCCCTTTCTCTCCCACAAAACCAAAAGTAAAAGTAGAGCCAGATGACGAAGGTAATGAGTGGAGAAGCTGTGTGTATGTACTGTAGACGTACTTTTTTCCAGGGGTCATAATTCCGCGGAATCTCTATTCCTGTTCAATCCGCTGGTAGTAAATTGCACAGATATCTTAAGACTCTCTATATATGCCTTATTATACCCCGTTCTGAAGGAGAGGGGGGTATACTGTTTTACTCTTGTGTGTCTGTCTGTCTGTCCGTGTAGCTGTGTGTCCATCCGAAACAAAATTTCATCGCAGTTTTCTCAGCAACTACTCATCGTAGATGCTTGAAATTTTAACACAATCTTCTATGAGGCATGCCATATGGTGGGATACATTTTTGTTTATTTCCTGTTTGTCTGTGCGTCTGTCCGTTTCATACATAACAAAATTTCGCCCCAGTTTTCTCAGCAACTACTCATCGTAGATGTTTGAAATTTTAACTTAATCTTTTCTGAGGCATGCCATATGGTGGGATACATTTTTGTTTAGATAAAATATCAACTTCCTGTTTGTCTGTGCGTCTGTCCATTTCATGCATAACAAAATGTCGCAGTTTTCTCAGCAACAACTCTTTGCAGATACTTGAAATTTTAACACAGTCTTCTCTGAGGCATGCCATATGGTGGGATACATTTTTTAGCTCACCTGAGCTGAAAGCTCAAGTGAGCTTTTCTGATCACATTTTGTCTGGCGTCCGTCTGTCTGTCCGTCTGTCTTTCTGTCCGTCTGTCTGTAAACTTTTCACATTTTCGACTTCTTCTCAAGAACCGCTGGGCCAATTTCAACCAAACTTGCCACAAAGTATCCTTGGGTGAAGGGGATTCAAGTTTGTTCAAATGAAGGGCCACGCCCTCATTCAAGAGGAGATAATTGGGAATTAATGAAAATTTGGTGGCATATTTTAAAAATCTTCTTCTCAAGAACCACTGGGCCAGGAAAGATGAAACTTATGGGGAAACATCCTCAGGTAGTGTAGATTCAAGTTTGTTCAAATCATGACCCCCCGGGGTAGGGCGGGGCCAAAGTGGCCGACCAAAGTTTTACATAGAAATATGTAGGAAAATTCTTTAAACATCTTCTTCTCAAGAATGGCAAAGCCGTAATTCATCATATTTATATGGAAGCATGTTCAGGTAGTGTAGATTCAAGTTTGTTCAAATCATGACCCCAGGGGGTAGGGCGGGGCCAAAATGGCCGACCAAAGTTTTACATAGAAATATACAGGAAAATTCTTTAAAAATCTTCTTCTCAAGAATGACCAAGCCATAATTCATCATATTCATATGGAAGCATGTTCAGGTAGTGTAGATCATTCAAGTTTGTTCAAATTATGACCCCCGGGGGTAGAGCGGGGCCAAAATGGCCAACCAAAGTTTTACATAGAAATATAGAGGAAAATTCTTTAAACATCTTCTTCTCAAGAATGACAAAGCCATAATTCATCATATTTATATGGAAGCATGTTGAGGTAGTGTAGATTCAAGTTTGTTCAAATCATGACCCCTGGGGGTAGGGCAGGGCCAAAATGGCCGACCAAAGTTTTACATAGAAATATATAGGAAAATTCTTTAAAAATCTTCTTCTCAAGAATGACAAAACCATAATTCATCATATTTATATGGAAGCCTGCTCAGGTAGTGTAGATTCAAGTTTGTTCAAATCATGACCCCTGGGGGTAGGGCGGGGCCAAAATGGCCGACCAAAGTTTTTAAAGATATATATAGGAAAATTCTTTAAAAATCATTTTCTAAAAAATAGCAAATCCATGATTGGTCTTGGGACTACTTTTGAATTTAAACTTTACAATAAAAAGCCATTTTCTACTTTTTCCTACCCTTAGTGCTCAGGTGAGCGATGTGGCCCATGGGCCTCTTGTTGTTTATATCCGATATCAACTTGCTGTTTGTCTGTGCATCTGTCCATTTCATACTTAACAAAATTTCGTCGCAGTTATCTCAGCAACTACTCATCGCAGATGCTTGAAATTTTAACATAATCTTCTCTGAGGCATGCCATATGGTGGGATACATTTTTGTTCAAATCCAATGTCAACTTCCTGTTTTTCTGTGCCTTTCATACATAACAAATCTTCGTCGCAGTTTTCTCATTAGCTATTCATAGCAGATGCTTGAAATTTTATTACACTCTGTGTTGAGGCATGCCATATGGTGGGATTAATTTTGATATGAATCTGATGTCAACTTCATATTTTTCTGTGCATCTGCCTGTAATTGAACTTGTGTATATTAAAATGATATTGCTTATTTACGTCAGAGCGGGGTATTACTAGTGAGCATTGGCTCACAGATTTCTTGTATTAATATTAATTTCGATGGGACAAATTTCTGCGAAAAATTTGTGACCGCGCACATAGGGTAAATTAATACCAGTATATTATTGTAGATTATTAAAGTTATGGGTTACCATGGTTAATGTCATTTCACCCCAAACCAAGGTTCCATACATAAGCATCCTAAAGTTTTATTGCTCCCATGTACATGCCATCGTCGGAAACCCACGGTCGGTCTTTCGCTTCTCTTACCTATAGAGAAGCGAGACCGACCGTGGGTTTCCGACGATGTGTACATGCATGAGCATCACAAATTTGATTCAGGAATGTCTGTCATTTCACAGGTACCTCTTATACATAACTTGATACTGGTCCACTCATGAATTTGATTTATTTGTACATTAATATTATTGACGTATTATTAAGTCAGAATTTAAGACACAATTTACTCTTTATCATTGTTGCTGACAAGTCTTTAGGTTCATGAAGTGAGTATTGGAGGGTGCTTGTGAATTAAGATATTTGTACACATACAAGATCACATGCAGGTTTAATATTGCCTGGGTTGGTTGTTAACTAAAAGGAAAGTCATTTTTTAAGAACAGTTTTTAAAAGCCTTCAACAAAGATAGTACAAAACTAGATTTGAAATGAAGCTCAGGTGCCATGATGAAAGCTTTTAGTACAGCTCCTCACATAATGTGGTTTTCTCTACAAAAAGAAGTCATTCCTCAGTATAGTGTATCTTTGTGTTTTTAGCTGGTCCCTCCACAAGTGGTGCGCCCCCAAGTGACAGAGAGTCAGAAGGCCACAGAGATGATTCATTCCGAGAATTTAGACGACTCTGTGCAGACATTTCCGAAGAGAACTCCTACCTCGCCAAAACTAAACTTGTTCGTGATTTCATCAACAAGGGCTCATCAGGAGGTATTTCTCATTTCCTACATCTGTGTATCATTACTTTGTTAATGATCCGAAGTTCTATTTCCCATCATATCAGGCATTACTAAATTGGTAGTCAATCGGTAAGCATCGGTAGTCAATCTTGCAAAGTTTCATTAGATATGTAGAATATGAAGTTTGTTATTTTAAACTGATAATTCATTTGATTAGAAATAAAGCAAAAAAACATGATATTACTTAAGATTCAATGATGGCAGTACATTCAGAATGTTTTTGATGTAATGTGAGGCCTGCTATCTATTGAAGATGGATATAAAGGTGACCTGTACCTGTTGATGAAGTGTCTGTTACCTGGGGTCGTGAAGCAGGTGTACAACCTTAACAGTAAACAACTGGTCAAGTTATTTAGTCAGGTCAGAATCTTATTTCATTAGTGTATTATTTCTTTGTAGAAAGAAAAGTTATTCTAGCTAGATAATACTTGTATGAACATTTTCGTCTTTTTAAAATATTTTTTGTTTAATAAGTAAATGTAAAACCTACATGTGATGTTAGGATGGTAAATTCATCTGTCACTTATCATTTGTTAGTTGACTGTAGGTATGTAGGTACACATGTATTTTTGTAGATATTTGGTACAGATCAGGATGACATGGTAGCAGATCTTGATCAGGTAAATAAATCACACTGTACCTGATAAACAGGCTCTTCCTTTCTATATTGATGCTTAAAAAATGAATTTTCACATGTACATATTTTTTGCACTTCTGAATTGTACTGGTAAATATTACTGATAGTTCATTAATGTGTAAAAGTTTTATTTTAAAACAAATTAAACAGATTCATTTTTCCGTAGGGTGATGTTGCAGAGACAGTGAGGTTGTATTATGAACAAAGTAAACGATTACCTCCTCAGAAGAAAAGCACTTTAACCCTACAGCAGGTAACTCACTGGGCATTTAACTCACTAATCAGGGGCAGGTAACACAATAATTAGGGGCAGGTAACTCATTGTCCATGGGGCAGTTCCCTAATATGTAATAGTAAAAGACTGTACTTTAAAAATGTACTTTAAGTTTGAATTTAAAATGAATTAATTAACGTGTATTTCTAGGTTGATGACTACCTCACTGAGCTAACCAAGGTCACCAAGGAAGAGGACCAGCAAAGGATTCTCACCAAAGTGGCCAAGCGGTAGGACATTAGACAGAATTTGTCAATTCATTTGATTACTCTCAGTGTTCTGTGTGTTTTGTGACTTAAAGATGAGTATTATCATTACCTTAGACAGTCCTCTCAACCATAGACACAATATTTATGAGTAGTCAGGTTACCATTGTGCCCATATGCAACTTCTTGTCAGTTTTTGGAATTTGGAACAAATAATCTACTGTATGTACCCTTGCTTTGTTGACAGATGTACGGGCAATGACTTGAAGATGTTTGTGAGGCTGATAAAACATGACCTTAGGATTAACTCAGGAGCCAAACACATGTGAGTCTGGAAGTTTTCATCTTAGTAATCCATGTTATATTACGATAAATTTGCTTTCCTTCAGCTCTGACAAAATTAGCCTTGACATCTTTCAGTATATGAATTGTTCTGACTCCATTTCATCTCACTTCAGTGTTAAGACATATACGATGATGACCTATGTTCATATAATTATTTCCAGTATGAAATGTTGACCTATTTCATGATTTATGTTCAGAGTTGATGCATTAGATGACAATGTGTATGCTGCCTTATGTTTGTGTATTTTATCTTCAATATAAGATGTTGACCGATGTTTTTTTTTTCTTCAGACTGGATGCGTTAGATGACAATGCGTACGCTGCGTTCCAGGCATCTCGCAATCTGAGGGATGTGGTGGACAGGGTGATGGAAAATAAGGGCGGGGCCCCGGGGATGAAGAAAACTCTCAGTGTCAAGGCCTCCCTCATGACTCCTGTCCTACCCATGCTGGTCAGTGAGTTATAACCGACCTACTTAAAATAATGTCAAATCGGGGGTTTTAAAAAAGTTCAGTATGTTGGTGGAAAATTTTTTAACCTCCAAAAATGTTTATATAAAATGTTGAAGTTGAAGATTTAAATGGTTGTTAACAGTCAAGGATGAGAAAAAAAATTAATTCTTGAAGGTTAAAAAACAGAGATTTGAGTTGGGCCCTTTTTAGCCAATTTGCCTGGTAGAGGGCAAACGAACAATTATTTAAATATGGCCCAATCAGGTTTCCTGTTATATCAGTGAATTATTTAGAATTGTAGAGGAATGTCATGTAAACAAATCCTTTAAATTGATTTCAGGCAGAAGCGTGTCGTTCTGTTGACCAGGCCATGAAGAAGTGCCCGAACGGATTCTACGCAGAGATAAAGTACGACGGAGAGAGGGTCCAGCTACATAAGAGAGGGAACCAGTTTCAGTATTTCAGCCGCAGCCTGAAGCCTGTTCTACCACATAAAGTATGTAACTTACATTATTATACTTCAACTGTTATTACTCTATTACAAAAAATGAGAATAATTAATGTCTATGTTATACATGTAGGTCCAACTTTTCAAGGAGTACATTCCAAAGGCCTTTCCCACAGGGGATGACCTCATTCTGGATGCTGAAGTTTTGTTGGTGGACAACGAGACCAGTAAACCACTCCCATTCGGAACTCTGGGAGTTCACAAGGTCAAGGGTTATCTTCTATTGTCATAAAGACACTAAAATATGTGTATCAAAGTGACAAAAGTCATATTTCTTATTTAATACAGTTTTAATTTTTTTCCCTACAGAAAGCTGCTTTTAAAGATGCTAATGTGTGTCTGTTTATATTCGACTGTCTTCATTTAAATGGGGAAAATATTATGCATAAGTAAGTAAATTATTTCAGTCTTCACGAAAACTCACTGGTCCGAAGACCAAGGCCAGTGAATTTTGATGTCGGGTCAGTGAAAATCAAAATTCAAGAAGTCAGATGGGCTTGTTGATTATAAAAATTATACACAGTCAATATATTTTTTAACTGTCTTACTTGCGTAAATTTCATTAATATATAAAATAAAAAGAATAAGCACATGTTGTTGAATCGTATTATTATAACCCTATTATAACATGGATGTATTACGTAACAACCGGAACTAGCTAGTAACTATTAACTAGTACATTAAATGTGCGAAGTTCCAACGAACAACTTACCGAAACATGACAAAGGACAAAAAATGGCGCCATTTCAAAAGTTGAAGTACTTAAACATGTATAAATTTACAGTTATGAAAATTTATTTTTTTTGTTTTTTTTTAATTAAGGGGACAGTAAAAATTTTGGTGGGCCAGTAAATTTTGAAAGTTCACTGGTCCGACTGGCCAGTTAGTTTGAAAAGTTTTCGTGAAGACTGTTATTTATTTTGCTTTGTACTTGTAAAAATTAATCATCACATATTGTCTTTAAACTGAAAAATTTCGAATAAAAGATGACTGGAATAATTTTTGTTTACAGTATACTTACAGAATTTACCATAACAAAGTCACTGTATACATAGTTTTTTAATGGCAGCTAATTCTGTGTTATTTTAGACCAATACAGGAGAGAAAGAAGATTCTAGAATCAGAGATGAAAGAAATTCCAAACAGAATCATGTTCTCCGAGGCCAAACTAATTAACGTAAGCAAAGAGTGGTCTATCACTTTGTCACTTGTGTAGCGCTAATATTAATGTAAGCAAATAGTGGTCTATCACGTTGTCACCTGTGCAGCGCTAATGCTGAAAAAAAACTGGAGAAGAGAGGTGTATAAGGAATAAAGATGTACATGTGCCTGTATGATTTCCTTGTTTTCAAACCGATACAATTAGATCTATGAGGGAATATAATGGGAAATATAGAACTTCTCAATTTCCAGTAGGGAAAATAAATAAATCCTGATTTTAGATGTTTTTAGGCCCTGTTGACAGAATTTATAAAAGTTTACAGGTAAAGTGCTGCAACAGAAAGGTCTCTAAGAAATTTGATTTTAACGTGACACTGTTTTCTATTTGATCAGGACCCTGATTCTTTACAAGAGCTCATGACAAAGGTTTTCAGTGAAGGATTAGAGGGGCTGGTGTTGAAAGATATCAAGGTAGGTGTATTCAGATCTATATAAGTCATTTGACTGACTTGCAGTCTACTAAGTACAATAACCTGTTACATTTTACTATGCCTTGGTATCCATCCTGTGCTTTTGCTTGAAGAGAAATGTACATCTTATTGTAATAGTCCTTTGCAGTTAGACATTTATTGGTAACTTTAACTGTGTATGCTGTTTGAGCATGATCTACAATAACATTTTTTAAAACAAATTTATGAAAAGGACATGTAAATATTGTGAATTGATTTCAGAGTATTTATAAACCTGGAAAGCGACACTGGCTGAAGATAAAGAAGGATTACCTGGAGCAGGGAACAATGGCCGACTCGGCTGATCTCGTGGTGTTAGGGGCGTACTACGGCACAGGAAAGAAAGGTACAAACAATCAGTGTCTGGTTTTATGTTTGTTTTCAAGCAGAACTTGATTTATTCTGTTAAAGATGTCTACTTCATTATTGGTCCAATTTTACAACTGTTTTTGTGCAAAACTTGTTCGTTCTAAAGAATTATTGAAAACAGTGTTCTTAAATAAGCCAGGTAAACAAAAAAAGTGTCCAAATAATGAATAGAGTGAAAACAGATTGTTTAAAGAAAGTACTGAAGATGTGTAAAATGATTGTTTTAGAAGTAGAGAATCGAACAGAAATATCTTTAAATGTCTGTTGAAATATCTGTAAGCTAATAGGCTTTGCCTTACATGTGATTAGCTTTATCTAATATTTAGTTGCCTTTATCTTTAATGTTCCTGTTCTGTTCCATTCAGGTGGTATAATGTCCACATTCCTGTTTGGAGTTCACGACCCCAGCAGTGGTAAGTGGTGCACCGTAACTAAATGTCACATTGGTCTGGATGACAAAACATTGGAGGAACTACAGACATCCCTGGACATGGTGAAGATCAGCAAGAATCAAGACAAAGTAAGATAATTAATAGAATCCCAACAAAGTAAGATAAACAACAGAGAATCAGTCTGGTCAATCTTGTTAGTCAAGAACTTAAAACCATTCCAAGCAACTCAAATAATATCCGGTGTATGATTTTAGACTTTTTCTGAAGATATAAAACGTAAACAGTAATTTCCGGCTATTGACAGATCCTGGACGGAAGATTTAAACATAAACTGTAATTTCTGACTGATTACAGGTCCCTGACTGGTTGAACATTAAGAAGCCGCTGGTACCCGATTTTGTGGCCAGGGACCCCAAGAAGTCGCCGGTGTGGGAGATATCTGGAGCGGAGTTCAGTAAGGCTGATATCCACACCGCGGATGGCATCTCCATCAGGTTTCCCAGAATTACCAAGTTCAGGGACGACAAAACCTGGGAGAATGCTACGGACTTACCACGACTTAAAGTAAAAAACCTCATACTGAAAACGTTATCGCTTATTGGGTTTGTTACTGACTATCTAGCCATGTTTTCTATGAGATTAATCAACCCAATATAATTATTTCAGTAGACAGTCAGTAACAAATCTAATAAGTGGTCTATTTCCTCAAGGATTTTTCTTAATCAGACTCTATGAACTGTTAATATACCGATACTCCTGAAAGGCAGATTTCTGGAAATAATTATTTTTTATTTAACAAATTATAATACATGTTTACAGTCATAAATGTTGAGTGTAAATTATCTCTCCTTTTTGTGTTTATTGGGTATGTAATATTGTTCTGCAGATAAACTATGACATTAAAGGTGTTGTCAGAGAGTGAATTACAAAGAGAATGATTATTTTTTACAGAAGCTGTACAAAATATCAAAGGAAACAACAGACCTCATACCCAGCCCCAGTAAACGGGCATCAAAGAAATCATCTAATGACGAGGAAGAGGATGATAACAACAATGAGGGCGATGACAGTGGTACAGACATCAACAGCGATGACGAAATGGACGTGTCACCCGTCAAAAAGACACCTGTCAAGGGAAACTCCACCCCAAAAGTCACCCCCTCAAAAACCACTCCCCAAAAGGGGACGCCCATCAAGAATGGGATAAAGAGACCACATGGAAGTGATGAGGATAAAGAGACAACACCCTCTAAAAAGGTTCTTATTGAAATTAGACGTAATGCTATCAGATTTCAGTTCCTAAAAATGACTAAAGATATCTGTAAGAATGACTGTGTGTTGTATTTACAGTCTAAACCAATGTGTAAATATGGAGCCGATTGTTACCAGACCAACCCTAAACATCAGGGGCAGTTTTCTCACCCTCCCAAGGTCTGTATAATGACTATACAAATGTATTTCTGTCAGCAAAACCTCTTTAATATCTATATGAGTGTGCAACAATGAGCAATGTATGTTAGTTCATAAAAAGGCAAAATTCAAGTGTTATTCAATTGAGTAGTGGTTGATGAATTGGGCATATTTCATTATTCATCATAAAATTTTGTCTAGATCTGTTGACATCAATCCTATGTTGTATTATTCAGTAGTCATTAAGAAATGAAGCAATGCTGCCTACAACAGAATTTATGTTTGGCCCAAGATCAGTTTTTTAGGCTCTGTGATGCTCAGGAAAAACTACATGCTTAAAAAAAGTTGAGATTTTGTTGATTTTTATCTTTACACTTTGAAAAGTGATCAATTTGGAATCATGAACACAAATCAGAAAAACCCTGTTATTTAAGGAGGATCTCTACACCTGTAAAGTATAACTGATTTTTGTTGCATGCATTTGTTTCTAATAATAGGCCCCATATCCGATAAAATAAGGTTCCAAAGTATTTCAATTTATTTTTTAGAAATATTTGAAATATTTTATTTATTTTGTTAAACTCCCTCATATCAATTTTTTTAAATGCCCATTGCTTTAAATTTCTCTTTAAAGTTTAGTGTTATAAAATATTGAAATAATAACCAACAAAGTTAAAAATAAAATCAACATAATTTTTATTTAAATTTACAAAAATAGGCAAAAGATAAACTAAAATAGCATTTTCTTGAGAATAACTGGTTGGATCCTCTTCAATATCTGAAAAGATATATAATATCAAAGGGTAAAAACAATGAAAAAAAGAAATTGAAAAAAATTGAAAAACTGTCAAAAATTTATAAACATCACAAAAATTCAGGTGTGAGAGATCCGCTTTAAGAGTGGACTCAAATATCTTCAATGGTACTGTTTTTTTTTTTATAAACTTCAAATAAACTCTACTTGCACAAGTATTAACAAATGTCACGCAAGGACATTGAAAGAAGTTCGTATTGTACATGTATTGTTTTTCAATTAGTTTAAGCGAAAATCATCGCGTTTCCAGTCAATGACAAAGACATGTATTTAGTGAATTCATGGTATTGAGAAAGGTAGATTTACTTACCATTTTTATCCAACTTGCATGTGTTATCCAGTGCTATATACAACAAAACAAGTTAAGATGGTAAATGGCCAAAAGAGATAAAAGAAATTCCTATAACCAAATGCACACTTCGTCTAAAACCTGCACATTTCCCATACTTGTAAACAGCTGACAATCTTGATCAAACGTTTGGGTCATGCGAAATTTCACCGGGTATCAGTCTTCACGAAAACTTTTCAAACTAACTGGCCAGTCGGACCGGTAAACTTTCAAAATTTACTGGCCCACCAAAATTTTTACTGGCCCCTTAATTAAAAAAAAATAAAATAAAGACATTTTCATAACTGTAAATTTATCATTTATACATGTTTACCTTTTGAAATGCCGCCATTTTTTGTCCTTTGTCGCGTTTCGGTAAGTTGTTCGTTGGAACTTCGCACATTTTATGTACTTTTTATGTACTATTTAATAGTTACTAGCTAGTTCCGGTTGTTACGTAATACATCCACGTTATAATAGGGTTATGATAATACGATTCAACAACATGTGCTTGTTCTTTTTGTTTTATATATTAATGAAATTTACGCAAGTAAGACATTTAAAAAATATATTGACTCTGTATGATATTTAGAATCAACAAGCCCATCGGACTTCTTGAATTTTGATTTTCACTGACCCGACATCAAAATTCACTGGCCTCGGTCTTCGGACCAGTGAGTTTTCGTGAAGACTGGGGTATAACCATTCATTCGGGTGTATACAAATCGTGAACACAGTATCCTCTAGTCGATAGGAAGATAATACATATGTCTTATCTGATCAAATTTGCATTTTTGGGGGGATATATTTTGCTGGAAAGCATATATGCTTATTGAAGAAAGAAATTTCTGAATGTATGGCCTATTGACACGTAATAATGAATTAGCATATGGACAAGCCATATTTTATATCATTTTTTTCACCTAAAAATCTTATTCTAATAAGTTTGTAAATGTATTATTTAATAATTAAATAAGTAGAAATGGAATAAATTGACAAACAATTCATTTTTAAAGAAAGGATACGTATTGGGCAATACACTACATATTAATTTATGTGATCTACATGTAATGTACATTCCATCCACAATATCGCATGTTGTGTTATACTCAGTGATTTATCGGTGTTAGGTGAATTTGAAGCTGACCATTTGGGATCAAAATGGCGTTTTTACGGAAGTACGCCAGGTTGTGACGTTGTAGAAAGCCCCCTTAATATAAGATGACCTCCATGTGAGATTACTAGTATTTTGTATTTAATATGTGAAAGCTAAATATAACCCATGTTCTTTTGTTAGACTCTACCCAATGTATTCAGAGGGTGCAAGATTTACCTACCTAAAGACATAGAACAGTACAAGACACTAAGGAGATATATAATAGGGTAGGTTTTCTATAAATATATCTGTAGGAAGGAGTTGTGATATGAAGTAAAGCGACAATATTAAAAAAAAAGACAAAGAGAAAAAAAATGTAAAAATATGTAATGTGGTTCCCTTCCATACAAAATGACCTCATTCGCAAAATGAAATATCAAGAAGATGTCTTAAATCTGCTGCATTGCAATGTGATTCTTTCCTTGTAAAAAGTTTACTTGCATAATTGATTGCTGTGTGTCAGAAACAGTAATTCTAATTTTAGCTGGGACGGAGAATTGGTTCCGGAGTATGATAAGACATCCGCTACTCATGTTGTAATCCCAGACAGCCAAAAGGTAAAGGAGTCTACATCTGAATATAGCCTAAGTTACTGTAAACAACTTTTATTTGTGAGAGCCTCATCATCACAAATATTTCTCTCTGCAAACCAGTCCTTAAAATCTGTGTCCATTAACAACAGATCAAAAGAGGCTTGATCGCGAAAATTAATCATTGCGAACTAGTTTAACCCCAGTAAATCGCGAAATAAAGGCGCTGCCATTTAAAGTTGGTTTACAGTATCTAAAGACATCATGAGTGAGTTAATTTGAGAAAATTATCTTGGAACAAAAAAGGCATTGTTTACAGGTACATGTATTTCTATGAATGAAAGCTTTTTGATGGCTTGATAATTTATAGCCTTTGTGATGTGCCTTTTTCAGGGAGAAGTCATCAAGTGTGCTGGTGTGTGTGTGACCGTGAATTGGATCAAGATGTGTATAAAAAAGAAAATGTTAGTGAGGACTGATCCCTATATTGTGGGTGATGATGATGAGTGATAATGACTGGTCCCTCTGTGATGAGCAAATCATAACTGATCCTATAGTGGGTGATGATGATGACTGTAATAATGACTGGTCCCTCAGTGATTGGTAATAATAACTGATCCCTATTGATGAACACATGGACAAAGAACTGATCTTTGGTTGGGAATAAAGGGACTGAACTCTTTATAGAAGTGGTTGAAAATGATCACAGTATTGAAAGCAGTGTTTCTGTAAGAGATAAGAATTTACAAATATAGTAATAGTTAATCTTCTTTTAATTATATTAGAGTGAATTAGAAACTTGTGATTAAGACATTAAAAGAAGGTTAAAACTAAATCGTTTACCTTTCTAGATAGCATGATACAACCAGAATTAAATTATTCATAATGGAAATTGATGTAATTTTACACATATTTCAGATTACCTATATTTATGCACGTATTTCTTTTAGAGATGAACATTCTTGTTGTACACTGTAATAGTGTGTTGTAATTTTAATGAGAGGCAGCTATTTGTAGACCTACCTGTTGTGTAGCTGTATTGTGTGTTGTAAGGTTTTGTACAGAAAATAAATTGTTGTTTGTATTGCAACTAGTGCATTCTCTGTTTGTTTATTAATATACATGTTTGAGTAAAAACTAAAAAGTAATCATGGAAGATATGAGAAAGAAAAGAATGATCAAAATTCTCTTCTTTTTTTTTCATTCAGATCATCTTTATGCAATGTAAATATTTAAATAGTCTTTAATCATTATTACTTCTACTTGGCAGTGAACAGAAAAGCTTATGCATTAATATGTTGTCCCTTGCCTGTCTGTCTATCTGTAAAAAAAAAAAAGATGTGTTGTAAAACACTGATGCCCAATTTATAGCTAGGGTTAAAGGTTTTTTTTAAAATGCAAGTCAGTGTCCAAGGTCAAGAGATAAAAAATGCTGATATCCATGAACAAAGGAAACAGTATTGTTGAGTACATTTGCGAAATATGAAAGCCCAAGTTCAAACCATTTGATAGTTTATGCTTAAGAGTAAAAATAAAAGCTACATAGGGAAAGGCTTTGCTATAAAAAATAATACATGTGAAATATAAAAGCCCCAGGCAAGCACAAACCATTCAATATTAAGTGACACGGACAAAACAGGGACGTGGGGGGGGGGGGGGCTTGCAGTTGTAGTATCATATGCAAAAAAATTGGAAGTGAAAAGAAAGTTGGCATTAAAAAAAGTTGGCCACTAACCCCCCCCCCCCCCCCCCCGAAATACGAAATAGAATTTTTGAGTTTTTTTTTTTTTTGTTTTTTTTTGTTTTTGTTTTTTTTTTTTTTGCTTAAACTTTTACTGGTGATTAAAAAAAAAATTATCTTGCTGCCCCCCCCCCCCCCCCACTTTCAAAAACGATGCTACGTGACTGCAAAAGATCAACATTGTTGGTATCCAAAAGGAAAGTCGTCATAAAGAATACTTAGTATACCTTTGAAATGAAACATGAAAGCCCCATTTCTAACCATTCAAAAGTTATGGTCAAATTTTATTTTTTATCCAGTGGGTCAAAGGTCAAGATAGAAAATATTAATACTCTTGAAAAGCTCTAGTCTCTATAAATACACATGGGAAGTATGAAAGCCATAGTTGAATATCATTGAAGACCCAGACCAAATGTCCACACAAGCCGAATCTCAGTCGAGATTAAGTACTGGGCCCTGTTTTACTAGAGAACTTACGACTAAAACCAAAGTGTGCTTTTGCGAATAACTTTCTTTTTCACAATTACTTGTAAATGCCAAGGTTATCATCAAAAAAAAAAAAAAAAATTGAGTCATATTTTTTAAAAATTTTGCTTGATTTCTTAAGATATTATTTCCAGGAGATACTGAATTAAATTTAAAAACCATTTTGGAAATACTGTTTAATTTAAAAACCATTTTGGAAGTACTGTTTGAAATCTTTAATTTTCCAGGACTGTTATTTTTTTCAACTCAGTAGAGCTACAGTTTCATCATAGACCTCTGGTTAAGTTAATTAGTTTCTCGGAGGAAGGAGGCGTGGTTCTTCCTGTAAATGTCCTCATTCTGAATCATCCTTTGTATCAACTTCTAAATTTTTCCCACCAAGTTCGACCAATGGACGTTTTATCTTCCCGAAAAATTAAGAATGTCGCAAGCTTTGTAACAACCGCTAAAGATACGCCGCTTCAGGATAGATATATCAATGCAACGCTTAAAATGTAATAATTTTCCTAACCGCTAAATGATACCATATTCTTTCTGTTTAGCATTAGGGGTTGAGAATGTCAACCAATGTAATAATTTTAAAAGAGCATTAAGCATTCAGTGGCGGATCCAGGAATGTCATAAGGGGGGAGGGGGGCAGTAGAAGACCGGAGGTCGGGGGGGGGGGGCTTATTGAAGCCCCCAAGGGGTCCAGGGCAAAGCTCTGATGGGGTTCCGGGGCGAAGTCCTCTGAAGCTGACGAATTCTTACAAATAAGAAGTGTTTTTTTCTTTTAGTTTTAGTACATGTATAATGAACATATAAAATCTACATACAGAAAATTCAAACGGGGAGGGGAGCACGCTCGGCGCTCCGGCCCTTGATCCGCCTTTGGCATTGCAATTGCATTGCTGTCAATAGCGGTTGCTGTAAAGCTTAACAGTGTGAAATTTTTTTTTTTTTTTTTTGAGTATCAAAAATTTTGTTAGAAAAATAAGCTTTATATTACATGTGAAGGCTATCTTTTTTGCTTTTTTTTTAATAGAATTAAATGCTATACAATCAGTGCTTATAATAAACTCAAGTAAACATGAATATATAGTGTTCAGATTTCTATTATGATATCAAAACTTAAATAAATGCTCATGCACATGATAAAAAAAATGATAGTCTTCATGTAGTAAGTATAACAAATGAGTTAAAATTTGCAGCTTTTACTCACTAGTATCTACATAAAATACATGTACATACACATGTTCCAGTAAAAGAACAATGCATAATATCTGAACATACAGATCAAAATACAGAGATCATTCATGAAAATGTAAATTATAGAATAGCATAATTTCAGCAACTACTTTAATGTAGCATCTAAAAAAGCTGAAAAATGAAATCTTGGTGCATGTATTATAATAATAATTGCCAAAAGCTTCTAAATAAACATTATATATGTGTAAAATTAAAAGAAGTCTTTGTGAATGGCAATATTCTTAAGGCTGCGTTTGAAAAAAAATATTAATCAAGCTGAATTTATGAAGTTTTTTTTTTTTTTTTTTTAACATTTTATTTAGAAAAAACAAAACATCATATACATGCTACACACAGTGCATTTGATTTGGTAAGTTGAACAATTACATTCTTTCTATTTGTCATGTAAAAATCATATGGAATAATTTATCACAAAATATCAAAATGAAGAAAAGTCATTAACAAATACAGCTGATTATCTTATGTATGATTGTATAGGTTTTATCAAAATTTAATGGAAAAAATCATAAAAAAATACAGCTGATTATCATATGTATACTTGTATATAGGTACCCTTATATATCTGGGAGACCTCACCTCCAGCTCAAACACAGTCTATTTATTGTCTCCCAGATAAGATTTGTAGAATAACAGGCTTATTCTACAATGGGTTTAAAAATTATAGTTTCTCTTTAATACATTTTATAACATTATAATATTTCATATGGCTTATTTTCTTATATACTTCACTAAAAATATTCAATATACTCTTCATATGATAACATATTTCTTGAGGCTTTTCTTCTTTGTTTTCAAGTCTACAGTACATTTTGTATTTGTAAATTTTACATGCAATCAAGGATATTATGCTATTCAAAAATAATATCTTTTCATTTTTTTCATAATAAAATCCAATAACAATATTTTTCCATGATATATCAAATTTCAAAACTTGCTGAACAACATCCCATATATGAGAAACGTTTTGACATTTTAAAATAAGATGTTCATTGTTTTCTTTTACATCTTTACAAAAAGCACACATTTCATTTTCAACAATTTTCCATTTCTTCAACATTTCTCTATTACACAATAAGTTATTTAATAATCTGTAATTGAAGTCTGATATGCCTCTATCTGCAATTGCTAATATTTTTTGTTCATATATAGATTTCCAAGCAGTTTTTGGAATTTCAAACAATTTTCCATAATAATACTGATGTAAGGGAGGTTTAAATTTATCATGACACAGAATGTTATAAATCAATTTTGAAGTAATATCAAACACTGTTACTTGATGATGGTATAATAAATCATATGAATTAATTTCATATTTGATATTTTCATACTGTATATTTGTAAATTCATATTCTACAAAAGCTTTCAAAACTACATTTTTCATTATCATATATTCACAAATCCAATTTCTCTTACATACAAGTTTATCATAAAACAATACTATGGGTTGCATACCATTTTTGTCTACAATATCACCAATATATTTAAATCCGCTTTTCAGCCAATTTGAAAAAAAATATTGGCTTGTTTTTATACTTAATTTTATTATTACACCACAGTGGTTCCTTTAATAAAGCATTCAAATTCAGTTCTCTTTTGTTTCTTTTACATTCATTAAAAAATACTAGCATTTCTTTGTAAAACAAGGGAAAGTTTTCCATAATTTGATAATTTTTTGTATCAATAATGTTTGTTTTACATAGATATTCAAAATCAAAATTTCTCTCTTTACACAAACTATCAATAAATAGGAATAAGGAGTTTGTTTTACTTAGTATGTTTTTAATCCATGATACTTTTATGGATTTTAGTTTTAAAGGTACATCAACAATACCTATTCCTCCTTCTTGAACACTTCCAATCTGAGTGTTTCGCTTTATTCTTTTTTATTCCATATAAAATTAAAAATTAGACTTTGTATTTTCTTAACTGTATTTTCATTTGGAAAGTTTAAAATTGACCCAATATATATAATTTTTGATATTGCTAGACTATTAATTACACAGACTTTGCCCAGAATTGTTAATTTTCTTTTTTTCCAAGACTCGAAAAGTTTTTCTAAGTCGTCTACAATTTTTGTCCAGTTTTTATTTTAACATATTTCCTTATCATGTCCTATGAATATCCCTAGAGCTTTTATACAGGAATTATTAACTTCAACATTTTCTATTTGTCGATACAAATTTTTCAATTGACCTGTTAAGAGACATTCTGTTTTAGTCATGTTTAGTTTCAAACCAGATACTTTACTGAATTTTTCTATTACCTCTAAAGAATGTTTAAGAGACTTCTTATCTTTTAAGGGAAGTGTGCAGTCATCTGAATGTTGTATTATCTTTATAATATCAGTCATTCCAGGTTTTTGAAAACCCTTTATGTTGACATTTGATCTAATAGCAATGGCTAATACTTCTACTACAAAGAGGAATAAAATAGCAGAAAAACAGTGTGAAATTAAATTGAACTGTCTCTAATATGATCATCATTCTTCGTGATCGTTGGGGTTTGACATGACCTTTGACTGCAGTGTTATATTTAGCTCACCTATGTCAGAGATCTTAAAACAGTGTCCACTATTTCCCTCCGAAAAAATGCAGAGATGGAAGTTAAACTTGTCAGAAATACATCTCCTTGGAACGCTAAGAATTCCTGTTTATTGGGCTGGATTTTTTTTTTAAAGTTTTATGTATTAGGATGGGATAATTTAAAAACGATTTTTAAAAGTCTAGAACCATAAGACCTTAAAATCAGTCGAAAAGCTTCATTAAAGCTCCTACCTTGATTTTGATGATGTTTTTACATTATTTTGATTCAAAATACAAATTAAATAAAATGTTATAAATCTTTGAAAAAAATATTAACCTGTACATGTCGTTCAAATCTATGTTGCTAAATTTTAAATAGGATAGTTTTGGGTTCAAACAATTAATGACCATTTTCAAGAAACAGAAAGACAATACTAATTCAACTTACTAAGATGATGTTAGAACGACACCGAACATTAATATTGAATGGGATAAAAATGTTAATATAATGTGCGTGATGAAGTGACAGGTGAGCTTTGTGTCCCGTAGGCCTATTCTCTTTAATTTGTGATAGAATCAAATGACATTTTAATACAAAGCCTACGGCTATTTTGTAGAGATCAACAACAGTAAAACATGGCTTTCTCCTATCTAATGCTTGTTTTGTGTTTGGTTTATCATGCCCATTGTAAGTAAACTTTACTGATTTTTAAAACATCACAAAATATATTTTTGAAAACAATGTAACTTATAATGCTTTTGAGCCCTACTTGCTTTTATCTTTATTTTACAAATAGATTTTGCAAAGTTGAATGCTCATTGCATACGTAGTCCTAGCTGTGTACATAAATTATAAATTAATCAGTTGCAATGCATCATACATCAGTTTTAATTGTGTCAGTTATACACATCTGTATGAACAAGCTATAAGCCTGCATTTTGTTTCTAAATCAACATTCAAGATTTTTATGTCATATTAAGGTGTAAAACCAGGGACAGCATGGGATGACATGGCCCAAATGGAACTTAACGAAGCACTCCGGATAGTCCCGAACACTAACATGGCCCGGAATATCATCCTGTTCCTAGGAGACGGCATGAGCATCTCCACGGTAACGGCCTCCAGAATTCTTCAAGGTCGCCAGAAAGGGGCGCTAGGAGAAGAGAATTATTTGGCCTTTGAAAAATTTCCTAACACAGCCCTTGTAAAGGTTTGATTTACGTTGTACGAAGATTTAAAAAAAAAGCAAATAAACCAAAAGTAGTTTTTCATGTCTCTTAAAAATTGATGCTGAATAAATTTTACTATAGCACCCCCGTTCGAAGTTACTCTAAGAAGAAACCCCGTCATTACATTTTTTCAAAGCCTAAAAAACAAACAAAAATTAACTTATCAAGAATTGACCGAGTATCTAGCAAAGAAGGAATCCTTGATACTAAGTTGATAGACAGATCACGAGTGACCGTTCAGTTTGATCACGCAGAACAACTGGTCGGATATCGTGCTGGATATAATCTTGACTGAAAGGGGCACGGTCAATATCATAATACAGACAACCTGACTTCTGTTCGCACTGGCATAAAAAGAATGTGGGCGGATCTTTGGGGGTTATGGGCCCCGTTGGAATTTAAGTTATAAACACCAGAAGTATATGTCGAGACTGTCGCTCTATTGGTTTGTACATATAACAAAGGAAGAGCAAAGTAGCAGTTGAAACTTGAAACCCTACAACAGCAATAAACAGAATAAGTAATGATTCCTGATTAAGTCTCTTTTTGTGGCAATATTACAATAAGATTACAAGTGTAGGAGTAGCTTTCAATAAAATTTTATATTATATTCAATTTTAGTTAGGTACCATGGCAACATCATTCAACAAAAAAAAAAAAAAACAATGAAGACAATTATGTATCTCAATCTGAATGTAGTCTACCCGTGTGCCAAGTTATCTTGAAATTCGACTTAAACTGTAAGAGGAGTAACATTTTGAAATTGTTTACAGACAGACAAACGGACAGACAGTTTGCTGGTCTCTGACCAGTAGAGCTTTAAATGACGTTGCAATAAGTCTATCCCTTCCCCTAGGAAACAATTAAGGATCACTCTGAAGTTGGTATACGCGGAATCATGTGCGTGCTCGAAGGAAATTGACGTAGGAATGTGTTTTCTCATAACTCCTTCCCCAAATCCATGGAATAGATTTTTCAATTTTAAGAGGCGATTTTTTGGTTTAAAAAATCTGATTTTAATATATAACTTCAAAAAGTTCAATTACACATCTTTCGTTCCGAGACAGACATCAAAGTCTGGATATTGTTGTAGTTATAATACTCCAGATGGTTGATATATAGGAATGAAAAGAATCAAATGACATTTATCTTTATTGGTTTCTTTGACCAGACTTATTGCAGCGACCGGACCACGCCAGATTCGGCCGCTACCGCCACTGCCCTACTGTGTGGTGTCAAGACAAACTACCACACCCTGGGGGTCAAGGACACCACTGTACTGGGGGACTGTTCCTCCCAGTTTGGGAACGAAGTAGACAGTATACTGGACTGGTTTAACACGGACGGTAAGAATAAAGCAGACAGTAAGAATACAGTATACTGGAGTGGTTTAACATGGACGGTAAGGCTGTCAGTTGCCTGATATCTGGTATCTAAGCTGTTAATTACCTGATATCCGGTATCTAGGGCTGTTAATTGCCTGATATCCGGTATCTAGGGCTGTTAATTGCCTGATATCCGGTATCTAATCAAAAGACTGTTAATTGCTTGATACGACCCGTGTTTAGCATTAATTAACACCAACCTTGTAAGTCTCGTGCGTAAGGCACGATTATTTTTCTCTTTAGCCACTTTTTATATAAACATGTTGATATAAGTACATGTACAGTGATGGAAAAAAGTACAATTACATTATCGCTTGTTGGATTTTATTAATTTTTTGTGTTTTTGTTTTTGTTTTTTTGCTATGAAGACAAGTAAATATCACATCCATGCGCGTGAATTGTTTAATGCCAATAGTATATAATATTTTCTGGTAAAATCATTGTGAATCTATGATTTCTTTAGAAAACTCTAGAGGTACTGTGAGCAATGAGCTCACTAAATAATACCCCCCGCCTCCCATATGAATATAATGGCAGTATCCATGTTTTCCTCTGGAAAATCCAAAATATATGTCAGATCAAAAAGTAAAATAGGAGGTGCACAATGGCAATTAGCTGCAATAATGTAGCCCTCTCCGATTTTTTTTTTTTTTTTTTTTTTTTTTGGGAGAAAATATCATAAAAAAAATGCAGCTAAAGTTTCATTAAATTTCCTTCAGTGGTTTGAGAGGAGTTGTGGATAAGAGATGGGTACCCCAAAGCGCAACAGACGGACGGACGTACAGACGGACGGACAGCTAGACGGACGAACGGACGGACGTACAGACGGACGGAATTAACGAACACTATATACCCTCCCGCTTTTCAAGCGGGGGGTATAAAAATAGATAATTTTGAGAAATAATAGAAATAAGTAAATTTAGTAAATTTAATTTAGAAGCATTCAAAGGAAAGGATTTCGATAAATAAAACTACAGTATTTTTTTTTATCATTATACCCCCCGCTTGAAAAGTGGGAGGGTATATAGTAATCGGTATTTCCGTCCGTCCGTCCGTCTGTTACGCTTTTGGGTACCCATCTCTTATCCGCAACTCCTCTAAACCACTGAATGAAATTTGATGAAACTTTCACATGCAGAATCTTTGTTACATATTGCCATTGTGCACCTCCTATTTTACTTTCTGATCCGACACATATTTTGGGTTTCCCGGCCATAGCAAAACATGGACTTTGCCATTATAACTATACGGAGGCGGGGGGTATCATTTAGTGAGCTCATCGCTCACAGTACCTCTAGTTTAAACAAATAATGGTGCTACTAAAAAGACCATATTTAATGTGTTTTCGATGGATTTTAAACAAACAGGAAGATCTACGGGAATAGTAACAACCTCTCGTATCACACACGCGACCCCAGGGGCTGGATACGCCCACTCCGCCGACAGAGACTGGGAGGGGGACTCCGAGATGGAGGGGGTGACCGGTGGGTGTAAGGATATAGCCCACCAACTGGTTCAAGAAAATCAACACATTAAGGTAACTACAACTGGTAATAGAAAACCCAAAACATAGCTGGTGTTCCAAAATCTAAAAAGTCTCCTCGTTTATATTTTCTGAGTATAGGTCCTGTTTGGTGGTGGTCGATACTATTTTCTTCCAAATACAACGTCTGATCCTAAATATGGCGCCAAAAACACCGACAAGCAGCGGAGAGATGGACGTGACCTAATTGAGGTCTGTACTGATTTGGGCATAATACAATGTACATCCATTTTCATCAATAGTCTGCCTTAACAAAAAGGGAGAATGTCTTTAACTTGTTTTGTAGGAATGGCAGACGGACAAAAGAGCGCGTGGTTTGCGATCCAAATACGCCTGGAACAGACAGCAGCTTCAGGACATCAATCCAGACGACACAGACGTGGCTCTTGGTATGGATGTCGTACTAAACATTGTACCCAAACTTTCATTGATTTCACATTCATTACATTGAAAAACAATGTCCTTTACCATGGCTATATATTACAATTTTAAACAAGTCCTTTAAATGACTGTCATGGCTATGTTACTGTTTATACCAAAGGCCTTTTTAATGATGGTCATATGACTATGTTGTTATTTATATATTTAGGTCTTTTTAATGACGGCCACATGAGTTTTGAGTTAGATCGAGACAACAGTACAACAGGAGAACCCAGTATAGCTGAAATGACAGAGAAGGCAATCAAAATCCTCAGGAGAAATTCCAACGGATTCTTCTTATTGGTCGAAGGTATACAGATTCGTTTGTTTGAAATAGTTAAGAAACATAAATTCTCAGACTTACACAAGAAGTGATTAATAATAAATGTAACTGCTTCTTTATCAAAGAGAAAACACTGAATGTACTTACGTAAGTTTTACTTAATGTCAATATTTTACACATTTTAAGGATCTGAAAATGAATTCATCAAAGAAAGAGACCTCTCAATTCTAAGAATGCTTAATGAATTCCCCATTTTCTTTAATGACACTTAAAACCTCTACTGTATAAAATTATTTGTATTTCTGCAGGAGGACGTATAGATTCCGCTCACCATGACAACAACGCTAAGCGGGCTCTCTATGACGCGCTGGCGTTTGAGAAGGCTATCAGAGAGGCGTTAGAACTAGTGGACAGTTCCGATACCCTGGTGTTGGTGACTGCTGACCACTCACAACCACTAATTATAGCAGGATACGCCTCTCGCCAAAACAGCTTGTTTGGTAATCGTCTAATCAAAATCTAACGCAATCAGTACAATAATGACAGTTACTGTACGATTTCCTGGTAAAACATTTCGTGCTCATCACAGCACCTTCCAGGTTGGTGTAACAATGGAATACTGCTGGAATGTTCTGTACTTTTACACTATTGATTTTCAACGTTTTCAGGTTATGTTGACACAGTTAAGACAAAACATATTCCGAAAGACGGAGTTTTGTGGACGACTTTATTGTATGGGATTGGTCCAGGTTATGACTGGGGAAAACGAACAAACAAGACTACACAGCAACTGGGTATATCCTATTTCTAAATTTAGACTTAATTTGTAAACTGTAAGATTAATTATCGGTCATAAATTAAATTTTAGATTTTTAAGTACATGTACAAATAATTATGGGAAAGGTATTTATGACTGAAAGTCAATTGTCCAGAAACTGGAAATAAAGAATCGGCTTTCTGGAAACATCATTCGAATTTTAGTAAATAGCATTACATGAACATTAACATGTGTTTAGTTCAACTGTGTAATTCTTTCATTCACCAAACCTTTTATACTTTTAGAGAGTAAAGACTACATCCAAGGTTCAGCTTTTCCCAGAAAATCCAGCACACACGATGGTCAGGATGTGGCGGTGTACGCACGTGGTCCCATGTCCCATTTATTTAACGGGGTGCACGAGCAACATTACATTAATTACGTCATGACGTATGCAGCGTGCGTCGGACGACATAAGAATAACTGTGGATCAGAGTCACGAATAACCAGCACTGGACTACTAACCAGAAGTTACGCAGTATTGGTGTATTTTGCATTGGTTTTGTTTATGTATAACACATAAAGCATATGTACTTTTAGTTTCTTTTTGGTGAAAAAACTCTGAATATATTAAGGTTTCGAATTGTTATAATCGACAACCGTTTGGAAAATGATATGTACAATGATGAAAACATCTGCCTTTCCATCCGTTTGTCTGCTCGTTCGTTTCATTTTAGATACCGATCTCTCATCCGCAACTATTCCTACATATATTCTAGTAATAATAAATGTAGTTTAGTGACACTTTCTCAGAAGGTTCATTACAAAGTATGATTTTGCAGCTTTTATCAGGCCGATGTTTAGAATCTTCATCAGCAAACCTGGACTTTTTTCTTTGATATTGGGGTGCATAATTCCTCATATACACTTGTATATACCACTGTAAAAAAGTGAAGATAACGATCCATCAGCTATCGATGTCATAAGAACTAACAATACCTTTCTGTGAGCAGGGTAAATAAATTAGGATCTGGGAAATTCCAGAGTAAGATCAGGTGCCTAGGAGGGGTAAGCATCCCCTGTTGGCCGGTCACACTTGTCGGGAGTCTTGTGTATTGATCAAGTCAACGGAATATTCCGTTGTCAAACTAAATATAAAACAAAGGCCTAAAGATTGTTATGAAAAAAGCCAGCCTATTACACATTGATATTGTTATATTTGTTAATAAGATCACTATAATGACCAAAGAATTTACGACTGATTGAAAGGAGGTTGTTGATATCCCTTTAACATTAACTTATTTTTGCGTAACCTGTTTCGATGTAAAATGATCATACTTAAAGCATGCTCTTAAGTAGCGAATAAGTTGGACGATATACGCTATATGCAAGTGACAGCAGAATATATCATTTAGGCCTAAATAAATACGGAAAGTTGACAAGGGAAAGGCTTGTCATGCAATTAAGTTTTTAATTTACCTTTGTCTTCTATAGTCAGAAAAACATCTAAATACTATAAGGATATGGAAGACTCAGTGATGTTTTCGATTTCAAGTTCACTGTGAGTCCACAAATGAGAGAAAATAACTATTGATAAACTTTGTTAACCCATAAATGCATAAATGTTACACAGATTGTTTTACATGTACTATGGTTTAATAAATTCTGTTTCATAGGATAATAAAAACAGGTCAGCTTATAAAACTGTTGGAATCCCATATGGGAAAATAACTATTTATAATATTTTGTCTGTGTGCTAAATTTCGATTTATGTTACACTGATATTTGCTTTGATCATATTTGAAATATCATGTTGCATGTTTACGGGGTTTAATCTTAACTTTCTCAATTCGTTTGCTGGATATAAACATGAAAGGTAAAGTTGTACAAATACGTTTTTATTCCGCAGAATGGTTGTCAAATGTAGTTAAGCACACAATATATACAAAATAATTAAATAAAACAGTGAGTGTACGTTAGCACTAATCAAGCGGAAGGTCAAGGTCATCATAACCAAGGCCTCCACATATCCGCCACTGCTTCGTAACTTTCGGTAAATAAAGGTTCTAGAGCCATTTTCAGATGAACACCATGTCCAGTTTCAAATATCTTGGAACACTGATTGGCTGAGCTTTCCATCACGTGATCGATCCTGGAGATGATGCTGGCGTGTTTATCGGATGTAGGTGTCGATGCAAAGCGAGGACTACCGATCCTTGCGGTAAGAGGCGTTGACGATAATCGGGGAAGCGATATATCGACATCAGACTCCAGAAAGACCGGCTGAGGGTGGCTGTACATGGTTGTGTCGGGGCACATCATAGTGGACATCGTGTACTGCTGAGCACTGAGTACTGAGTTGTCTAAATTTGAGAGGGCTCGACTAAACAGCCGTCTCTGTGGCATCCGCCGGGTTGGTTCGGAGTTTAGGTTATCTACAGGCGTGGTGTACGGCGCCGCCAGATCCAAGCATTGCTGTCCCCGCGGCATCCTGGGTAGAACTTTGTATGAACAGCCTTTAATGTTAGATCTACTTCTCAGATTTTTCAGACTTTTGAAGATATCCTTCATTCCCCGGGACTGGGATTTTACTTCCTGGTTGATTGGTTTCCTCTCACTCTGAGTGGTCTCTGAAGTGACAAGAAATTTGACATTTTGACCTTTGACATGTTTGCTAGTTGATAAGTTGGAAGCTGCTTCTTATAGTCGAGCTTATTGGATTATATTCATTCAATATTGTTTGTAAAATGAACATTGAGGAAATTTCTGTTAAAAGTCGTCTATTTATAAATCTGTAATTACGTTTTCTTACCTTTCGTCTTGAATTTTCGTTGTTGATACAAATCACCTGTGTCATGTTCTAATGTAGTTGGAATGTTGTTTACTGTCAACGCCTAAAATGTAAAAAAAAAAATAAAAAAAGATTAAAACAGTGGTCAATCTTATTAATACTTTAGAAAATATATAAACATTTGTGTACAACTAGGACATAAACACGGAATCTGGAAACTCTGTGAATGGGATCAGGTGCGTTGGAAGAGTGAGTATCCCTGTCGAACTGTTCGTCTGACAGGTCACAACCATCTTGAGCCCCTTGTATTGATAGTCAAGTGGATGGAACATTCCATAGTCAAAGAGCGATATATGATAAGTGCATAAAATGAATATATTAATTTTACTTTATATAAAGCTTTGATTTGTACAGCTATATATGCAACCTTTATTGGTCATTTTCATTTTGATCAAAATGCCCTTATTCTAGAAATATGACATCATAAAAATCACGTTTTCCCGCCATTTTAGCATATTTTGTATAAACCTGCTATTTTCAAGCAGTTTATCTTCCAGAAAATATAGAGCACAGCCTAGAACAAGCTTTATATTTTACCAAAGCTGTATCTATTCAATACTAATTATTTTATATATTTCTATTTATTTCTGTATCTTTATATTTCCCATAAGAAAAAAACATCAAGAAAAAGGCATATTTTTGGCTTTTTTGTTAGATAGTAAAAATAGCCTTATTTCTCATGTCATTTACAGCTAGTGAGTGCATATGAATGTGAAAAATATGCTGGCAACATATCTAATATAATCTCTTCTACAAAATAAATATCAATTAAACATATCTGAATGTCATTCTAAAATGTTGATTTTTAGAAAAATATATATACAAAAATTTTAACCATTGGTATGAAATAAGTTAGCCAAAATACGACCCAGTGATAGCTAGGATACATATGCTTATAAGGTCGCTAAAATTGCGCAAATTAATAAGAAAGGACAATCTTATTTTTAAATGACAATTTTTAGGCGCGGATTCAGGATCTTTTTTAGGGAAATCTAGTAACCAAAAATATTAACCAACCTAGAAAGAACTAAATGCGGTATATTGCATATATTTGCCCCCACAAAAGTCAAATTTTGAAAAATTCTGGAAATGTGCTGAATTCCATAAATTGTATTTAAAAAATGAATTAACAGAACATATCATAATTTCAAAGTAGTTTATAGACTATTTTTGTTTTTATGACGTCACACTCTATTTTATATCATTTGTTAAAAAAGGACAAAATTTTCAACAATTTTAGCTATAGAATTTATAGAGCGCAAGTTTGTTCAGGAACGATATTGACATATTTCATTGATATTATCATTCTACACATTATATCAAAATATTGATCCTGAACACACATGCGCTCGGTGATTTTTTCTCAAAAGATCGTAAAATATCTATTTTCTGTCTAAATCATGGAAATTTTAAATTTACGTCATTTTCGTGACGTCATATATTTGAAATGACGTCATTGCTGATGAAAATATTCAGTGCTTTGAAGTCAGCATATATCCCTCTGTGTTAGAACATTAATTAAAAATTTCTCCGTCTAAGTTTGATTTGGGGGGCAAATATTGGTTATTACCGAATAAAGTTCTGTATTGAAGTGCCAAGAATTGATAGATTGATAAAAATAAAACGTTTTACGCTTTCCCAAGCGTTATAGAGACCTAAGTTTCATATTCCTACCAAATTAAGAGAAGTTTGCGTTTTCTGTGAAGTAAGAAATGTTACGCTGCACTTCATGCAGTCTTAGAAGAACGTGTATGTTTCAGAACTTCTTAAGCTGTTTGGCAGATTCTCCCCATTCTTATATCATTTATTAAAATTTTCAAAGTATTGTTAAGTATTAATAACTCGATTTCTTAATACTGTAGTAAGAATTAAGTTAACAGGTAAACACGTATATATAGGTTTTTTTTATCAAGAGCCCAAGTGTTCAAATAAAAAAAAATTGTATTCGAAAAAAATGTAAAACATACAAATAATTTTATATTGGATAATAAAATATTAATAAAATAATATATCCAAGAGAATTATAAATAATATATAATTACAAGTATGAAATTGCCAACCTCTTTACCTATGACCTATAAAGGCCCATAAGGAATATTTTCAAATCTGGGAATTGCAATAACAAAATAACATTTATTAAACTGTTCCCTCTAAGCTTTTACTTTAAATTTACTTATTTCATTTTCTTAATTGAATTGCATGTTGTTTCGTTTCTATCTAGATCAAAAACTGTCTTTTTTTTCAACTGACCTGTTTTATGTTTGACACCGTCACGGCTGATCTGATCTGGGACAAGCACCTGTTAAGGCGGTCACGGTTCTTCTCAGCACTCACATGCTTACTGTTCTGTAAATAAAAAAAATGATAAGGACTTTTTCAGGACTACGGTTACTGCAGAAATGAAAAACTGATTGGCGTTTTTCATGTATTATATGAAAAATTCCTCAATATAAGGCGCTTAATTCAATATTTTACCCTATCACATTTAAATATGAAGGAAATAAACCAGCAAAAGGATAAATCCATAGATGGCAAGGGGGGGGGGGGGCATGCGCGCGAATGTTATCCCTTTTTAGACCAAAAAAAAGCTCTTTTTTAAATCAAAGTATTTTTCTTTTAAAAAAATGTTGAATACTTTTATTTTTTTTTTCAAGTGAAAAGCGTTTAGAACATAATTAACGGTAAATGTAAATTGGAATAAAACTCACCTCTTTGCCAATACCACCATTCCTCGTAGCCTTCGTGACTTTCCGAAGTTTCTCTCCGATGGTTCTTTTAATTTTCATGGTGAACACTGGTCTGTATTCCTCAAAGCTATTGTTTAAACTGACAAAGTTTAGCGTTGATTACAGATTTACCTATGTGTATATTTGAAGTGATTTTACGACAGCGAAATTGGCATCTGCCAGGTGTGACAATCAGGTGTGAACTATTGATCTATCGGTGATCAAGGTCAATATATTGAGAGGTGTCAGTGGAGTACTCGTCCACGGGAGTGGGGGGTTGAGGGAGGATCGCTGATAGCTTACCTGATTACCTCTAATTACTAGTTGTTGTCGTCGAATTATAATTTAATAGGACAATGTTGTTTGGTGGCCCCCGCTGGTTCACTGGATAGTTAGGAGTGCTCAGTAGGGTGTAACCAGAGAGGAGTAGTGTTCCAATCGGTGGGAAAATTCTATGTTTATTTCTCATTCACTTCTCCACAGCTGACAAGCATGGGAAATACATGTAAAATATCTTAATCATTTTAACTCAAAATTACCAAAATTAAAATTTAAAGGATAAATTAAAAAAGAAAATAGATAAAGAAAGAAAAAATAAATAAATAAATTTGTAGAAAAAGATAGAGAGAAAGCCCTTTTCACTTTTAAGGCAATTCATGACCACTAAAATGGTTTTAAAATAACAAAATTATGCACAAAATGCGATGGATTATATTAAAAATTGCAGAGAGAGAGAGAGAATTCACACATAGTTTTATTAAGACCAGTGAATGAGGGTGATCTTGTTCTAATCAACATCGAATGCAAACTGAAAAGCATAAAAGCGGGATGGTTCAAAAGACTGTAAATACAAGAAACTTATAATTGATATAAAATCTTAAAACTAAAATAAAAGTATTAAAAAATCTGCCCACTATCATATTTTGAATTAACCGAATATGGTAACAGACAGCCAAATGTTCTCCTGACCAGACTTCGGTATAATTCTGCATTGAATTATGAGCTTTACAAATGCAGTTTATCTCAAGCCCTTTATATGGTAAAATAGGAGATGTGCATCATTACTTTATAAATATATCTCCCGCTTAAAACGTGGAAGGGTATATATAGTGATCAGATAGATATTTATTTGGTATACTACATATACATTGTTACAATGCAATATTGACAAAATTGACAATATAATTTTATGATAAATATAACAGTTGGCACTAAACAATAGAATAAATATATAATATTGGAAGGCACCCATCTCTTAGTTTTTGAAAACATAAATTTATATATATATATATATATATATATATATATATATATATATATATATATATATATATATATATATATATATATATATATATATATATATATATATATATATATATATATATATATATAGATTCTCTGTTACATAAATTGTGCACTAGCTCCTATTTTACTTTTTGATTTGATACTTATGTCGGGCCTCACAGAGCAAAATATGAACTTTTCCATTGTAATTTAATGCATACATATAACTGTAAATATAAAAAATATACATATAAAATATGGGATCAAGTTGGCAACCCTTTGTAATTAAAAAATTAATAAAAATATGTGTATTATGAACATATTTTATTGTAATTTAATTACAAAGATTGTAATTGGAACATAACGCCCTCTCCCTGTATGTAAATTACACATTTAAACATGATACATAAAGTGTTAAATATTTGCAAATGTAAACACATCGATGCATTTAAAAATTGTTCATTTTACACAATGAAAACTTTACACTTATAGAATAGTTTTTTAATAACGCATTAAAATCATTTGTAAAAAAAACTATGACATATCCCTTACAAGATAAAAGGGGTGCATAATCGATAACATATAGAACATATTAGATTACAAAAAAATAAGAAAAGGTTACTTGACCCCAGATTAAAAAGGAAAAATGCAAAATGGGAGTGGTTCGTATTCCAAGGTGTCTGTGGAAAATTTCATGGAGATTACGAACAGTATAGTTTTTGTCAAGCTCAAAAGTCCACCAAACAATACAAAATGAAAGCAGGGCAGTGTGCATGCGCTTTAACATTCCTTTTTTGTATACATAGTGATAACATAAAGTCAAATATACCCTAGGTTCCTTCCCATATGATCGGACATAACCCAAATATTCAATGTAAATCATGGGCCAATTTAAAAAAAACGTAAACATTATTTTAACAAGGAATCACCGTACTTTGTTGTCAAAAACGGCTTACGTTTTAGTATGTGTTCAATTTGCTAAACTCAGCAAAATGAGCACGGACTGACAATACTGCACTGGTGAGTTGGTTTTGCTTTCTCACATTTCTACTCTGTATGCATGGATTATAGTTTAAATATTTTTCATTAATACACAACAAGATGGAAAGTGTGGGTATTATTTTCGGTCCGTCCGTCTTCCAGTTAGTCTGTTTGTCTGTAGTTCGGTCTGTCTGTGCCACTTTCGTTTCCAAACGACATCTCGAGAAGCCTGTAATTAAGCTCTTGTCGTGAAATTTTATACAACCCTCTGTGGCCTAAGGAAGATCCCTATGTTGATTTCGATGTCCAAAGGTCAAAGTTCAAGGTCATAATTTAAAATATTATTTCTGTTTTAACACTTTCGTCAACATATAAGTCATGACATTATACCGAAAATTTGAGAAAAAATTGATGTGTCCTAACACCTTTAATTTAGAATATTAAATTGCGCGTAAATACATTTTTCGTTTCTGCTAGGTCTTTTTCAAGGGATCATGAAACTTCTTAGACTAATCTTAATGTTATACTTTTAAAATGTTGTAGAAGTCAAGCAGACACAACTTTATACGTCCCAATATCATTTTTGATTCACAAAAGTATTGTTGTTTACAATTTTTTAAAGATTAATTCAATTCAGAGGCGACTGAAAATTTGGCGTAAGTCTATAAGACTGTTACATCATCCAGGATCTATGATTTTTTTGAAACCCAAGATGCAACGCGGAAAGGCCGGGGGGGGGGGGGCTCCTAGAGCAGAGTCCTCAGTGACGTGGGTCTATGGCATCTTCCCAAGTCAAGAGTTTCTGATCCGCTCCGCTCCACATTTATACGAATAGGCCGAGTTTGGCGGGGTTAGAAATTCGCTCTCGATCTGATTGGCCTCATGCAACTTGTTTATGTGGAGCGGAGCGGATCAGAAACTCTTGACTTGGGAAGATGCTCTGCGGGGGCTATCAGCATTTAGGTCTTTTTTACAAGAGTAGACGAATCACTTATTTGATATGTATTGTTTATAAAAATGCAAGGAGAGAGGGTGGGAAAAAAATTAATTAACTTTTCCAAACTTAAAAAATATATTATAGAACAAAAGGGGGGATATAGTAATCGGTTTGTTCGTATGTCTGTACGTTCGTTTGTTACACTTTGTGGTACCCATCTCTTATCCGCAACTCCTCTTATACCACTGATTAAAAATTAATAAAACTTTCACAGAATCTTTGGCAAGAAACAGAACAGGTGCGGATTTAGATTTTTTTCAAAAGGGGGGGGGGGTAAAGAGGAAAAGAGTTTTGATAACGTACGTTTTAATACACATGTAAATAACTCAGTATGATGCAGGATGGGGTATGGTTTTTAAAAGTGGGAGATTGATCAACCTCGGTAAAAAATACTTGTATGGATTACCTGAAAGTTTTTGAAAAAGTAAGGAAAATAAATCTCCGAACCCGAAAATCCTATTTTGTAAACGGGGTGGGGTATCATTTTGTCTTTTACAACCGATTTCTTTATATATTACAACATACACCTTTCACTAAACATTTTCAATAGTAAAAGCACAAAATAAATGTAACTTTCTTCTTTCTCTTTCTTTTTTTGCAAATCCAAAAGGGGGGGGGTGCAATTCCCGTACCCCCTCTGGATCCGCCACTATAGTAACAATAGGAAGTGGTGATGGAGATGAGAGTAGGGTTGAATTAGCCTAAGTTTCCATAAATCTAAATTTACTGAACTAAATTCTGAAACAAATCCATTAGACTTTTTGTTTACTCAAGATGAAATAAAACAAAGCATTCTAAAGCTAAAAAATGGTAAAAGTGCTGGGCTCGACTTAATCTTAAATGAATTTATTAAAACAAACAATACTTCTCTTTTACCAGTTCTTACAAAACTGTTCAATATTTCACTTAAAAATGGAAAAATGCCCAAAGAATGGAACTTATCACTTATTACCTCATTATACAAAAATGGTGATCCTAATAATACAAACAATTATAGGGGTCTCAGTGTTACAAGTTGTTTAGGTAAACTTTTTACAGGCCTTCTACAGAAACGCTTACATAATTATCTTGAGTCAAATAACCTACTAAGCCAATATCAATCTGGATTTAGAAAAGGTCATAGGACCACAGACAATATATTTGTATTAAAAACACTTGTAAACAAACATCTTTACACAAAGAAACAGAATTTATATGTGTGTTTTGTAGATTTTTCAAAAGCATTTGATACTGTATGGAGATCCGCACTTTTATACAAACTGAATAAAAAGGGTATTGGTGGTAACTTTCTCAAACTTTTAACAGACATGTATTCAAACACATACTATTCTTGTAAAAAAGACAATCAAATGAGCGAAAAATTTAAAGCCAATAGAGGAGTCAAGCAAGGTGATAATTTAAGTCCAACACTTTTCAATCTTTTTGTTGATGATTTTGTGAATTATTTTAAGAATGTAAGTACATGTCCTGCTCATCTAGATAATATGCCAATTAATCATATGTTTTTTGCTGATGATCTCGTCCTTGTATCAGAATCAGAAGTTGGTCTACAAAATTGTATAAATATTTTAGGAAAATATTATTCAGACTGGAAATTGTGTGTTAATATGGAAAAAACAGATGTTATGATTTTTTCAAGAAAATCTGTTGATGAAGCATCATTTAGATTTTATTATAATCACAATATGATTAACATAACAAATGAATATAAATATTTGGGTGTTGTGTTTAGATCTGATGGGAAAATGAAATTTGCTGCTGAACAGCTATCATAACGTGCTAGAAAAGCATATTACGCTATTAAATCAAATTTTCCTGCAAATATTAATTTCTCTGCTGAAATTATGTTGAAATTATATCATTCAATGGTAATACCAATTATAACATATGGATCTGAAATATGGATAACTGACTTCAAATGTGATTTAATGTCTTCAGACCAGTTTCCTTTTGAAAAAACACAGCACTTGATATTTAAAGACATACTAGGGGTACATAGAAAGGCATCAAATCTTGCTGTTTTATGTGAGTTGGGTCGTTTTCCTTTGTTCTATTTATGTTATGAATATATGTTAAAATATTTCATTAGACTGAAGGAAATGGATTGCAAACATGAGTATAACAATTATTTAGTGGTTTCTGCATTTAAAGAAGACAAAAATCTTGTATCTAAAATATCTTGGCAAAAGAAACTGTCTTCATTACTACAAAAATTAAATATTAGTTCTTTGGAAATATCTCACATAACTTTGAAAAACAAATTACAAGAGCATTACCAAAACAAGATATATGAACAACTGGAAAATGTTAGCAAATCAGACTCTGGAAAGTTAGCATTTTATAGCAAAATTGTGAAGCAAGATGAATACAAACTGCTAAGTTATTTAAAACTACCCCTGAAAAAAAGTTGTAGATCTTTATTAACAAAATTAAGGATCAGTGCCCATCCACTGTATATTGAAACGGGTAGATACTGTAAACCCCCGATTCCTAGAGAAAAACGTTTATGTTATTCATGTAAATTGTTTGTTGAAGACGAAAAACATTTTGTTCTTTACTGTCCAAAGTATGATCAATATAGATGCAATTATAATGATATATTTAATGTAAACACATATACTAGTGATAACCCCCAAAAATTGTCAATCCTACAGGGTCATTCTCAAATTTTGTCCAGATTCCATCAACAGAATTCAGAGAAAATAAATCATGAGAACTAAATACTTTAAAGTTTTATGTTAGTAATGAAACATCAGAGATGCGTAAATAATGTTGAAGAACTAAGAATTCTATCAACATTTACTATAAAATCCATTATAAGTACATGCATCCAACAATAAATGTCCATGGTGTTACTTACTTAGTAATCGCAATAAAATAATAACTTACGAAAACTTAAGGTTTCTAGAATCATAATGTAAACATCCTGATCAAAAATATTTTATCAAAACAAACCGAGGGTTCTTGAGAGAGAAATTTTAGATGACATGAAGCTGAAAGTTGTTAAAATTATAAAATTTGGTTATTCTTACATAAATACCTTAAGCATTTGTCATTTTACCTCAGCATGAAACACTGGCTTTGCAAATATACTTCGTATTAGAAGACAGCAGAATTGTGTAGCAAGTTTTGATAAAATTGTGGAAAAATTTAAAATATAAATTCAGGAAAAATGGTTGAGTAACACCAAGGACACAAAAGTAACAGAAAGGACATAAAAGTAACACAAAAGACATTTTGTTCAAACCTTAAGAATAAATAATAAATTTGCCCCCCTTCCCCCGCAAAAAGCACAACAATGGCATTATCTAATAGATGTAAATGAAAGTATATGAATTTAAGAAAAAAATTGCTTCGGATTTCATTTCTTTTTACATTTGGAATCCGACTAGTAACACCAATGATTAAAAAGTAACAACATAGACATAACTGTCCAATTATAAAGATACATAAACATCAACAAAAAATAAAAATAACACTATACTTCTATAGTGTAAGGCTTACAAACAATTTCCAATTTTTATAGGGAAAATCAATTAGACAAATCTGCATGAAGAGTATCTTCATCTACATTCAAACAAAAATTCTTGATTGGTGACAGAGGCATTGTTCCTCTGAAATATAATCTTTTGATATCGCTTTTGATAGTGATGAAAAATTCGTAACTATTTCATCGTCGGACATACTCATTCCATGCTAGAATAGTCAAATGTTCTCTATCTGACGTTACTTTGAAGGTGTCTGGATTCCTTGGATCTTTCACTTGTTTGTCTGTCTCTTTTTTGCAACTTTTGAAATGTTTCGTCCTTCCAATATCTTCATCAAGAGAACATGACATAGAATCAACAGGTTTCAGAGTAAAAGTCCCATGTATCAAAAAATCCTGGATTTTTATTTTATTTCCTTGTGTTCCTATAGTTCCCTGGAGTTACCACTTTAACCATCTCATTTTTAAAGACTTCATTATATTTAATGTAACTTAAAATGTACCATCTCCCCACAATTGTTTTCTTTTAAACATTGAACACAATTACGACTTCATACGTGGTATTTTTATTTCATTTTTCTATCTTAAATGCTTGCCGTGTCGCTTGTGTAACTGAATTTGTCTATAATGTTACCACAGTTAAGTATTATAGGGTTAAAAAGGGGTAAAGATGTATTTCATAAGAAATTTTCATATTTCAATTTACTCAAAATAAATAAAGACTCTCTACTCTACTGCAAGTATAAATACAAGAGTATATTAATAATGTAAATGTTTCATCATTTTGACGACCATGGAGTTACCAAATATGTCCTTTGTGTTACGCGTTTCGTTTATTGAATGAATTTGTAGCATGCATAAATATTATATGTAAAACCATAGGCGCTCCCCATGTAATTCTGTAAATGACGTATGATAAGTATATATTATATAGAGGGGTAGACCTATATATACTTATCATACGTCATTTACAGAATTACATGGGGAGCACCTATGTGTAAAACATATGATCAGATGATAAAATATTATTGATACACTATTTTCGATAAACTTGACACAATATATTTTATTTTTAAATTGTAAATATTGAAGTTTCTGTACATATTGTCCATAGAGTAATTAAATATGTCCTTCGAGTAACTTTTCCTACAGTTAAGGAATGACTCTAATTCTTGGCCATATTAGAGAGGTTGAGATTTCAAACGTGTACGTGTACGGGTACGTCTAGTAGGGGAATAACCTAAATTCTGTGTGTATTACGTCATCAATTTAAGTGACGTCAAAATTGCTACACGTTCGTAAAACTTGTAGAATCCAATCTACACGTAAGTGAAAACGTGTAGCTTTAATAATAAAAATTAGTCAATTTAAGTGTGAAAATGTGATTGTTATACATTATAAGGGATGTTTACTTTCACGAGCTTTTATTTTTATCAAGTTTTGTTTACAAACTGACGACAAAAAACTTTCTAAATAGTTGAAACAGAGACACCGATCGCGGTATACACGTACATGTTACACTTCATAAAAATCTCAACAGACAAATTAAAAATAACGTGTACGTGTACGTCAAAATTTCTACATGTACACGTACGCGTACAAGTTTAAGATCTCAACCTCTCTATTATCGAGTATAATCTGGTTTGGGTCAGTTTACGCTTTATAATCCGCGACGCGTATTATAAAAACGCTTAAACTGACCCAAACCAGATTATACTCGATAATATGGCCAAGAATTAAAGTCATTCCTTATAATTTAATTTTAAAACAATTAAACAACTTTTGATGTAAAGTTGTGTTGCTTTTTATAAGTTCAAATTTACCGCGCAATAATACAACCGTAGTAACGGAAGTGATTTGAAGCGAGGGGAGGTAATAAATAATACAAGGATCTAGCAGCCATGATGTTTGTTTACACGAGGTAAGAACGAGTAATTGTTTAAAGTTGAAGGTCTATTTATTAAATCTGGAATTTTCCATGGATTCCGAGGACTGGAAATGAGGGGATTGCATGGATATGATGATTAAGCTGGTCGTCAAGGGGGTGTGTCCCCATACCAAACCAGATTATACAAAATGTTATGCGTTCCTTTTTGGAAATCAACCAATGAGTGGCGAGAATACAAATAAAATTAAATTATTAACAAAATGGACAGTAACGCTAGGGAATTACTACATCAAAAGTTACAAGTATTTATAAAAGCTATGGCTGACTTAAAAATATAGAGCACAGTTCCTACATCATGTGTATTTCACAACAAAGTCGCTAAATGCATCACAAACATTATATATTAATTTATCTTCACATTATTTAAGTAACTCCAAGGACTTAAAAATAAATTACTCTTTCAACCAAAATCAACTGAAACCAAATATTGTGTCTACAGGGTGAAACACACGTGTTTTGTGTCTTTTTATATTTTGGCAGGTACAAGATGTTTATAAGGCAACAGATGCTGAAGAGTTCCTTCAGGAAAATTAACTGTTACAGATAACTTTTATGTCTTGGTTACTCCAAGGACACGGCGAAAATCACAAAGTTTTTTTTAACGTTTATTGTTTAAAAAATTATATTCTTACTTTTTTCAGTCACCTTTAAGACTGTTTTTAAACAATGTTAAGTATTTACAATACATAAAAGGTATTTTATACTCCCAAATTATATTTACTGTCTCAATAAGGAGGGTTGAAAATACACCCTCGGCGAAATCACAAGCAATTTTCTTTAATTTAACTCATGTTGAAGGAATTTTTTCAGTGTTTATATCAATTTTTAATCCTACTTATATTTGTCCTCCCAATTTTAGATCATTGTTAAGTTCATGAGCACAAAAAAGTTTTTATTTTATTAAAATATTTACCAGAAAACGTGATTCACTGAAATCTGGACATTTTTTGAGAATGACCCTACAAATATTTCAAGTGCTAGAAGGATATGTTGTTTCTTGAAAAAGTGCTTTGACATCAGAAAAGAAAGTCAAAAATGAATATTAATATTGAGAAATATACAATTTTGTTCACCTCATATTTCTCACTTTGTATATACTTATATTAATTGTGTTAATTTATGTTATGTTATTAATGTTCATGACTGTATGCCGACATAGTAATTGTCAATAAAGTGAATTGAATTGAACTGAAATTCATGTTCTTCGTTTTTTTACCTTTCCAATTTAAGATACAAGATATCTTATTTACTTCATTTAAATAACAGCAGCTACAGCGCTGACTCGTTTTTATTATTTATTAGAATAAGTTTAAGGACAAAATAATTTTGTATTGGAAAGTTTACTAAGCATAATTTTGTACTGGAAAGTTTATTGAAAATATTTTTGCATTGGAAAGTTTATGAAATAATTTGTTCTGAAGTCTGGGATGATATAATTTTATTTTTTAATTTATTGGACATGTTGGTTAGCAAACTGGACAACGGACAGTAATGTTCATCAAAATAAAACGGGGAAAATATAAAGCAAATTAATTAAGTATATCTAAGAGCCTAAGTTCTATTAATGGTATTCAACATTTTAATTTTATAAAAGAAATTAGAGTTATAGGATTAATAGCATAGTTCTCAAATTTCATGTACAAGTTATCCAGGGGCGAGTTCACTCGGGCACGATTTCAACAAGTAACATATTTTCACGTGGTAGCACACGTTCCAAAACAGCAAGACTGATAGAAGAAAAGATTTAAGACTTTGCGAAAGCACTAAATATTGTGATTTATTGTGACCGACAAGTTTATTCTCTTTTTTAAGTTACTGTAAATATTATTAATCTTACAGGATAGGTTAATATTCGTGTTGCTGAGGAAAGGAAGCAACAAATCTCTAAATCGATTCTCTGCGCACAAAATGTAAGTTTTCCTCAAAATTCCTATGATTAGATTCTATCAGCATGATTAGAATAAATCTAATTATTATATTTACACATTTACCACATAGTTTTCTTTTTATTGCAATGTTGGATAGTCTACGGTTCAAAGAAAAAAAAATGAAAGGAATATTCGCTTTTCCTGCACTGCACGTTTTTTGACACACGACCACTGACCAAAGCAACCATTTTTAAAAATTTGCTTTCGCCAATATGTCAAAATAATGTATTAGAAAGTTTTATTGGCATTAGAAATAAGATCGGCATTGTTTTAATTTTAGTCTGCTTTAAAAAAGAATAATTATCGGGCATATTTGTAAATATTTTGGTTTTGGAGTCACGTGGTCTCTACGTCATAAAAGTAGCCATTGAATTTGTAGAAGACGCAACCTGCCGATCGTTATAATAAAACTGATTTTTCATTTATTAAAAAAACAGACGATTTATGATGCAGTTGAGAAATCCAGCTACATTTGTATAAACCTTCACCGTGAATTCGGTGGAGAATTCGTATGAAAGCCGTGAGGTACAGTAAATATTTGTTTTGTTTTATGAAAACCTACATCATGTTTCTTATAGTGATACATGTAAATAGTTTGTATCATTGTCTGTACCTTATCCTTATTTTCATATTATAACGCTTTTTTTCAGTGTGAATTGTTAATTAGGATGATGTATTCTGTGATTTTTTTATGCCTTCTTCAAAGAAGGAAGGGCATATTGCTTTGCTTCTGACTCTGTCTGACTGTCGGTTAGCTGCAGATCCGGGAGTGTTGGTAAAATGGGTAGGCAAACCCGGGCCGGGGCAAATTGAAAGCTGGGGCAGATCGAGATTTTTCAAATATCTCCGCTAAGACTCCACCAATTAACCTGAAATTTTCAGATTATGTTCCTTTAAGATTCCTTTGTATTCGCTGTTAATATCGCCGTAATATACGCAATATTTCTGATTTTCTGGGCGTTTGTTCATTTCCAGGTTGGTAAAATGGGTAGGCAAATTCAATAAGACATTTCACGGTATTTTTTAATAAATACTCATTAAACCATTACAATTGTGGACTTTTCCAATATTTTACACTCTATATAAACGAAATATAATTAGTTTTACATTATAAAAGCTATAAGTATGCAGAATTTGCGCATTTTCAGAAAAGCCGGGGCATAAAACGGGGAAAATATACCCGGGGCAAGCCCGAAAATTCCGAAATAATGAAGGCAAATTGTTTGTATTGGAGGATGTTAGCTATTACTTTTGTTACATTGCCAACTCTGACCACATGGAGGTATTCTCAAAAGGGCCTGACACTTGTCAGATGACAAATAATCTCAAGTAAAATAGAGTAAACCTGTACAATTATTCCGGAATTTTCAGGTTTTTCTCGGGTGATCGGGTCCGGTTTTAATGACCCGGTTTTTCTTAAAACATGTAATTTCGCGTAAATATTGCAATAACCAATGAAGAAATATAAATATATAGTTAATACATATTCTTAAACACCAGAATTATTCATAACTTTACGGATTTTTCGCAGCATATGTCTGAAAACGTAAATTATGAACTTGGGAAACTGCCTACCCATTTTACCAACTTGAAAATCAATAATCGCCGATAAAATCTCAAATCTAGAGTATTTCATGGCAATTTTAGCAGCGAATATAAATAATCATGTATCAAATACATTCTGAAAATTTCAGCTGGATCGATAGAGTATGAAGACGGAAATATGAAAAACCTCGATCTGCCCCGGCTTTTTAACTTGCCCCGGCCCGGGTTTGCCTACCCATTTTACCAACACTCCAGATCCGGTACCTCGAATTACCGAAATGCCCCTGATTTACCGAAATGCCCCTGGAAATTACCGAAATGCCCCTTGAAACTACCGAAATGCCCCTTTAAAACTCAGATACGTTGGTCTTTATGAAAGGTAGTGAGGTAATTATACATATTTAAAAAAAAATTAATTAAAAAATTATTTACAAATGTTTTTATTTTCTTTCAAAAGGTTCGTTTATCTAATATCTAACAGAGATAACTCTAGTAGTATTTGTATTCATATTAGCAGAATTATTTTTTTCTTGATGTTGTCGATTTACATGCTGAATAATTTGAATTAATTAATTAAAATTTTTAAGTTCAATATGCTATAAGCATTTGATAGCTTTGTTTATTTGGTGTATAAATTTTACAACGCTGAGCCCCAGGGGTTAAGTCTCCCACTGCGTACCGTTATCCATTAAAAAAAATTGCCGACATTGCTATTTAAGAGAAAGAGTACGACTTTTTAAAGCACTGGACAGGTAAGTTTTTTTTTTATTTTGTAACTGGTAGTAACCCCTAAAAATGTATAAGAAAAGAAAAAAAACATTCATTTTAACAATATTTTTAGCAGTTTAAGTTTCCATAATCCGTTTCTGATTCACACAATATTAATATTTTATCACAGTCAGTAGTTAAGTTTGTCGTTTCCTGTATACTTTGGCCGACCTTGTCTATTGCTTTTTATTTATTTACAACTTTTGATTACCCAGAAGTCGAATTTTAAAAATCTCTCTTTTTTAAACCTTGCGTTTATTATACTTATATGAGATGTAACTAAAACTGTGTATACTTACTTGTATTTCTGCCATGTTTCCTCTTCTTCCTTTTCAATACTTAACAACACATACGGTATAAAATTTGTTCAACAAAATGGGGAGCGGGAGAGAGAGAAAGAGAGAGAGAGAGAGAAAGAGAGAGGGACCATAAGATAACGGACAGTAACATGCTTCCCGCTGAGACAATGTTGCAAGAGTTATCGCTCTTAGAGGTCACAATATTTGAGCCAATTAAACACATTTTTTTTAACATTTGTGTTCAAAATACATAGTTTCGTTAATAAAATTTATCATAAATTATCATAAAATGACTATTAGAATATAATTCAAGGGGCATTTCGGTAGTTTTAGAGGGCATTTCGGTAATTCCCAGGGGCATTTCGGTAAATCAGGGGCATTTCGGTAATTCGGGTTACCCCTGCAGATCGAACTGTAGCTCTCCGAAAAAATATATATTGATAGACTGGAGAGCTACAGTGCCACCCATTGAAAAAACTGTATATTTATTGCGCACAAAAAAGTGTGCTTGGTTCTGGTTTAATTCTTCCAAATTCTTACCTCAATTGCAAAATAAGCTAGATTTCAATAAAGTCCTTACTCCTCTATCAATTACTTTCGTAGTTTACATCTGTACAAACGCATTGGACAAACCAAAATGGCACTTATAAATAGGCGAAATTTTCGATGACCTCAATTTCAGGGCCAGGAGGGCTATTAAAAACAATTATAAGAAATGTTTTGTTGTGAAAACAGTGAAAGAATATGTTTAGAACACATGGTTAGTAATATTTTGAGATGACTGTTTTAAAAACATGGAGAAATAAATCGAGAAACAGCGCACTTTTTTGTGCGCAATAAATATACAGTTTTTTCAGTGGGTGGCACTGTAGCTCTCCGGTCTATCAATATATATTTTTTCGGAGAGCTACAGTTCTGCAGCTAACCATCGGTCCACCATTGGTTTCCATTCATTTTCTTCGCAGATGTTGCACATATTAAAATGAAATTTGGTATACAGATTTATCATAAAAATATCTATAGTTCAAGTTCTGTTTTGGGTAGGATTGGACCATTTTGGACAGAGATATGCCTATTAGATTTAAAAAAGATTGCAGTGATTTACAGTTTCCGTTCATTTTCTTTGCAGAGGTTGCACATATTGAAATGAAAGTGGTATACAGATTTATTATAAAAATATCGGGAAGTTTCTAGTATGCCGATCCCCAGAATCATGTGACTGCGCATGAGTGGTTTTTAGCTCACCTGTGCCGAAGGCTCAAGTGAGCTTTTCTGATCACATTTTGTCCGTCGTCCGTCCGTCTGTCTGTCTGTCTGTCCGTCCGTCTGTCTGTCCGTCTGTAAACTTTTCACATTTTCGACTTCTTCTCAAGAACCACTGTGCCAATTTTGACCAAACTTGGTACAAAGCATCCTAAAGTCCCCTCACAAGGGGAGATAATCAAGAAAAGACAAAAATAGGGTGGGGTCATTTAAAAATCTTCTTCTCAAGAACCACTGGGCCAGAAAAGCTGAAACTTATGTGGAAGTATCCTGGGGTAGTGTAGATTCTAAATTATAAAAATCATGACCCCCGGGGGAAGGGCGGGGCCACAATTGGGAATCAAAGTTTTGCATAGTAATATATAGGAAAAATCTTTGAAAATCTTCTTCTGAAGAACCACTGGGCCAGAAAAGCTGAAACTTATGTGGAAGCATTCTGGGGTAGTGTAGATTCTAAATTGTAAAAATCATGACCCCCGGGGGAAGGGTGGGGCCACAATTGGGAATCAAATTTTTACATAGAAATATATAGAAAAATCTTTGAATATCTTCTTCTCAAGAACCACTGGGCCAGAAAAGCTGAAACTTATATGGAAGCATCCTTGGGTAGTGTAGATTCTAAATTGTTCAAATCATGACCCCAGGGGGAAGGGCGGGGCCACAATTGGGAATCAAAGTTTTGCATAGAAATATATAGGAAAAATCTTTGAAAATCTTCTTCTCAAGAACCACTGGGCCAGAAAAGCTGAAACTTATGTGGAAGCATCCTTGGGTAGTGTAGATTCTAAATTTAAAAAATCATGACCCCCGGGGGAAGGGCGGGGCCACAATGGGGAATCAAAATTTTACATAGTAATATATAGGAAAAATCTTTGAATATCTCCTTCTCAAGAACCACTTGGCCAGAAAAGCTGAAACTTATGTGGAAGCATCCTTGGGTAGTGTAGATTCTAAATTGTTCAAATCATGACCCCCGGGGGAAGGGCGGGGCCACAATTGGGAATCAAAGTTTTGCATAGAAATATATAGGAAAAATCTTTGAAAATCTTCTTCTCAAGAACCACTGGACCAGAAAAGCTGAAATTTAAGTGGAAGCATCCTTGGGTA